TGCCATACTGATCACATAAAATACAATTGTGTCTTCAGAAACACTTACGGCCAGGAACACCTTTGGGCAATACAATAAAAAACTACAGAACACCGCCACCAACCACTGAGCTGGGGGATAATCTTCAGCAAATCCATAAATAAGATAATTTTATTTCATTATTAACGGACAAAAAACATAAAGGGTGGGAAGGTGTTGGGGAGGGAGGAGACCGCAGCTCTGTTGTGTGGAGACAAGGGAGGACTTGGTAGTTATGACAGAGATAACAGACAGGAAATATCATTGAGGACACACGAGGGAAAAACACAATGAAACGAGATCTGTCTACCTTGTACCTCTCTGGCTCTCTCGCCTGCAAGACCTACACACCTGTCCAAATCTCCGTCCCCAAGACCTACACACCTGTCCAAATCTCCGTCCCCAAGACCTACACACCTGTCCAAATCCTCCTCTCCAAGACCCACACACCTGTCTATACCTAACCTGGCTTCCTCCTTAAGACTTACACACCTGTTCACACCTCCATAATGATCACACTCTTTACCACAACCAATGCACACCATTATCACTACCACCACCACCAGCACATCTGCTCTACCCTCCAGCACGACTTGATGAGATAGTGTAGGTTACTGTAAAGCAAATATTCCAGATTAAGTTTGATAGATATACAATCTGTATTTTGCTTTGTGTAATCTGAACGACAAAAATGTGCGATTCTCTTACAACGTGATCAACTTATTTGTGACATTTTCTGTATATATACATTCGACTTTTTATTCAATGGAAGTGCAAATTTTCTTTTCACTTTCCTTTCAGTTTTAACGAATTGTAAATATGATGAGTTTTGATGTTTAGTTTTGTTTTGTTTTGCAATATACTGTACATGTAGGTGTGTGGGGGGGAGGGGGGGTGCTGAGGAGACTGACCTCCAAACTCGTAGTGTTCTCGTGTAGGCCAGCCACTGCCCTCTGGTGGTCTCACCCATCTAAATCAATTCTTGACCTGTTCACAGGAAATAAAATATATGTAGACATAGATTACGTTTATGATACAAGTTGACTCAGAGAGTGAAGGAATGGGGATAGTAAAACAGTCAGAGGTGCTATATACTAGACACAATAATGTAACTAAAGTGTATCACAAGTTAGGACAACAGTTTACACAGCCAAACAAACACCAGAGGGATGTATGAATGTACATATTCAGAATTCTGACAATGACGATCATCTGACACACCACATCCGGAAAAAGGAAAGTGAGTTACTAAGAGTTCATAAAATGCTATACTGTAGGCTAGTGGGCAATCATTAAAGTGCCTGAAGGCCAGACATGACACCCCTGGGGCAGATCACTCACCATACAATAAACACCAAGTGTACAAATAAACCACCACTTCACCGTTGATAGTAATTCAAGAGCCCCCACTATTGTTATATGTTGGTTTTAAGCGAAATGTTTACTTTGTGTAGTGATGGAGGCTCTCTTCTCAGCACTTCTCTCAGATTGGATTACACAGAATCGCCTGGCTTGCATATTAATGATATGAAGGACCCCCCCCCCCCCCCCAAGAGATAATATACATTTCTGTATTGAGGTTGAGTGGCCAGGAGTGAAACTCAAGTGTCCTGATTGACATCGCAGAGGTCACCCTGAAATGTGTACAAAAACAAAACACACACACACACCAGGTAAGAAAGCTACCGAGTGGATGCTTTTCATCAGTGCAAAACGAATATGTTACATCACAAGCAGGGAAAGAGTATACGAGGCTTGTCCGTTGAAAATCAAGTTCAAGAACTCACCTTACCCAACACCCAGAACTTGCTAAAGTAGTGATGGTCCTTAACTAGTATTTTGTAAGTTTCCACTATACGATGACTAGACAGCTGCACACTGCTGCTAACAAGGAAAATATTCACAAATTACCATTACCAAAAAAGCTTTAATATTGGAACATCACTGCACCTAACCCACACAGCAACAGTTTCCCGCCTTCTACCACAGCCAGCTTGGTGAGTACAGTACTATACTTAGTAGGTGGAGAACATGTGTGTATATATGTGTGTATATATATATATATATATATATATATATATATATATATATATATATATATATATATATATATATATATATATATATATATATATATAGATAGGAGGAAAGGAGTACCTCTCACACACACACAGGTTTGCAACACCCAAGAAATCAAGTTTTAAGTTTCTGAATCAATATTATCACCATCAACAACCTAAAGTAACTAACCTCCCTATTCGGTTTTCCTCATAACATTAAATGGTGAAAGAGAGAAACACCGGACATGATCCAATCTACGCAACAGAAACTCCACACCGTGTTGCGTCAGTCCTCCAAGCCTGTTACACACACCATGGGTAAATTCCTTCACTCGTATAAAATCTACTGCAATTCATATAAGTGACCATTCAAATATAGTATTTATAATACTCTCAGCAGATAATCTTAGCTGGAGTATTTTTCTGTTTGAAATTATATCGATGTATTATAACTTAACCTGTGAAACCACTCCATTGAAGATCAAGATGAAAACTTGTACAGGTATGAGAAATAAAGACGAAGTGAAGTGGCACACAATGGTGAGCTCTGTTTTTTTTAGCTTTTCATTTGATGAGAGACAAATCCTTAGCTCACTGGTGGAGACTGATGGCCACAAGTACCAGCTGCTTCCTCCCTCTCTCACTTGTCTCCGGCCCTACCACACTCTCTCATGCTGCCACAACACCCCTTTAGTTACAGCCACCTACGATAAGGTGAAGGACAAAACACACAAGATAACCAAGACACTATTTATTTATTCGTCCTTCTGACAGCAGTTTGGTATAAATTCAGACAGTAAAGTTTTAAGAGATATCCTTGCCATAATCTTTCTGATGCTTACTAATTTGCTTTATCATAATTATGCTGTTAATTGATCTCGCAATTAATTTTCTCCTCGTAAAATTGTGGCCATATTTGAATGTAAAGGACTGTACAGTATACTATATCACTGTTCTCCGCCACAGACTGATCACTCTTAACGTGGCTACAACTGATATCCATGACACTCTTTTAAGCCTTATACTGTACTGTGATGCATTTCAAAAGAATGAGTATTTTGTGTTTTTTTAGAATAACAAGTATTACTCTACATAAACGATAAATATTCACACAAACTGAAACTGTAAACAATCTTTTTGGAGACACTATCAGCAGTTTTGATGTTGATGTGGCTACCACCAAACAAATAATTAGTTTCTCTAAAAATCCTATATGAATTAAATTGAAAATTTATGTTCTTCTAGGATCAAACTGCATATATACAGAAGTTATTTCACACTGAAATTGTGGTAAATAAAAACAATCACAAAATTCCCATATTTGTCGTGATGCGGGGAAGTCACTTACCATACCACATATACATTATGTTTGCGTGTGTGTTTGTCATACAACTAATACATGCTCCTGTGCACAAGTATCAACACAAAAATATCATTACTCACCAACCTAACAAAATTTTGCAGCACCACCTAACACAATCACTCCCTCAGTTTGCTAAACAATCCTCACTGGATCTGCACCACTTCCTCTGGCCCTCAAATTCTAAGATACCAATATACCTCTCGTACGTCTATGGGAAAGGGTCGCGGAAAGGGGACGTGATTGCTGCCCGTATCATCGTTGGGTATGACTTTGCTTGGGAGATTGGTATCCCCGCATCCCCTGAGCAACGCTCTTGTGCATTATGCAGAAGACCCGACAGCAGCACCCTTATCCATTACCTCCTAAGATGTCTCCACACACAACGCTTCCGTGACGCCTGCTGGACCACCACTCCACGACCCCCTGACGGAGACACGATGATCCTCCCCATACTGGCCAAATATTTTGTAAATAACATTGATTATGTGTTAAAGGAATGCCCTGTCTTCCTTAGGCTTTAGTAAGCCCTTTATAATATTTATACTGTGTATACTTGTCATATTTGCCAGATGCTTCTGGTGTCATTGTACAGGGGTACCTAGTGACAGCACTAGGATCCCGCTTCCTCTATCAAGGAATAAACAATTGAAATTGAAATGGAAATTGATACCAATATTGTCAATTGTTGTTGTTTATGTGTATTTCTGTGATTCAACTACAGAGGTCTTTAAGCGTGTGCTCTAAAGTAAGTCCTTGCACTAAACAATTGTTAAAATTACAGGAAGTTTTTCCTTTATCTCCGATCATCTACTAATATATAGAAACGGAACTTGGGTTCCGGTGGTTAAGGAGAGGTGAGGCGGGGGGTATGTAGGTGTTAACAGAGGCAACCTGGAGGTTTATCTAGTTTTACTCTAGCGGAAATCCTTCCCAGGCATCTTATTCCACATGATGCCAGAGTACACCTAACACTACGAGTGCCCTTGACGACACATCCGCCCTCGTTACTGCTGTACCTCTTTACTAATATTAGATTTTAAGACTGTCTATTACTGCTCTGTATGTATATTATTCATCGCGTTTGTATCCTAAGCTTTACGTCGTCCCGTCCAAAATAGGCCTCTAATATTCTGGGGTTAAATCCAGTGTTAATTCATTTATTATGTACAGACATTCGTACAGTATTGTTAATCAGTGTCAGTGCCGTGTTAACTGATCAGTGATCCTAGCTGCTTAATGTCCAGTGGTTTCAAGTGTTGTAGTATGTGCAGTGTCCTCAGTGTTCAGTGATTTAGTACTTAGTGAATTACAGTGTTCAGTAAAATTGTGATCATGAATGAGTGTTCAGTGTTTAGTATTTGGGTGTTCTATTTTCTAGTGTTAATAAGAGATAGCTGGAAAAAAAAACATTCAAACTGGAGATAAAACACTTAACTATTATATCAAGTGTTTCTGTAAATTTTCTTTTTAATCACATACTGTAATATTCCAATCAATAGACAAAAATTTTAAATATATTTTTTATTAACAGCCAAATTAACTCTCAATTTTTATTCTAGGTAGAAGCGAGACTAGCCTGGTGAGGGTGCGTGTTTAGTGTGTCTCGCCATATTGTGAAGCCCAGTCAACACCTGTGCAGACTTCCTGCCCACCCACTGAATTATACATCTCAGCTGCTAAAAGAAACCGCCTTTCCTTGCTCAGCACCTCATCAACTCGACAATATGGGTCTCGGTATTCTGGATATTGTGCTGCTGACGCTGTCCATCATGAGCAGTGCTGCCATCGGTATCTACTATGGCATCAAGGGCCGCAAATCGACGCCCTTGGAATACCTGCTGGGGGGTAAGTCGATGAAGCCCCTGCCTCTGGCGATGAGCATGATGGTGGGCACTGTGTCAGCCATCACCATCATGGGCAACGCCGGTGAAATGTACGCACACGGCACCCAGATGTGGATGATGGACCTTGGCATTGTTCTGGGCCTCGTCATCGTTGCTAAGGTCTTCATCCCCATTATGTATCCGCTTGACATGGTCTCTCTCTACCAGGTTAGTTTCGTAATAGTGTATGTTTGACGCCAAAAATATAGATAAATGTCAAGAACATAAGTACTTTTACAAATATCAACAGCCACAAGGCACCTTACCAATATCATACATCACCTTAACGTATGTGCTCTCTCAATCCCCAAACAGTACGTGGAGAAACGGTTCAAGTCCAAATGGCTTCGTCAGGCAACAGTGGTGCTGCAGCTGCTGGGCGGATACTTCTTCATCGGCTTCCTCCTCTTCCCACCTTCAGTCGCGCTTCAAGCTTTCACTCCACTCCCTTCTTACGCCAACATCTTTATTGTCGGCGCCACCTGTACCCTCTATTCTGCTGTCGTAAGTCAAACAACCTAACCTTTGTTCATTTCTGATGACTTGGAGCCAAATTCTCAAAAGTTTGCACAACTAAGAACAGTAACTTGAATGGTATCATAAGTGCTTGACCGTAACTAAGTAGTTCTTGTGGCACTCAGTCAGGGGAAGAAGTTAAATGTAAGAATCTTTAATAACCTGGACTCTGGGGTTGACAGTGACTCGGGAACACTATATGATCACTCAGCAGTAACTACTATGTACTGTATTATGCCAAAAGGAACAAAAACATGTGTAGGTTAGTTGAATAACCTGTAGTTATTAATACTGGATTTGTGATGACTCTTACACAATTATTTGAATGTAATGGAATAACTATATGTACAGTATTATATAATCTGTAAACAGATCAGTGGAAATACAAGCGAGGTCAAGTCAAACCCAAAGGCGTTTTACCGCTATGCAAAGTCGAAATTAAAAACGCAAGTAGGAGTATCAGACCTGAGGCTTGAAGATGGTAGTTACGCAGATTCCAACCAGGATAAAGCTGAGGCATTGAACAGCTTCTTTTCCTTGGTGTTTACAAGAGAGGATACAATTAACCTTCCTGCGTTTGAGGACAGACGGTTCGACACAGCACTGACCCACATTGTGTTCACAGAAGAAGGTATTAGAAATAAACTGTTCAGGTTAAAAGTCCATTAGAGTCCCGGCCCTGACATGGTGCATCCTAGAGTGCTAAGAGAGTTGTACAACGAGCTTGCCGAGCCCCTGAAGATCCTGTTTTGTAAATGCCTGGATGAAAAAAAGGTCCCCAGTGAATGGAAAGTGGCTTATGTGAGTCCTATCTTCAAGAAGGGCGATCGTCACTCCACGAACAACTATAGACCAGTGAGTCGGACCAGCATAATATGTAAAGTACTTGAGATTATTATCAAAGATGCCGCAATGGAAGATCTACTATGAAACAACCTTGTAAAGGATTGCCAACACGGTTTTATGCCGGGGCGCTCCTGCTTAACACAATTGCTCAAGGTATTGGATATTTGGACCCATATTCTGGAACGGGGTGGTAATATCGACAATATTTACCTAGATTTTGCCAAGGCTTTCGACAGTGTACCCCACGAAAGGCTGAAAATCAAACTGGAAGGGTACTGAATTCGGGGAAATGTCCTAGCGTGGATAGAAGTCTTTCTACATGACCGCAAGCAGTGTGTGGTGATTAATGGCACGAAATCATCATCCGTACCTGTCACAAGCGGGGTACCACAGGGCAGTGTATTGGGCCCGCTGTTGTTTGTTTGTTTCATAAATGACATGCATGTCGTTGTACACTCCTCCATGCAAATGTTTGCCGATGACGCCAAGTTATTTCGGGAAATCAAGAACCATGCGGACTGTGAAGCGCTGCAGAAGGACCTCTGTGGGCTCCAAGAATGGTCGAAGAAATGGCTGCTGAGATTCAATGTCACAAAGTGTAAGAGGATGCACCTGGGGCGTACCAACGGTAAGGAGACGTAGCATATGTCCCAATGGCATGAAGAAACTGCACTATTTGAGACTGAATGTGAGAAGGACCTAAGTGTGTATGTTGACAATGAGCTGAAGTTCTCGGGCCATTACGAGAAGAAGGTAAATCAGGCAAATAAATTATTGGGTCTTATAAGAAGGTCGTTAAGATATCTAGATGGTCCGTCCCTCATAACAATCTTCAAGAGTGAAGTGCTTCCCCATCTAGAGTACTGTCACCCCATCTGGTCCCCGAGATATGCTAGGGACTGTCAGTTGGTTGAAAATGTTCAAAGGAGGGCCACCAGACTGGTGCCTGCACTTCGGCACCTCAGCTACCCTGAGAGATTGGAGCGCCTGAACTTGCCTAGCTTATACTACAGACGGGCAAGGGGAGACCTAATTGAGGTGTATAAGCATCTCAAGGGGCACTACTCAGTCGAGTGTCCTTACTTGGAGCTGGCGGACGCTCGCCCCACAAGGGGTCACAGCTCAAGATTGAAGAAGCCGCAAGTCCAGAAAACAGTGAGGGCAAACTTTTTTGGAGTGAGGGTTGGGAACTCTTGGAACAATCTGCCAGAAGGTGTTGTGACAGCACTGAGTGTGAGCTCTTTCAAGACAAGACTTGACCAACACTGGAGTGGGTTCAGGTACATTCAGGAGCCTGTGCATGCCCAGTACTTGCCAACAGTGCGTAACAGAGACGTGACCGATCACCCAAGAAGCTAACAAGCCGATCTTTTGGTGAAGAGGATAAAAGAAAAGGAAAAGTAATCAGAGACGTGATCGATCGCCCAAGCGGCTAACGAGCCGATCAGTGGTGAAGAGGATAAAAGTAAAGTAAAAGTAAATACACACAAACAACTATGAATACAGGGCATGTTGTAGGGGGTGGGTGAAGATGGTGGTATGTTGTAAGGTGAGGTGAGAATGGGTGTATTGCAAGGTGGGGGTTAAGACAGTAGTTTGTTGCAGGGTGGGGTGAAGGCAGTGGTGTACGCGGATGTGCTCCAGTCACTGGTGATGATCGCCGGGGTGCTGGCCATCGTGATCCAGGGATCCATGTATGCGGGCGGACTGGACATGGTGTGGGACATTGCCTACCACAACGACAGAATTGAACTGCTCAAGTAAGTCAACGTGCAGGCAGAGGAACACCACCGCTGTTTTCCTTAGCATCAAATATCTGATGTCCTGTTTTTTCCCCTTCAGGTATACAAGAAAAGTTATAGTTACATTATGAAACTTCTCTCTCTTAGTATACTGTACGTACTGTATATTGTATGGAACATAACCCTGCCAAGCAATGAAATTGTGGATAAAGTAAACATTATCATTCTCCAGCTCATTTCATCTTAAGATTAACCACCCTAATGCTAGCCTAACCTAACTTAAACCCCAGGTACAGTATAGCATTACGGTGTTTCCTCATCAGTTGATATAAACTGAGGTGCTTCATATTCACCAAATCCAAAATTTTACCTATGATAGAATGAGGCTAATGTGCAATTGTCGGCAGCTTCAACCTGGACCCCTACCAGCACCACAGCTTCTGGCTCTGCATTATTCTTGGTTTCTTCTTCACTCTCGGCACCTTCGGCGTCAACCAGAGCCAGACGCAGCGCTACTTCAGCACCGGCTCCATCGCACAGGCCCAGTGGTGGGTCTCATGTGTGTGTACTCCTGTAAATTAATTATTATCTATATTTTTATACTCCAGGAACTAGAAGTGAGACAAGATGTTAAGGTCTCTGTTTTAATCATATTGTTTTTCCTATGGATTCCAATGTTATAACCAAAACTTGTGACAGAATATAAAGTTAACAAAGAAATTCACATCTTTAAAATAATTTGAGCAAATAATACTTTATGGACACAAAGGAAAAAATAAAACGTTACAGCATAGTTGGTCACTGCCACAGGGTGCTGTACTATGCTGCCATAGGGATGGTGTTCCTGCGGGGGCTGATCAACCTCTCGGGCTTGGTGATATACGCCTACTTCAAGGATTGTGACCCCCTCACTGAAAATGATCCGCATAAGGATCCCGCCTATGTGTTGATCCCGTATGTGAAAATGGTGCTCACGAAGATCCCGGGCCTCTCAGGACTCTTTGTTGCTGCAATCTACGCCGCCGTACTCAGGTGCGTATGCGCTCAGAACCTTCATCTGACCGACAGTACTAACATGAATACAATATACAAACAGATCTGAAGAATTTTCTTCATATATGTCCATTATTAGTAATAACTGCCAAAGTTTCTGTAGTCATTAAACCTTTAGAAGACAAAGTATCCCTAAGGTACAGTATTTTATTCTGGTTAATGCCAGGCAATTTTATCCAGCTGAGGGGAGTCCCTGCCCTTTAATAGGTTAGATATTGAAAGATTTATTAGTTGGGGTTCCATTTTTACATTGAAATAAACACTAGTCACTCAAAACTGAATACTTATAGTACAAGAGACAGTGGTATGAATAACACAGGCCCGTCAAGGACTGTTCATTTTCATTTCTCTATTTGCTTAAAAAGAAATTCTGAAGACACAAGCTTCATAATGGCCTTTAGAGCTCATAATTAAATTTGAGATTTGTCTTTTCTCTAAATATCTGGCCAGTGATAAGATATTAAAGAAATCTCAACCAGAAAGTACATCAGTGATAGTGTGTCCTGCCTTAACACAATATATAATACAGTACAGTATTGACTTAATAAAAAACAGATTAACATACACAGTGTCACTGAATTATTAGTGCCAAGAGGTGATGCATACACTTATTCTTGGCTGCATTATCTCAACAGCTCAGTGTCAACACAGCTCAACTCCATGACGGCTCTTCTGTGGGAGGACTTCTTGAAGGTGTTACCCATCTTTAGTGATTGGAGTGAGGTCAAAATTGGGGGACTACAGAAGGTGATAGGTCAGTAAAATTTCTTCCTGGGGTTATTTCACCTTTTCATTATCTATACAACTATCATTTTTGTATCTCTTAACTTGTATAACAGGAATAGCATGGTAAGATTTATGGCAACTAGGGTGACTGGTGGTTGAAGGTGTTTTTAAGTTGTTGTCTTTGTGTGTTGGTAGTGTTCGCTACGGGCACACTGGGAACCGCGCTGGGTTTCTTGGTGTCGCAGCTGCAGTCCTTCCTGACGACTCTCTTTGCAATCAATGGCGCTCTCTCCGGCCCTCTCATTGGCCTTTTCCTCGTAGCCGTCTATCTCCCATGGGTCACTTATAAGGTAAGTTACCTGAACCCACTGTTATTTACTCCGTCACTTCCTACTACCACTTCATTATCATAAATGCTACCGAAAGTCAATGATTCCAGCAGCACGTCATTTTCATCAGCAGTGAACAATCCCTTAACACTAACTACTAGAGTGCTCATGAGCCACCATTTAATATCCTAAAATATAAATTATATGGTAGAAATTTTATTTTTCTCTTTAATTGGCCTTATTATCAACCTGTCTTCCAAATTATTTTCAGTACAAATAGCCAAGCAAAGATTTTTTTCATTCAATCCCAATTTCCATTTACTATTTGAAGAAATTAAGATTGTTTTTATTTACAATTTAATAATACTACAATATTATACACTTACTAGATTAATAATAACTTCTATTTTCACATCAACTATTGAAGTATAAGTACAGTAATATAAACTATAAGTGGATCATATGTTTCATCTTTTTCTTTTATCCTCTTCACCACTGATCGGCTCGTTAGCCGCTTGGGCGATCTGTCACGTCTGATCACTTTTCCTTTTCATGAATCATATTTCACACTAACTGTGAACCATGAATGTAATATTGGCTTTTATGTAACATTCATTAAATTTTACCATATTACATTAAATTTTGTACTGAATGAAATGAACACTTAAAAATTTGAGGTAACACCAGTAATTTTTGCCCCCACACACACACTATTTACGTCTCCTGTACATACATAAAATTCAAAAACTATATCATGCAATCTTTGAATACCCTGAAATGTCCTCATATCTGTGTACGTACGTGTATACTTGCACGTCCATCCGTACAAGATACTCAACTGCACTGATATTTCTATTTCAGGGAGCCTCTGCCGGTTTTATTGTGTCCATCATCCTCAACATGTGGATCGCAATTGGTCAAGTTACTTTACCTAAACGGGCCTTATTGCCATCGTCCAGAAGCGGGTGTAATACAAATCCTGCCGTCGAGATGTTCATCGCTGATGACCCCTTCAACGTCACTGCCACAGATAATGTCTTCAACCTCACCACAGTGGCAATTGACACAATGCAAATGGAAGACACGTAAGTACATTATCTGTTACAGACTTGATGAATCATATGCTTGTGCTTTGAACTACAATATCTTTGTACAATACTTTAAAGTAGAGGTCAGGTGGTGAACATTCCCAATAAATTGCTGATATGAAAAGAAAATATGAAAAAGAAAGTGAATGATAGTGGGATAATATTGAGTCATAGTAACCATGGTAATGAGGGGGAAGAGATAAGAAGACAAGGAAGGGATGTGAAAGGGTGGGGTAAGATATAATGGAGGAAGAAAAAAGGTTTAGTCTTATTTTCCCCTCTGCCATTGACTTAATACAGAGCATCTTTGGTTATTACAGGAAACACCCGGTGTACGGTCTGTCATACTGCCTCAACTCACTGTGGGGAACACTCTTCTGTATCGTGGTGTCTGTTATTGTCACTGCCATTACAGGTACAGTATATACTGTATATAGTATATCTTCCACATCTCTCGTTCAGTACCTATATCTTCTTATCAACCTGCACTACACCTTGTTAACTTCCATTACACCTTAACAACCTGCATTACATCCTCTTATCAATCATTATTCTTATCATTGTTGTAGTCATTATTATTTTTTCTGATATTATCATTATTACACTGCCAGTAGAACTCGTGCACTTAATATTTACGTCAAGACAATTTTCTGTATACACAATTAACGATAATGAAATAAAAGTAAAGTATAATAATAGTATATAAATATGTACTGTGTATATAGTATAGTAACAATATTAACAATAAGGATAATACTACTAATAATAATGATAACGTAACTAATATCCACAATACTTTCCTCATACTCACGTGTCATGTTCTAAACTGCAGGAAGCAACACACCGGAGGATGTCGATGAGAAGCTGATCGCCCCGGGGTCGTGGGTGTTGTTTCAGAGGTCACTCGTCCTTCAGGCCAAAGAGTTCTTCAGAGAGAAAATCCTCCGAAGAGAATCCTCTACCAGGGGGGGTAACAAGCAAAAGGACGAGGAGCTAGAAATTAAAGATCCACTGAACAATTCTTTAGAATTAAAGGAGCCAAAAGATGATGACATTGAAAGCAGAGGAGCTGTCTGAAGTTAATGTCTTTTGGAAACATTATGACATTGAAAACACAAGATATTAATATTCTTTAACAGAAAAGTCCTGTTTGAGCTGCAGATGTTTGAAATTAATACTTTTTAAGGAATCCAAGGGTTGAGTGCAATATGCTATAGCCTTTGAAGGCAAGTGTTGTTTAGGTGAAAACAGACTACAGTAGTACAAAAGGTAAGCCTGTGACTTTCTGGAGAGGTGAGAAAGAGACATATCCAGTGGTGAGGACATCCTAAATATTGTACAAAGGAGAGAGGAAAAAGTATCTGAAGGACATACTGGATATGCAGTAAATTTTAAGGCATTGAGCGACTATAAACGCACGTGATTGAAATGCATAAGAGCAGTAGTATAGTATACAGTATATGAGTTATGTAATACACTATGCGGTGCAAACTTTGAAGGATGCACAAATTAAAGTTTTCTTTCACTGTAGAACGTTACGTCTACTGAAGTATACACCGGCATCATGTATATATTTTCATTCAAAGTTTGTTGTCCCAAAATCTAGATATTAAGAAATTTTTATGATAAATTTTTTTTTATGAATCTAATTTCTCATATATACTGTATCACATTTCCAAAGACAAGTAAGGTTTGTGGTAGAGTATTGGCCTAAAACATATGTATAGTGAACACTAAAGTGAAAACTTTCATAAAGCTCCACAGTTATATTTAATCAATAGCCAAAGGTGAGAGTTATGAACTCATGGAACAACCTGCCAGTGTGTGTTGTGATGGCACCGAGTGTGAGCTCTTTCAAGACCAGACTGGATAAGCACTGGAGCAGGTTCAGATACATTCAAGAGCCAGTGCAGGCCCAGTACTTGTCTACAGTGCATAACAGAGACGTAACCGATCGCCCAAGCGGCTAACGAGCCGATCAGTGGTGTAGAGGATAAAAGTTTAAAGCTAAAAGCTATACCAGTAATTTGGACTGTCTTATTGATGGCACTAGTTATGTCATTATATTTCCGGGTTATTACATGTACAGTATATTCATTCTATAATATTATGAGGAACATTGTAAACCCTCTGTACTTTAAACTGGTTAGATAAATTATCATTTGATATTTTTTATACCAGTGAGATTACTAAGGTGCTACTGGCTGTGTTGTTGATTCAGGAACAGTCATTATCCATGACACTGGGTTTATCGAATTGTGGTATGACACCAGGCAACTAAGTGATAAATTGTATTTCTTTTACCTAGCATATCTACACTTTTGTCACTGCATTAGTACAGACATTTTTTGTGCACTCAAGAAGTCTGTCATAATTTTCTTGACCTTCCCATCTCTCACCTAACTGTATGTACAGCAAACACAAAAAGTATCAAGCCCCCCCAGCCATCCAAATGAATATGAAACATCAGGTGAAACCTGACCCAACCCAACCAATACATGAACACATCTTAGTTTATTGCTCATTTTCTATTATACACTACTTGACCCTGGGGAGTTATTACAGTGTTGATTGGCTGGACAACAGTTATGCTTTTCCTTTTTCAAAAGATGACTATTACCAGCAAGTTCCTGTCATCAGCTTCTTGACATTTCATCAGGCAAACCTATGCTTACACAAGCATATCTACAATAATTATCACCAGAATATAACTATCCATCCCATAATTTTATCTCGACCAAAAAATTTAATTATCGGGTCAACCTATCATGTTAATGGCTACACATTACCTACATACGAATTCTGTCGGTATATCCCCCCCAAAAAATAGATCAACATTGAAAATGACTAAAGTTAATCCTTAAATACTTTCACAAAAAAGTAACAAATGCCATGATACAGTACAACTAGACCATTATGCGACATATTCAGTGCTACAACACTCCCACATTCTCCCTAAGACTTACCATTAAAATTACATCCTATGAGAAGATAATTAAGTTTACCTGAAGTTTAATAAGAAAAATGAAACACCTTATCATGAAAATCTTATTCCTCAGCAGTTCTCTCACTACAATCCTCCATTATTCATCATCAAATTTTCCTTCAAATAATACTCATCACTTGGCATTAAAGATGTTTGTTACAGCACATTGTATGTCCAATTCTGTGTGAATATGTTACTGTCCAGTCCATTTTCCAACCTGTCCAAAATGGCATATTTAACATCTCCCTTCACCCTCACCTATCATCACAAATACTACCATGAATTTATTAGCCTACAATAAAAATAATATAATGTCACACTCTGTAGCTACAGTGTATAAACAGGTTCATTTCACCTGGTCAATGATTTAATTATCTGTCATTTCATTCAGTTTGAAGTACGTAGTTGTCTAGATTTAGTCAAAAAATTCTTGTTTTCCTACAAAGTTTATTTAATATTCTCTTGAGAAATAAGGTATCATACCACCTGTTACCAATCTTCCTTTCTCTTCACATTAGATACAGTACAAGAAACTTGAGGTGAAGCCTTACGCGTCGCCTAAATGGTGATCATTACCCAATGACGGTAACCATCATTAAAAGTTTTAGTCAAAGTTTCAGGATTATTTTCTGCCAATATGGTTGTAAAACCTTATTAATTACAATTTGCATTGTATGTTAACTGCCAGGTATTATAATGTCTATGTCAAGCATAAACTTTTCATATCAAGAAAATTATCCCCAATATTTTGAAGCTGAAGACATGACTTTTATAAACTTTCTTTTTGGTAACTGTCAATTCTAGCTAATATTCTCTAATAGTTCTTCACAAACTGCCAAATTAACACAGATGCAAGATTTGATTGCTATACAAAATTGTGTATGAAAGCAATGCTTTAACAGGTTGGGAAAGATACTGTATATAGCCTTAGATGTTAAAGCCCCTTCTAAAATTCAGTAACAATGTAATAGATAATTTAATTGTTTATTATCATTCCTTTTTAATTTTTATATAATCACCTACTTACTGAGTTTTGAACCAGTCATGTATATATATAATGATGACAATGATTTTTATGAAATGGTAAAATTTGATTCCTGATGAGTTATACAATACTGTATGTAATCAGTTCATCTATAATAGATTTAACTCATTTCATATACACTATTATTATTATTCATTAATCCATTATTAATAGGAAATATATTTTAATTATATTTTTATATCAATGGTACTTATGTTTAAGCTTATAAATATTTCCTAGTCTTTTGAAGAAATCTCACAATTACTTGTATATGCTAAATGTTGTACTTATGTCTTCAATTATTGTATGTACAGTATGTATGTAAGCCAAAATAAAATAATATTAAGAGTAGACATATATGTATACACATATAATTATTACACCACTGATATAGTGTATAGTGACATAGCTGAGTTTGAAAATAGGAAATGGTTAAAGTTTGATATTAGTAAGAAATCGTCATGTGTACCAGTGAAAAGCGGGGTACCACAGGGCAGTGTATTGGGCCCGCTGTTGTTTGTACGTATGCTTCATAAATGACATGACAGAAGCTGTACACTCCTCCATACAAATGTTTGCGGACAATGCCAAGCTATTTAGGGAAATTGAGAACCAAGCAGACTGTGAAGAGCTGCAGAAAGATCTGTGAGCTTCACGAATGGTCGAAGAAATGGCTGCTAAGATTCAATGTCACGAAGTGTAAGAGGATGCACCTTGGAAGTACCAACGCCTTGAAGGTAGAAGGGGATGAACATGAACTGGACATAAGGTGCATCAGTGCTAGATGGGCTAAAAGTTTTCCGAGTCAGTCAGGATTGGCATTCACTTTTTTACTTTTTACTTTTATTCTCTTCACCACTCATTGGCTCATTAACTGCTTGGGCGGTCGGTCATATCTTTGTTATGCACTGTTGGCAAGTACTGAGCATGCACTGGCTCCTGAATGTATCAGAACCTGCTAGTGTTAGTCAAGTCTGACCTTGAAAGAGCTCACATTCGGTGCCGCAGTTGAAAAGTTACGACCCTCTCTTTGCACAGTACAATACTGTAGTTTCTTTTTCCATTTTGATAAATTTTTCTTTATCTCACCATTGTACAGTAACGTTTGGAATGTAAACCATAAAATACCACGAATTTACAGATAGAGCTCTTAGGGTATAAAGAAGAGTAGTACAGGTGTACTGTACTGTGTAACAACAGTTGACATACAGTATGGTTAGAAATAATGATTGATATTTAATGACTTCCCCTTTATTTTCCTTTTTTTTTGTTTACATTCGAAATTAACATAAGTGAATCAATGAACAGTCTACTTTATGGCAAAAAAAATAAAAACCTGGTGTAAAACACCGAAAAGAAAACATAAGAAAGTGAAAAAAAAAGAAAATGCACATTCTTCCTTAAGACAATAAGATCAAAACCTCTAAAACACTGACTATGACTTAAAGAGTTTCAAAAAATAAAGAAAAATAGTACTGCAGTAACTTAAGAGACTGGGGAAAACTTAAGCGGATATAAGAGGAACTAGACAAATAAAAAAATAAATAAGATAGACTTATAGAGATCTTGGAAAAGATAGGCATTAATGAAGGAGATACTGTATCAGAATTCTAAAAAATCTTTACTGGCAATAGGAGGATGCAGTGTCAGTAAATAATAAACTTACTAATAGGTTCATAGGTAGACAAGGAGTAAGACAAGGCTGTTTCTATCTCCAACATTGTATAATATATATTCAGAATTCTTAATAAGAAAAGTTATAAGTGATGATGAAGAGATTAAAGGTTAATGGTATAGTAATATCATATATGAGGAGCTTCGGACCTTAACCCGTTAAGAACGATATATCAATGAAATGTATTCCCAATCTCTCCTCTGTCTCCTGGGTACAACAGAGAGTCAATTTGGAACTTGTAGATGTGGGTGAGTCCTCTGATAAGAATATTGTATGTCACATATCCTCCCTGACCATTTTCCTCCACTTTCTTTTTTGGCACTTAGCAGATTATGGTGTGGAGCAGATGATGCGCAATGCTCTTATTGCGGATAGTGAAGAGGCTACACTAACAGGAAAACAAATGAAAACTGGGATGGATGAATGAAATTAAAAAACTGGGTCCCCAGAGATATACAAAATCTTGCAGGATTGGTTAAAAACAGCCCAAAACATTCAGAGTGGAGGTTACCAACCCTCAGAAATTATGATGGTACAGTAGAGTACTCTGTTTAACTGGTTGAGTAATTCTTTCGGTCCAAACTGTAAGTATTTTCGGCTAAATCTTTGTAATCCTCCTCAAGTGCGGATAGATCATCACGGGCCTCCATGAATTCTTCATCTTCCATTCCCTCTGCCATAAACCAGTGCAAGAATGCACGTTTGGCAAACATCAAATCAAACTTATGATCTATTTGAGCCCAAACATCACCAATTGCCGTCGTATTTGAAATCAAGCATGCAGCAAGGTCTACTTTTGATAAATCCCCACCTGGAACTACAACAGGTGGCATGGAGTTTGTACCTACCTTGAAACCAGTTGGACACCATTCAACAAAGTTTATGGTGTGGTGAGCCTTTACTTCAGCAATGGCTGCATGCACATCAGTGGGCTCTACATCACCCCGATATAGCAGACAGCAAGACATATACTTCCCGAATTGCGGTTCACACTTAACCATCTGGTTGGTATGTTCAAAGCATGCTTTGGTGATCTCTGGAACAGACAGCCGCTCAAAAGCTGCTGTCGCTGCTGGGTGCAGTGGGGCATAGCTGACGAGTGGAAAATGAACCCTTGGAAAAGGGACCAAATTTGTTTGAAATTCTGTTAAATTTACATTTAATGAACCAGGAAAGCGCAAGGAAGCTGTTAGTGAGGCAACAACTTGGGCAATAAGCCGATTAAGATTGAAGTAAGTGGAGCGTTCAACCCCAAGCATATTAGTACAGATATCAAAAAGGGCCTCATTATCGACCATAAAAACACATTCTGCATTTTCAATAGTTGTATGAGTTGTTAGGACAGCATTGTATGGTTCTACAACTGCAGTAGACATCATAGGAGAAGGACAGACTATGAATTCCAGCTTGGTCCTCTTACCATAAGCCACTGTTAAACTTTCCATTAACAATGCAGTAAAACCTGATCCAGTGCCACCACCTAGTGAGTGGAAGATGAGAAAGCCTTGGAGACTGGAGCAATTATCTACCAGTTTGCGAATACTTTCAAGAGTTCTGTTAAGTATTTTCTTGCCATTCGTATAGAATCCACGAGCATAGTTGTTTGCTGCATCTTCCTTGTCAGTGATCATTTTGTCTTGGTGAAACAGTTGACGGTATGGTCCGTTTCTAATTTGATCTGAGGAAAAGCAAAGCCGTTAGATAACGAGTTTTCCTTCAATTTTAACTAAAGGAATTATTACTTTTAAAAAACTGTGGGAATACCACCTCTACGCCTCATTCTTCATAATTTTCAAAGGTATTACTGTAACACAAATTCACATTTCTTAATTACTCAATCTCTGTCTCACTTTTTTTAATGGGGATTAGCCCACCCGGGCAAGTGTTACTGACCCACATTGGGGCCTGGGGGGCGAAAAAAAAGGCATTAGAAAAAAATGGAACAAATAAAACAGATCAAGAGTGAAAAATGATATATATGTTGTGTTGTCAAAGTAAGAGAAACAATTGAGACCCTGTAATTGTGTAAGTGAGGCAGAAAGTCAGTCAGATGAGCAACCTGGGACTTGGTCCAAAAGATGATGATTACATTTAATTTCGCAAGTTGTGACCGAGTATGTCAACCTTTCAACTATGATAAATTCAATCGTTATCAAGTCATCAAGCATTTGGAATAGAATGAGAAATATACTGAATGTTTATTGTTTAATAACTACTCACCAATTACAGTTGGTTCCAGATCAACAAAGATCGCCCGAGGGACGTGTTGGCCAGAGCCAACCTCGTGGAAAAAGGAATGGTAGTTGTTGTACCCTTCTTCAATGACCGGGGTAGAGAGCATACGTCCATCAGGTGTGATGTCATGTTCCAAACAGAACAACTCCCAACATGCATTCCCCATTTGGCAACCTGCTTGGCCAATATGTATCAAGATGCATTCACTCTGAGGAGGAAAACAAGGCTAGTGTCATTCAAATAAGAATTATGACCGATTCATAACAATACCCATCATAATTAAATATATTTCACTATTACACATCAGACAAAAAAGCTCATAATGCCAGTGGAGACAAGGTGGAACATGTTTCCACTTAACCCAGAACGTCGCAATTGTTGGCTGGTAATGGGAAACAAAAGTACTTAGATACCAGACCCAGGGAAGATTCTTGGGCGTGAGTTAAGTTGTGCCTATCCCCTAAACGGTACAGTATTTAGGATGTGAAAAAAAGTCATAATATTCTAATATTTCACACTGTCCCTAGCTGACACATATATAGTGATCTAGAGAATAAATGGATGTTTATCATTTTCGTGTAAGATTATCAGTAGCCATGTTCTTGTGCTTGGTGGAACAGTAGTCTCATACACCCATGTGCCCGGGGGCGGTAAGGTTATTGTTTTCTAATGGTGTGTATCATACGTGAATTTTTTTATGAGTACTAACTTAAAATTGATTAAAAAAAAAAATAATTTGCACATGAAACCAAAGTTAAATTTACACGAACACGTAAAATACACCAGGTAACCCCATTCTCATATCTAAACCTCGCTGCAACCATAAATCGAAAATTAACATAATTGTATATAATTAAACTTCATACATTCATTTGGTTTTCCAGTTGTAATTAAAATGATATACCAAATATAAACCATGAAAATTTTTGCTGATCTTTCCTACTTAATGTTGGCTTATACGAGCATTTTTTTCTGCCAAAATTAAGGAAGATTAAACTTACTTTATCGCTGAAATTGAGCCTGTCCGTCATGTTGATACAGTGGCCAAGGGTTTTAATTCCCAACTGACCGTATACAGCACAGCTCCTTGTTCTGGTGTAAACGAGCTCGCAAACCTACACCTGTTAAATTTATAAACAAGGAACTGTTGGCTGGGACGCACTGTACACACTCACTCAACTTCACGGATGCAACTGACTCGATGTCTGACCATCAGGGTACTTGACACGACGCCTGGAGTTCGTATCAAAATAAATTTTTTATATTTGTCACACTACACAGTAGACAATGTAATTATTCACTATAAGGGTTCATTAATAAAATAAATGTGAGCACGTGCCATATTTAAAGTTTGGGATATCAAATACAACCTGTACTGTATTATGAAGAATACTGAAAAGGATGAATGCAATAGATTTCACGTAACCTCCCTATTTTCCCATTGGCACCAAAAAGCGTTAGCGTTATTAACTAAGGTCGCCATGAACATAACAAGGTTTAATTACACTATTCCATCATCAATCAAAATTTATGAGAAAATAAACTCGTGACGCGCCAAATTTAAATTAGTAGCCATGACGTCACCATCTAACCCCGCCTGCTGGATTGGTCAAAACAGAGTAAAGAAGACTGTGATTGGTTGGAAAAGGTGCAATAATGTTGTCCTCTTCGACAGCATCTTTAGTTTCCTGGCATGAATCCCAATGGAAAATTAAGACCCTACCTCCAGAAAGTCCTATAACATTCCTAGAAAGGTGCAAAATAGAGCAATTAAGATGATTTTCTGAACTATATCATCTCGATTATCAAGAAGCAGACTGAGGGCCTCAGGACGAACACATCTTCAGACAAAGCACAATGATAGGGCAGATCTTACAGAAACATTTAAAATCTTGAGAAGAATGGAAAACGTGAACCTGGGCTATTTGTTTTGTGATGTTGCGCACCACCACAAGGGGACAACTACAAGGTCGCCAAGTTATCCTGCAGAACGAACTACTTTGCACAGAGGCTGGTAGACCTATGGAACAGACTACCAGCTCAAGCTGTGGACTCGAGAACAGTAACCTTTTAACGGGTTTATTGGACTACCCTTAGTTGAGTAATATACTGCTTCTGTACAGTCCGTGCTGCACCAGCGTAACATGTATCATGCTGCCGTTATATTATACTGTTCTTCAACAACTAATATTTTTAACCGTATAACAGTCAATAGTTAATTAGTCCATCAACTTTAAAAGGTTAGAGAGATAGAATTCCTACTGGAACATAATAGGTAGCAAATTTAGGGACAGGAATTAACTCTGCGTTAGGTGTTGGTTAATAGAAGATAGAAAGTCATGACAAAATCTTTGTTGCATAAACTGTGTAGTATACAATTCCTGTAAGTGCACACTCTATAGGTTCATCTACTAGACAACAGATATTAAAAATTACGGAATACAAATCTTTCCAATGAATAATGTAGAAATTCCTTAGAGGATGCTGTTTTGTCAGGCAAATGAGTGACTCAATACACCTGTGGCAATTACGTTAAGCCGTTTTTTTTTTTAATGATGTTAATACTGTACTAATTTTTTCTCAAGGGAAAGACATGATAATTTAATCTAAAAGTATTTATATATAGTTTCATGCTGATTTTTTTTATTAATTTAAATATAATGTATTTTGATTGTAAAAAAGCGGAAGCATCACAAAAAAGGCTAGTTATATACATGTACAGTATAAATGTTTACACATGGTAAAGGAACAAAAATAATGCGACTTCAAGAAAGTGTCGTTGTGGTAATGTTATTACTGCGCTTCAAAACCGAAGGTCTTTAAACGAGTAAATACGTTAATAATTACATTATTAAAACAATATTTAAAAAATATATATGTTAGGAGAGTAATCACTGCACGATAATGTGCGTTCCTCTCTCTTGATGTACTGTAGGTGCAGAACTAGTAGGTCGGTACTCGGCACACCGTACAATGCCATTCTCACCAGAAGAAAAGTTTATGTTAAGTTGCCAGGTGGATGATGCTGAGGCAGTGACTTCGATGTGTAGCTTACGATGACTTCTTGTTAATAATTTGCATCTTAACTTCAAAATCACCAGTTAAAATGAGCACCTTTTTAACCTGGATAAAAATGTCAACGTCGTGTTATACTAGATAATAGGCGTCTGAGTGTGTTTGTGAGGATACGTGTTTCTTATCTCTAGTTAGTATCACCAAGTCACGAGTCTGACGCCCTTCGCTGCAGCTGTCACTCCGTCCTCCACCTCGACCACGTACCCTCTCTCTGTCTGAACAAATATCGTGTGAGTACTAAGCTGCAGACTGCTAAAGTTATTTGATGAGTATTAGCAATAAACTAGCCAAGCTGTGTATAACATTACGTGAAACGGAAATCCTGACATGGAGACGCCCATGACATCAGTGTGCTTTCTAACTTCCATTGTACATCCCACACAGTTGAGTTACTTATTACTGGCAGTCATTCAGAATACTGTAGAGTGTAGACTTTTTAAGGTTAAACCTATTAGTGTCTTGTGTCCAAGGTGAAAAAAGTCAAAATCTAACAATATATTCCGATGTGAATAAATTAAGTCTCCCGGATTATTAGACTTCATAGGCGCATTAATACAGTTTTCCCACGCCTACCGTTATTGGTGCGGCTAAAATCAACTAATTTCCATGACTATATCCAGGGATTATTTATACTATTATTGGAGTTACTCTTCTTTATTAATGGGTCTCACTGCGTCAACAGAGCTCTGCTAGTCGTCTGATACAGCCTTTTTCTGGACACGTTTACCGAGATAACCGACACGGCCAGCACTAAGGCTCAGTATAAATCGTGAACCGGGAGCCTAATATCAAACATTAGGTGTATAGGATGAAGTCCGGCGGTAGAGTGTGAGCTGTGAGACCTGGGAACTGAGGAAACATTAGGTGACGGAATCAGCTGGGGTTGAGAGTCGAAGATACACTCAACAGTCTTCTCTCCTAAGACGTCACCCCAAACGTCATCATGGTGGACGCCAACACCTTCAGACACCCTACTGTCTTCCTAAAACTTGTGGAAATTGTGAGTATATATGTATGTGATTGGTTAAAAAAAAATATTGACCGAATCTCATTGTTTGTATACACTTACACTTTCGAAGTTGGCAAGAACATGATTTTGGTCCTACAGACTATCAATGTCTCGTGTACACCTAAAGACTCCAAAAACAGTTTCGTGTCTCTGTTAAACATTTTATTTGACCCTAAACACTAAAATTGTCACCTTAAATGTTGTTCTCCCCGTCTAACAAGATGCTGCTGATCATTGCCATGGCAACTTTCTTCAGTGTTATTGGCGGGTGGGGAATGTACGTGGCCAGCATCATCCTCGGCTGCTTCATTAACGCTCTCATCATCTTGGGCCTTTATCTCATGGGCTACACCCAAATTCAGCAGACACCTTTGGTACGTACCTGCTGCCGCGTGTCTTGGTGTGTGTGTGTGTGTGTGTGGTGAAGGTGTGTATAATATGGTCTCACATCCCACAGGAGTCGACTTTGTACCTGTACTATGGTGTGGGTATGTTCGTGTCGTCCATCCTACTGATGTCGACCCAATTCTCCACCCTGGTAGCGAGCGGAGTCTTCTGTCTTTTCCTCACACTGGTCTATGCCCTCGACTTCTACTTCTCCTTCATGGGGATGAGAGGCCGCCCTTTGTCCTTCCCCCTGGGTGAAGATCTCCCTAGGGATTCTGGTGCCCCGCCTAGCACCAGTAGCCCCCCTGCCATCTTAGATCCTTCAGCCCTCCCTCCACCGAGCTATCCTCAGGCAACAGGAACTGCAGTGGACACCGTGGACAGGGGTGTGAAAAACATCTCCGTGTTCGAGACTAACCCAAGCTACCCACCCACGATGGACTTCCAGCCGACCCAAACTATCTCAGAGCCTTGGAGGCACTCGCCAAGAACTTTGGATGGACCTCGTCCCTGAGTCCCTTGATGGTATGCACTTGTGGAGTAACAATATGTACAACGTCTTCACCAAAGGCTATTTGGTCTTCACTACACATTTATCTTACTACAGTACTGTATAAGAGACTCTTTTTCACTTTTACCATCAGCATAAGTCAGGTACTTTTCTTACCTACGTCAGCCATTTTGGTGAAAACCAAAATGGCTGACTTTAGGGGTTGTCTGATCTCATTAACCATTAACCACTACCACTCCTTTGGTCAATATGTTAACTATCTATCATACAAATGTCACCGTAACAAGAGATTATGGTAAATTTTATGGTGTTCTTAAAGTTAATATGGAGTGAATTCCGTAAGGTTCAAACTTAAGAGTGGCAGTCAAGTTAAGTTGTTTCTGTTACATTCTCAATAAGCAACGAATCTGAATCTTGATTATCATAACATTGATTTGGTTGTAAATGACTTATGTGGCAACATAATATTAAAGATATAAATTATAGTTAATTTGTCGTTAGATAATTAAATATTACACCGGACCCTGGGGTCTCAATACATTTTGGATTGACTGTACATGTGTCATTAATGATAACTTCATTAGAGTGTATCATGGACAACGACAATACAGTAGCCTACATCTCACTGCGGGTGTATCACAAGTGTATTGTTCCTAAACAATAATATATAGCTTTGTGTTTACATTTCCCTGATAAACTCATACATCCAAGTCACAGTGTGTACTCCACCTGCGCACAACTGTACTCTTCGAAACTGTATCATGTTGTAATGTACTGTAGGTGTTCGTATCCTGCTCTCTGAAAGAACGGTTTATATACACTTGCAATTTTGTGGCTTTACTGATAAAAAGGAACGTCCTATGTAATCTGTGTGTTTGTATGATTCACAGAACTTACAATAATGTTTCACAAACTCAACTGATAATCATTTGAGGTGGCGAGTACAGTTACTAGTCAGCCAACACGCGTACACTGATGGGACACTAGGTATTGATATTTTTTTTTGTAATACCTACCTTATATACCGGCTTTTATTGTACCACCAAAACCGTTTTATCAGAAATTATCATGTAGAGAGATAGAAATTACCATTGCAATTATATATTTGCCAACTAGACATACCTGTACAGTACAGTAATCCTGACAGCTCTGTTCCACCTTAATACAAACCACGTTGCAATGATTCCCTCCCTTATCAAATTTATGTTTTTAAATTCCGCTGTAAATTAGGAATATACTTATAATATAAATGTAAAAAAAATAATAAATATCGAAGAGATAGCCGTGGTAACATTCTGATATGTTCTTATTACCACCATGCTATGTGTACTATAACAGTTGATATTAAATGGTACATACTACTTCCTTGAGATAAATGTACGTACAGTATACTTGTATATCAGGTGCCTACAAGAGAGCTCAGGCTCTCAACTGGCACTGCCATGTTAATATTATGATTTTTAATCGACTCTGTATCTGTGTTCTTCTGGCTAAATAAACTGTTTCAATATCAATGTTTAAGGTTATACATTGTTTGACCTTTAAACTAAATATGAAACATGCAACGTTTACTCTGGCCTTAGTAATAAGCTATTGAGTAAATAATGGCAAACAAATGCTGTGGCGAGTGTGGTATCCAGTGATCTCGGGACAAAGAGATATTATCTGAAGTGGAGAGATAACGAAATTACACACTACCAGCCGATCACCGAGGATCAGAGAAGAGATTCTCTCTCTCGTAGTTCTCAGTCTTCCTGGTGTCTGCGAGACAAACATTGATTTTTTTTTCAGTAAACCCCTATGGGCGAGGCTGGACAGCTTCAACCACGAAGTTACATTTATCAGTTCTTGCACGTAATCCCCTCTGGTTGTTTCTTAGTTCCTCCACGTTGCTTTTCAGGCACTCAATCTGAAAAGTTATTCGGATCCTATGAAGATTAATTATCAGTTTATTTCAATAGAAGATTAAACACAATAAAGCTAATCAAATCTAGCATTACCTACTGTAACCCAAGGTACCATAGAAAACAAGGTGGCTCACGTATCAAAGAAAACAGAACCTCTAGGAGCTCGGGACGTCACTAGCGCCCATTTTTCAGGCCGAGTCACATATTACCAAGACTAAATTTTAGCTTCAGTAATTGTAATTTCCATTTAAGTTCTGCTTACAATGTTTTGATAGTGGTTATTTATGTGTGTGCACAATCCTTTCAGTCTGACCAGGAGAATAATAGTGGGTTGCATAAGTAGCTTTAATTACATTTTAATCTTAGTGATTTCTTTGTGGTTTTATTTTATATAATATTTAGATTTCACTTGTTTGTCGATTTTGCGATTTTGTTCCGATATTTTTTAATGCTTGTTTTGAGAATGCGTTTTCTAAAAAAATGCAATTTACACCTCCCTCCAACACTCTACTACAGTGCTCTTATCTATCGATACGACCATTTAAAGACGTGTGAATGAAGAAATTAAACTGACCCTCCTTCAAAAGAAGCTACATATTCAAAATTGTTTTGGGATGTTTAATTTAACACACATTAGGCTACATTGTATGATGTAGTTGAAGGAATATAGGCTTACCGTTTGAACACGGCAGTTGTAATGATGGTATTGGCCTATTCTTAATCCTTACAAGTCTTCCTGGTACTGGTAGTCCAGGCAGTTTATATTTAAAGTTTTCCACAATCGCGCTGGGCTGGCCTCAAAAAGCAAGCTGCATATTTGGGTATTTTCAGCAATTATAAAGTCTTTCCTCTTGCACAAGTGAATCCATTTTCTTCTCAGTTCTTTATCGTTCGGAAAACCATGGAAAGTTATATCACCCATGTTTTTAATTTGTGATAAACACCAAAAAACTGAGCAAGCGGTCAACATGCATGCCCAGTACTTGAGAACAGTGCGCATCAGAGACGTAACCGATCGCCCAAGCGGCTAACGAGCCGATCAGTGGCGAAGAGGATAAAGAGGTACTTAATCATCAGGTGAAATAAATGTTGTTTCCTAAACTTCATGTAATAACACTGGAAAGTAAATATCATGACCAAGCAACAAAGAACAGACGACTAAAGTGGTGTTTACTTGTGTTTTATACGGCCGGTCACTCCTGTGACGTCATCAGTGTTTACATGGTGTGGCAGGTGTGAGCAGTGTGTGTCGACTGTCTGAGTGTGTGAACAACAAGGGTTACTTCTAAGTCTTGTTTCGCCTCAAAATAAGGTGATTACGGGGGTCATACTCTATTATGCTGGCGCACCTAAACTATTTATATTAAATATTTGTTGTACATGAGTACTTCATTACTTCGAGAACAACTGATTCACCCTGGAATTGTAGTACACGTTTTGTTTTTCATGTTTTTTTCTTGTAATATTAAGTTTAACAGGGATATAGTTTAGTGGTGTTTGTTTTAATTCATCAGAGCGTCCAGAGACATCCTTACTTTAGTCTGACATCAAATGGTTTTCTTAAGAACATAAGAAGAACATAAGAAAATAAGGAGTCTGCAATAGGCCGGTTGGCCTGTGCATGGCAGCTCCTGTCGAGAGTTACTACCACTCTCTATCATCCATGAATCTATCTAGCCTCCTTTTGAAACTTTCCAGAGTTCCCGCACTTACTACAAAGTTGCTAAGTTTGTTCCACTCGTCCACCACCCTATTTGTGAACCAGTTTCTTCCTATCTCCCTCCTAAACCTAAACTTATCCAACTTGAATCCGTTTGCTCCGAGTCCTATCCTGCTCGGATATTATAAGAACTTTATCTATCCCTTTATTGATTCCTTTCACCCACTTAAATACTTCTATCATATCTCCCCGCACTCTTCGTCTTTCTAGGGAATGCAAGTTAAGTTTCTTTAACCTATCCTGATATGGAAGGTTCCTAAGTCCCGGAATCATTTTTGTCATTCTTCGCTGCACCGACTCGAGTGAATTTATATCCATTCTATAATAGGGGCACCAGAACTGAACCGCATAATCGAGGTGCGGCCTAACTAGCGCAAGATATAGTTGCAATAAGACCTCTGCACTCTTGTTACTTACACTTCTAGATATAAAACCCAATACTCTGTTTGCCTTATTTCTTGTAGAAATATACACAGTACAGTAAACAGTATAGACGATATTTGGTCGTTTACGTCTCGCCATAATATGGGCTTCACATCACCACAGAAATATTATACATCCACACTCGGTGTACTGTGATCAAGTCTGGTTCCCACATCTCCAGAAAAATAACATCCTGGAAAAAGTACAAAGGCACACTATTAACTGGGTCCCCTCACTTAAGCATCTCTCCAATGAAGAGAGATTCAAAAAACTTGATATTCCAAAGTTGACCAACAGAAGACTATGCTGAAACTTTATTGAAAACCTCAAAGGTTATGAACTATTTATAGAATGTTAATGCAGACCAATTTAAAGACTGTAAAAACCCAGATCCCATGTAAACCCTTGGAACAGCTTATCACAAGAGGTATTGGCTATAGGTACCGCAGCCCTTCACCAAAAAATCACACTGGTTATAGGTACGGCAGCCATATTTATGGACTGTGTTAGGTTATAAGATAGGTTTGGTTAGGTTAAGTGAGAAAGATCACAGCAAAGATTCAGTAGTAGCCATAATGGGAAATTAATAACAAAAATAGGTTTTTCTTAGATTTTTCCCTGGTAATTCAATAGAGTATGACCTCTATTTTCGTCACTGATGTATATTCATGGAGATACAACAATGGTGTTTTTTTACAAAGTGGCCAGGGCTTTGAAGATGAGGGAAACTGTGGCTAAGACATTAAAAAACACCAATCAAACTTTTGTGAACTTAGCCTAATCTTTCCTAACCTAAAATAATACCAAATTATAAATTTTTTTGCCTTATTTAACTGATGGAAGAGCATTAAGTGATTCTCCTCTTGTTTTTTATTTTCGGTGTTTTCATACAAAACCAATGTGCTGATCTAGCACTTTTAGAGGTTTTCAGTCTTTATTACAGTTTGGACACTTTACCGAAGTCTGCAATATATCATGCGCTCTGAAAATGTAAATTGTAACTTTGTTATTCATGAGCACGCTGAATGGTTTTCCATTCTGTCAAAGAATATCCGTCACAGGATTCCATAACATGAATGAATACGATAAATCTAGATTAAAATTTTGCATATGCATACCGCAATTAACGTTAACGTGTATTATCATTAATAAGGGGATACCTGTCCAAATTTAGTTGCCATACTTGTTGACTTTCATAACTGGCCTGCTCAGCTGTGGCACAAGAACTCAGGATTATTACATGATTAATCATCTTTCCTGAGAAGCATGCTAAGCCCATTATGAAAGAGATGCTGTCATCAGCTTGACAATGTATACCCCCTGTGCCCAGCATAATGCTGCTGGACATTGTGGATTTGGGGAGTTTACAGGGTTAGTTCCTTGTGCCTTTCTATAACAATATGGATAGCTTCCCTAGCTCTGTGTGTGTCACATTAGTACAGTAATTGGATTCTATAATGCCATCTCCACATATATGGCCGGCTTTAGATATGAGTGTTTAGGACACAATACAGTAGGTCATAAATGGAGACTTGGACCTAAAATCTCTCTTTTTGACAGAGGAACTCATTTACCCTCCTTCCTTCTAGGGTAGCTTTTAAGTAGGCTGGGAAAAGGGTTTTGAAGCTTGGAATCACAGCTAATAGCCGAGTCAAGTGACAGGTATGGTGCACACAGGTAGATGTGATGTCAACAATAACTGGTGATTGCCTTTCTAAACTCCATTTCAGGGTGTCATTTATAGTGGGAAGGTATGAATTATTTTCTAATTAGTAGCAGCTACTGATTTTTTAGGCATTACCTCACTTTTAATCAAGTATTATTTGTGGAATTATATTCAAGTTGCTTAATCCAGGCTTGTTCATAATTTAGCAAAATGTACCATTTAATACCTGATTTATTAGGGTAGATTGTTCTGTCAGATTTCATATACTAGAAAAGTTCACAAATAAAACAAACTATAGAAGTGCACCTCAGTAGTGATTTAGTTTTAACAAATATTTTGACTGAAAATTCATGATTTAATATTGTGGTACAGTATTTGTCACATTAAAGTTATGTTCTGCTTTCATGCTTCACCAGTGTGTGGATGTGAGGAAGGTACAGCTGCCCAGACTTGTGTAGCAACTCAAGATATATGCTTCAGATATGATGCTGTGGGTTTCACATGTCACAGAACATAAAGCAACATGAATTTTCGACAAAGGATGGCATGGCTGTGCCTTGCATTTTACTTGGCGTCCTCAGTTGCAGTTGTGTACTATTTTCTAGATATTGCTGATCAGTATGCTGTGTTTTCCTTAGAGCATTCCAAACTGCATCATTCAGCAGATTCTAGTGTACCAGCTTGGCAGTTCTGGCAGCACATTGGAGACATTCCATTCCCAGCTTTAGTTATTTTATTAGCTGTTCCTTATTTTCAAATTTTTGCTGCTCTTTTTTATTGCACTCTGCCAACAGCAAATAAAAATGTAAACAAGTGCCTTATACCAGTCATAGGATGGATATATTTATTTCAAAAAGTTATTTCTGTTTTCAAAAGTCGTGAAAGTGTCAAATTAGACAGCAGACAAGATAATCACATTGTTAGTTTGTCATGACTCCTCTTGAGTACTATGACTTGCACTTCCATTTTTAATTTTTAATGTTTATTAGGAATGTGAGAAGTAAATGTGGAGCACTGTGCAGTATTTACCCTGGTCCTGTGAGACTCACTTTACATAATCTATTGTTGTAAAACTTCACTGCATGTGTTTGTTACTTGTGTCTTGTTAAGGTTGATAATACAAGCATTTATGATCTGGTTCCCCAAGAGGCATATACAGTACTGTACTGATATTATATATGTGTCTTTCTTTGGCTACATCAGTCTTAAATCAAACTTCTTGGATACCATTATGTAAAACAAAATAATTTCACAAAACTACGCAATATAGATTTAGAATAGAAGAATGTTTTTATTGTGTGGTATAGTTTGTATTATTGAACCTTATATTAATTTGTAGGCTTAATATGATATTTTTTTTACTGTAGTCTTTTGGTGTCAAATCAGTCAGCATCTATTAAAATGGTACAGTAAGTCCTCGCTTAACGTCGTGGCTACGTTCTTGAAAAGTACAATGTTAATTGAAACAATGTTAACGGAATAAATTTTCCCCATAAGAAATAGATAAAATATGCTAGTTAGGTATCCCAGCCTCCCTTTACCCCATAAAATACTTTACATATACATCAAGTCAATGGAATTTTTTTTTAGAAAATATATATTATACATCCAAAAAGATAAATATTCTAAATTATTTTGTATTGTACTCATTGATGGGCAGAGGTGGAGTGAGAGGGTAGTGGAGAGGAAGGTGACGAGTCACTGAGACCCAGATGTTTAAAACCTCCACATTCGTAGCAAGGCTAATGGTCTTGCGTTGCTTCTTCACATTACTAGCATAATTAACACTTGATGGGCGCTTGGAAGCCATTTTGAATGGTTACACTACAGTATTTAGAGCAAAAACACTAAAGCATGCACGTACGCTGTGGAAGCCGAACAAAGACTGGGGACACTGTGACGCCCCGCGAGAGAGCGTAGCGCACCAAGATGAGAGAGGGTGATGCGCCATACAAAGTAGTCTGTGTTGGGTGACGACGTTATAACGAATCAGTCGTGACGTTGTCGGAATCATGGGTATCTAAAGAGTAGCGACGTTATAACGAAACAACTTTGTCGGGGACAACGTTAAACGAGGACTTACTGTACCGTAATTGTAATTCACTTTGATGTTATGGTGTCTGAACTAGGAGTCAACTTTAACATACAGGAAAAATATGTAGTAATGTAGGTTATTGTGAGAGGAATTATAATTTTCAATGCCAATGTTGAAGGGTATGGGCCTAGAAGTTGCCAAAAGTAGATTTTTTTTCATAAGAATGGTACAAAGATTTTAACGGTGATAGCAGGGAACATAACGAGCTTGGTATTGTAGGTACAGTACAGGTATTGGCAATCGTTGAAACTTTGCCATTACCATTTGAAACATGTAAACAGAGATTTAACTCAAGATTAAATACACAATGGAAAGTACAGTATATTATTCAAATATGAGAAACACTTCATTTGTGAAAGTTAGGAAGAAAGGATAAGGCATTACCAGTTGGAGATAGAGTACTGTATACAGTACATGAGCCATAATGAACTACTGTACTGTTGGATCATTAGTGGTGGTTTTTTGTTGTGTTTTTGCACTTAACTTGATTTGAATGCTTCTCACATATGTAAGCCATTACTCACTCTTCATATACAGTATATGAACAACAACAAAAAATAACTTAAATGTAATTAAACAGAAGCTCCTTGTTGTCCATATGACTACCTCAAGGTTTGAAGACATGGTGGATGTGGAGGTTATCAGGAATGTAACCTGTGATAAGAATGTAATTAATGGTAATACTCTGATACATGGATGATCTACGCTCCACCTTGAGTACCTCACTCTCATCAAGTGAGGATGGCTTTAATATAAACTTTAAATTGCATAATACTCTACATGCGACAGTTGCATTTTCAGCCAGGCTGCAGAAATGTTTAGATGTGTACAGTATATACAATATACACTGGACTGTTTCCCAGTATTCATATGAGTATGTAGCTTTGTTGTTTCACACTTAAAGTGAGAAACATTTTAGAACATTAAAATTCATATAAAGGGGGGTAGTTTACATTATTTTACTGCTTAAATCATTTTTCACCCTCCATTTCTGTTGGACATTGGGTGTTTATGTTATATAAAAATAGGCATCTAGAATAGAAGTGACGAACACACCAAGACCCGTTTTGAGGTAATCACAGTTAAAGTTTTTTATACCTGTTTCCACACTGAATTTATGGCAGGAAGGAAAGTCCATTTGAAGCCCAAGAAAAACGTTTGATGAAAAAATTAAAATTAGGGGGTGGCAAGTTCGTCACTCTTACTCTAGACACCTCATCAATAATTTTTATGATAAGTGCAGGTGTCTCTTTTAAGACAATATGGCATATTCCTTTTCATCAGCATGGCTCAACCCACTAAGAATGCTGCTGTGTTTGGTAATGAGTTTTAGGAAATAATTTTTCATTGCTCAATTAGCTATTACCATGATTAATACTGTACCATTGTCTCAGTAAAAGCCATGGATACATGAGGGTGTGTTTCACCCGTAATTAATACTGCTGCATTTTATGAATGATCATCATTAAAGTCTGTTGGTTATCTACTGTGTATCGATGCTATACTGTATGGGTTTTACGATGTTTAGAATTAAATACTATTCAGTACAAGCAAACATGTATGACATCTTGCTTCATGTTAACAAAAAAAAAAATTGCTGTGTATGACCATTGAAGTAAGAGTTAGATGGTTGTTTGTTTAAAGATTACTTTAAATTGGAAGTATAAAACAATTTTATTTTTTATAGTACAATATTCCTTATCAAAGTTAGTTTTTCGTGTTCATGTACAAATTGAATGAAGTGATGTAATTTTATAGTGAACTTTTGATGCAAATCAACTCTTACTTCTAAAATGCAATCTAGTCATGGTTTATCAAACATACTGTACTGATATTTTCTTTAGCAATATCTGGTTGTTCTTATAAAAGGTGTACTGGTAAGAAATGCCATTTTCTATACTCTGGACATTCATTGGGTTATTGGTAAGATTGACTGTTCATCTTGTATCAAAGGTGTATCTTGGCTTTAGAAGGTACCGGTATGTTGCACCCAATTTGCAGCAAAATACTAAAATACTTTAAACAACACAAATTGTTTTTTGCAATGTGTGTGAGTAATTTCTTCATACTGAAGTTTAATGTCACTCATGCCTTGAAGGACAACTCCAAAGGACTAGCACCTATTAAATTACACCTAAAGGCTTGAAGCCAGATAATATATTTACTTGCCAAAAAATCATAAAACACAATTATTTTTTTTGTATTTATTAAATGAGCTCAGGCTGCAGGAAACATCACAGACCATTTGGTGAGCTAGCCATTTTTCCCATTGAATTTTTTTTGTTCTAGATAGCAATTATTGTGTTGAAAATTTACCCCGATTCCATGAGGTTGAATTTACTGGCCGTATGCCGTATTTAGTGGTCATAATTTACAAATTCTGTATGGCTGAATTTCTGCAACCTGAGTTTCCATAACGTGGGAGGTTACCTCTATATAAATTTGCCAAAAATAATGTATCAATTTTTTTTATAATTTTATGGAAAATACTTACAATATCACAAAAAAGGGGGTCCTGGAGTTGACCTTTAAGTTCACGATCATAATTATGTAACATTTAAGAATATTAAATTACATGTTAGGAAAGTAACCATTTCATCTCGTTATCAAAATATGTTTACATTTTGAAATATTTTAGTGCATACAGAGGCTTTACAGCAAGTGAAAAATTAACCTTTAATTTGGCTGGTTCTTCCGATTGATGAGCTCCATGAATTATATTTTCATCGTCATCAGTTAATTTGTATTATGTATGTCCGTCCACAGGTAATGCTGATAATAATTTTGGTTTGCAGTTGTAGACTAAATACAGCCTAATGCATTTGATATGATATCGGTTGGATTTCTCTCAGTGATATATTTTATTAAAGTGTGAATAATAAATATACTATATACTGTTATTTACAAGGCCTTTGCATATTTATAGATGTCATAATGGTGTGGTATAATTTTTATTGCGAGTTCCATATAAGATCCATCTGAAATTCTCAGATTCTTAGTAACTGACTCCAACATCTTTATGTTGTTTACTATAATCTGTGAGATGACAACCCCCAGGTGAAAAGTGCTATTTTAATGCAGGTTATTGACTTGACAAGTGGTCAGCTCAATATGCATTACAGCAAAAAAAAAAAAAAAAAGGTTCTGGTTTAAGGACTGAACATTTCTCTCTTGGGCTGAGGTTTGAAGCACTACCAATTAATGTTTTAGTAAGTGAATTTTGTGGGAGATTTCTTAATGTCATGACGTGAGAACGAGCATGGGTACGTGTGATACAGGCGCAAAGAATAAACTTGTCACAAATACAGGTATTCTCACTATACAAATGGGTTAGGTTAGGTTCCTGAAAGACCATTCGGTAAGTGCATTTTCATGTAGTGAATAAAAGAACATATGGGAAAAATAACGGTAGTGTCTCAAGGTTGTTTATGTAATTATAGACTTTGACAAAAGCAGCTGCCCAGTAAACTGACAGTATCTTATATAACTGCCTTATTGACACAAATCATGAGGGTTTCGTGTGAATTTTTGGATTACCATTGCTTAATAACTTCCTATACCCTATATATTGTACAACACACATCATCTATAATATTTTCTCAAGGTATTTATCCACTTCATTGTGACCAATTCAGTATTGCACTCGTCTTTTAACTAATACAGTACAGACCTGTGATAAACTTTTTGGTTTGGGTTGTGTTCGGTGAATGTGAACTATCTGGCAATAGGAGTTATTATTATTCTGAAACAAAATTCAACAAGAGTCTCTGGATACTGATAAAAGTTGGATGGTTATTGTATTAGTAAAAATTTCAAGAAAATAAAATAGAATGAAAAGGTGAATGAAATACATCCTTTCACTCATAAATTATATGTATATACATAATTGGAAATAATATCTACATACATTTTCAACTTATTTCAGAATTTTAATACTTTACCTGTTACATTTTAAGTACGTACTATCAGCTACAGATACCAACAGGAACTAGATCTGTGGTGTTTGATGTCTCACTTGGGGTGTTTTCAGTATCCAGTTTGTTTTTCTTACTATAGTGCTTCTTACTTATAATCATTAGCATCATAACTGCTGGCAGATGGATAAGTGTGAACAAAAACAGTTTTCTTGAGCTCTTGCTGTCAGCATCTTCGTAGAATCTCCAAGCTGTAAACAAAAAAAGTTTCTATCACATTACAATTTAAGGTACAATTTGCTAAGTTTGGAATAAAGTTAAGGCTTGTTATCAACATAAATAGTTTTTTCCATAAAATATCCAACTGCAAAAATCTTTCCACAACTGTACTCCAAACAGCCAGTCTTAGGTTTATGGGCTGATTTGTGTTACAGGACCAAATCCTTTCATCCTTGCAAAAATATAATTCAGGTGAAGATTAACTATATGTGGGGAAGCTGTGACACACATGAGAGCACCATCATCAGTCACACACTACATAACACTTCCTGGATAGCCAGCATCACCTGTCTGCAGCATGTCCTGCCACACACATAATTTGATACCTTGCACTGCTCATTCACAAACATATATTTACTATTTTGGGGATGGGTTGAGAATGCATATAAATTATTTTTAAAAATAGTATGATATAAACAACAAATATTTTTACCAAGGTAAGAAAGATAGCCATTTAGTGGCAGTGAGTCAACTGCAAATGTCCATGTTGTAACATCAATCATGGGTGCAAGAGTGCAAATTCCAATCATGGCTATGCTGTATCGTAGAGCAACCCTTCTGCATAAACCTGAAAGTATAAATCCATTAAGTATTCATAAAGGTCTTAGTTATGCACAACTAAGTAAAGGAATGGAAACAAAATGATCTCAAGATTTTAATAAGATTCATCACAAAAACTCTTGAGTTTAATAAAAACCAAGAACATGAATAAATGCATTAATCTAATTTATGGCTTGCCATGATTTTTTATTTAATAAATTTAATGTGAAGATAAAAAAATGAGAGGGAATATGATTATCAGAGACTGGAGAGAGTCTAACTACTTAAGTACATCCAGAATAACACATAAATGCCGAAATGTGACAGTGAAAAAACCACTGGTTTAATTTTTTTTTTAACAAAAATTTTTTTTCTGCAAAACCAATGGAACCAAGCCATTCAAAATACTGTATATTATTACATCCAGTTTCCCTTCTTAAGTCGTATAACTGTCACTTTCCCTTATTTATTTACAATAGGATACTCTTTATCCATCTGTACCTATTGTATGTACTCAACAAATTACAGTATCTTCAAATACCTAATATCTGTGCTGTAGTTATGGCATTAACATTGCTAAAATACACCTATTGTATGAGTTCATTCAGTCACATGAATAAACAAAAGTAATTTCCCACTTAGGTGGAAACATGATGCAATCCTTGGAAGTTCGTTACTATGCCTGGCATGGACAGATTTCTCGGAATGCTTAAAAAATAAAAATAAATAAATAAAACCTGGCTATTGGAGAGTTCCAGGGATTGAATATTGGGGTTTTCTGAATAACAAATAATTAAAAAACAATCTTTAAAAATTTCCTTTCATAATATTCATACCTGGATTAGTTACCGACATCATGCGGTACCCAGCCCGTGAGTAATCAGACCGGAGGTTCCAGGAGAGGGCATTGAAGTGTGGAAACTGCCATGCAAACAAGATACTTGCCATAATCCAACCACCTGCCTCTAGACCTCCAGTGCAACTCGCCCACCCAATAAGAGGTGGAATTGCACCCACTGTAATAGACACACAAACACTCAATATTAGGAAACTTATTAGATTTTGTCCATTTTCATAATCTCAAACATTTCCATGACACTATTAAAATGAAATCTAAGTACTGTAGCTACTAATAATCTTTCTCAATCTGTAACACCTAACAAAGCAAGGTACTGTATATACAGTACTGTATTCTGTAACACCTAATTTAGCAAGGTATGTATCATGAAGAAGTACAGTACAATACAGTACTCCTGAAACTGAGACCACCTTCTAAAGCACCAAGATCACATTATTAAGCTAGCTATTGAAGACATACGCACATGAAGCCAAGGAGGTAAAACATCCTATTGCTGGATATTATGAATGTATGAACCAACATAATGGAATACTAGGTGCTTACTGCAGGTCTCCAAATGTGCTACCCTTCAAGATGTGACTGGACAAACATTTGGCAGATCAAGATGTCATGAACAATTGCAAGGCCCAGACTACAAGAAGTAGCACCCTGTACCAATATCCTAACCAATCTGGTGTAAATTACTGACATGTAAATGGAAAAAAAATCTGGACACAGACCTGATAAGTTGGTCCAAATTAAAGGCAGCTGCATTCATCAACGAGTCAATACTCACCTACTGATCCCACCCACGTGTTGATAATGCTCATCCTCTTCAGGGGTGTATAAACACTTGTGTAGAGGAGTAGGTTCAAAGCACCAAGGCTGGCAGCCAATCCATTTGCTCCAAAGTACAACATAGCCATGCCTGCTGTACCACAAGTAGCAGCAAAACAAATGCCATGCAATGGAGTCACCAAACCTAAAACAAGTATAATAACAATAATGATAATAATAACTGACAGACCATAACAAAGAAATACTAATGTAAGAACAAGGACTAAACTATGCTATACCCATCCACCTTCACAGCATTTATTTCAAGAATGAGATAATATCAACATCCCATAATAGAAAATAAAGTTAGGGTAAGGAAAGAAAAATATGGTTCATTAATTTTTCCATTTTCAATGTTGGGAGCTCTGAGTCCTGGTCCACTATGGTGTAGGGGGCTGTTAATTAAGGAGGGACATGGACTCTCTCATTTACTACCATTTGTTTATTTTAGCTAATTTACCAGATGTGTTCTACTATGATGTTCTCTCCTCTACGATCAACCCCAAAGATTATCATACACAGAGGATATGTGGATTCCATTTTTTTTCTCACTGAAAATCACTAAATATAAAATATGGGTAAGAGAACATATTAATCAAAATACTTTATACCCAATAGAACCTAGAACACTCCAAATGACTTACCTCTAACCAAAACTCTGTTCTTGGTACGGTCCATCTGAGAGTCAAATGGAACCTCAAAGAACTGATTAATAGCATTGGCAGCACTAGATGTAAGTCCAGTACCCAGAGTACAGAGCATTAGTGTGGTGGGATCAAAGGGACCTGGAGCCATGGCATATCCAGCTACTGCAGTTATCACCACTAAACCTACAGAGAAGAATGTCACGAGTCAAGTATATCTCTCTCTCCCACAAGTAAAAATTAATGATCTATGTATATTCACTAAAATACAGTTTGTGTGTTAGCTATCATTCTTAAATAGTCATCACCATTAAGAAGCCACAACATATAATAAATTGTCATAAAATAATATTTTTAATATACTAAATAAGGCATAGGGTTACTAGCAATGCCCATACAGTACTTAACTAGAATTGGGTGAAATTAACTCAGAAACCTAATTTCATTCTGAGTTTATGATCTTAAAATTAGAACATCAAAATATAATGTGAGTGGTTGGCAATCAAAACTCATGGTATGGTATTAAAGTATATAATAGCACTGTAAAGTATTATATCCTACGAATTTTGAAGTTAATCAATGAATCAAATAGAAATATAGTATGAAGCCTTGGTTCTTCATGACTTTAACCAAAACCACTAAAAACTGTCAAGATTTTATATGATGACACCACATCTGGGAAAATAAAGGCACAGTACTGTACAGTACTATGAATGATCAGTTCAAATCGTACAGCACAGTAATTATATGTACAGTACTGTATATCAAATGCTTGCATTGATAATTTTGATGTGCACCTACCAGTTAGTCTACTCTTGGACAGTCCAGCATAATAAGAACCTAATTTCTTCAAATCAATTCGCTGTGGTTTCCAGTCCAGTGCTCCTGGAGGAAGGGCTCCCACTAACTGTGTTTTCTCTCGTATGCTGTCTTTTGTTTCTTCTATGTACTCCACATCCTCATATGGCTGGAGAAGGTAACTAGATCAGTCAACCAAATTCAGAATAGATATAAATAGCAAATAGGATTTATGGGAAAAGTACAAGATTTTATGAAGATTCATGGATGATAGAGAGTGGTGGTAACTCTCGACAGGAGCTGCCATGCACAGGCCAACCGGCCTATTGCAGACTCCTTATTTTCTTATGTTCTTAAGTATAATTATTCTAATATTTTTAGCTATTTTCCCATTTATGGTTCTCTCTTTATTTTCTGAAGCCTACAATTAAAATATAATAAAAGATGTTTAGGTTACATTATCACGGTAAGTCATTACAATTTCCCATATTTTTTAATTTTCTTTATTACCGTATCACAGGCACAGATTGTAGTCCTAAAGTTCTTTATGCTAATATAAATTATCTCCAATAAGTTTGAGTTATATTTTCAGACCAAAATCAGACTTACCGGTAGTCATTATCATTTCCCACATTGCATTTATAATTACATGCAATACCGGTATTAGTCCTATAAATATTTGTGCCAATAAATTATCTCAGCAAGTTGAGGTTGTTCAAGTTTTTCAGTACTTAATTTTCTTATGTACAGGTTGACAATCCCTTATCCGAAATCCTTGGGACCAGAGGCATTTCGGATTTCGGAATTTTTCGGTTTTCAGAATGGTTAGGGTTTTTTTTTTATTAGCCCATCCGGGCACAAGTCACTGACCCACATTGGGGCCTGGGGGGCAAAAATATAATAATAATTATAATAATTATAATAATAATAATAATAATATAGGTAATAATAATAATTCATGGGTCTAGGTCGTGTTTCTCACTTTTTATCTTTTTTCATTCTTGTATTTCTTTATTATTATTATTATTATTATTATTATTATTATTAGTATTATTATTATTTTATTAATACAGTATTATTGTTATCATTATTATTTTATTTTGGTGTACTTTTTTAATTAAAATTTGTATTTACTATGAATAATTATTATTATTATAATTATTATTATTATTATAATAATTAGTATTACTATTACATTTTCGCCCCCCAAGCCCTGATGTGGGTCAGTGATCTATGCCTGGGTGGGCTAATCCCTGAAAAAAAAAAAAAAAAAAAAAAAAAAAAAAAAAAAATTGCTACACCAAAAAACTTTCGGTTTTCAGAGCTTTTCGGTTTTCGGAATTTCGGATAAAAGGTTGTCAACCTGTACTTGTAAACTTTACAGCAGTCACTAATAATACTGTACCCTGTACACAACCTCTTACACACACCATCAACATTTCAGTAATTGTTAACCACTTATGTATGGAACCACCTCTGTGCTAAATAAAATTGTCTGGCATTAGCCAAATAAAATATCAAAAGTGGTGTCCCCAGAGAGAAGGGGTTAAATTAAGAGTGCCTCTAGTCCGCTATCCTTTAAATTAAACAAAAACATAATTACCTGTATATTTTTGGCACTTTCAACTGATGTTCGAGAATCTTTTAATAACTGATCCACCTGGAGGTGAATTTCCTGTGCTCCATGTTCACCAGAGGAAGAACCCATCTGTGTAGCGCCATTTCTGACATCCACAACTGCACCAGCCTGGGCATGATGGAGCAGTGGTGCTTCCTTACTTATTAGGAATTTAAGTTTTGATGATTTTTCTATAAGCAGGATCTGGGAAAAAAATATCTACAATTAAGATGTGTAAAGGATAATGTCAAATCATCTACCACTTGTTCATGTTATTTTCTTGTCAATAATACTGTGTACAGTACAGTGCAGTACAGTCAAAATGTACTGTATTCTCTTTAAGAATTATCCAATCCTTTATGTAATTAAATACCCAGATTACTAACCTTTACATTTTTATCAAACTTATCACCATTGGCTCTTGTAAATGGCACCTCCCTGGTTACTTCAAATACATTATCTCCATTATCATCTCCTCCATCCTGTGAGTGGCTTCCACTGAGAAGCACTGTTGAAGATTTGCATCTATTGTGTAAACTTCTGAGGTATGAATACCTTAAACCTTGAGTACGTGGTCTGGATAAAATATGCACAGGTCCTTTAACAAAATATATTTTGGCTATCTCACTTGCCAGCCCCAGGGTGTTCAACCCTCGTGCACAAGCTATGCTACACATACTTCTGTGCCATGTTCAGTGTAACCTGTAAAGAAACAAATAAATGCATCAGTAAAACAAATGTATGTCAAATTATATAAATTAATTCCTGCAACATATCAATAACTAGACTCCATTAAACATCTAAGATATGCCGAAAGGCTAACAACAGATAGTCTACAGTACTGTACTGTAAATTTGCAATCTCTGTGTACCATAAACCTAGTTTTATTGGCCTTGGATGTAACTAATGTACTGTACTTTTCATATGTTCTTCATTTACTCAGCACCCTCTTGGAAATAAGCACCTGACAGTTTTGTTGGCTCTTCTTGGTCAAGTTGCTTAACTGTTTACCAATGAACTGTATAACTGCATTTTTTGTAAACTTGCTTATTCAATACTAAACCTGTACATATGACAATTTCATTGAATTAATATTATTACTGTATTATTAATACATTATTTTTTTTACAAATACAGCCTAACTTTTTTGTTCTAATGGACACTAATTCGACATCAAATTAAAGAATTAAAAAATTTTCTCCGTAATAGTTAAGTCTTTAGTTAACTACAGTTGAGTGTTTAAGAATATGCATCAACTCTAGGAACAATAGAGTGGCAAAGACATCAAATTTACAGGACTGTATTCGAGTTTGCTTCCAGGGATTTACTGTACTAGTTTCACGATTAATGGACAATTGTCCAGTGTTACAATATTACTGCCCTTACATAAAAGTGAAATTTGTTTTTAAAAATCCGTTCACTGTATCCAAGTGTCAAACTATGAAATTAAAGATGTCATTTCCAGTGCACTTTGTTCCAGTTTTGTTCACTACTCTGGAACAAGAGTCTGAGTTACCAGCAATTTTTTTCTTACATCAAGATTACCGCAACCCAAGTGGAGGAATTACAATTTCCGTAATATAATGTTCGCATTTTTTTCATACTGAACAAGCTGGTCTAGAGAATTACCGAGCTGTCATGTGCAGAGTTGTGGAAATGTGATCCTACACCCCTGTGGTGACCCCTGTATGACCTATAGCAAGCCTGTCCACCAATCACACGACCAATACCCAATCATTCAGTGATACTACTATTGTTACGGTGCCGTTTGGAGACACGGGTTACCACAGGGGTGCAGGAACACATTTCCGCAACTGTATATACTTAATCAATGTGAACTTCCACGACAATTTTACTGAAAGAATATACAGATCTAGATCCACTGCCGGACTTACGGTACATTCTATGCATTAAAATAGGTGTTCGAATTAGACCTGAAGCAAACAAACGACTATTAAAGGTTATTTAAACTCCAAATTAGATGTTAACAAGAAGGCTGCTGCAGTACTCACCTCCTCCCTCACCGTGTTTACATCTTCAATCAGGGTGTTCAAATGAGAAGCTAATAGATTTTTTTCAAGTAGCTGAAAAATATTATTATAGTCTATGTAATTATATATACAGTATATAATATTTTTCATTTTGGAATACTATAAGTAAAATTGATTTGATAAAATTTGTATACGAAAGTTTTTTGCTTGAGTTTTATCTAAACAAATACGAGCAGTTGTTCATAGATGAAGATAATTCCCTGAATATTTATATAAATTAATATATTTATTGAAATAAAATAATATAAATATATTTAAACCAAAGCAGTCAGCACGTTTACAAATAAGTTTATTAATGGCAAATAGTTTCACAAACATTTCATCCATTCCAAATCATTATTGATATTTTAATCCTTTTATTTCGTGTGAACATAAAACATATATTTTGGGGTAATATATACAGAAGTACCATCACAGTCTTTAAACTTTCTCCCCCATAAATCAAGAACCTTGTCACCACAAGTGAACAACAAAGTGAATCGTCTCTAATTCATAGAAATTTTTCATATTCAAATGAAAATTTTTATATTCATGTGAGATTTATTGAATATATTGACTTACTACTAATGGTAAAAATTAAAATTAATATCTGAAGGCAGCACAGAGAGGCAGTTGGGTCTGTTGGTCTCTCGTGCTCTTGTTAATAACCGACCAAACTCACTGCATCATGTCGGACGCTGAGGACGACTTTATGTGTGATGATGAGGAAGAATATGACTTGGTGAGTGAGATATATCGGTGATGTGAGTGAATTATACTGTTTCAGAGGGTCTTTGTGTATTGTAGTAGTGATACTGAATAACTATTCGGTGGACAGAGAGGAAAGATGTGGCAAAGATACAAGTGTTACCTTAGTGATGGCTATTGTCATGGTTTCATATATCATTAGCTGCTAGCCGGTATGTTACAGGTACTCCATAATGTTAGTCTTCAATGAATTCTCTTCCAGTGGGTGTAGATGTAGCTAGGAGAGGCTATGGGTTCATGGCCCGGGACACATTGTTAAAATTAGAAGTCAAAATACAGGCTACCACTTGTGTCTGGATAAACCTGCCTTAAAGGTTTCCAGTAATGTGAACTTTTAAGTGACTGGTTCTTTTCTGAATTCATTAATATGTTTAATTTTAGATAGAATAAATAGCAGAGTTCTGGTATAATAATTTGTGTGATCTATTCATGCTAACTTCAGACATACAGTTGTACAGTAATTTAGGCCAGTGATGATTATGGTCTTGATCACCAAAGTGTGCACCAGTACTGTATTCAGGGCCTCTGGCTTATAGTACTGGAGTCACTTTTGTAGACACGCTTATGGCTTTACCACCATCAGAAATGACATCATAGAATAAACAAATATTCATCAAAGGAAGAAATTAATTTTTTCTTAATGTCACCTTTCACCAGGAGTACTCGGAGGACAGCAATAGTGAACCGGACGTAGATCTAGAGAACCAATACTACAACAGCAAAGCTCTTAAAGAAGATGATCCAAGAGCCGCTCTTACCTCCTTCCAGCGTGTCTTGGACCTGGAAGCCGGGGATAAAGGAGAATGGGGCTTCAAGGCGCTTAAACAAATGATAAAGATCAATTTTAGATTGGTATGGCGTATAGTTACTTTAGTATATTGATTAATGATGTGATTATGGTCTGATGTGTGTGTGTGTATACCTTATATATATATACTGAACCAGTATTTATATATTTCAGGGCAACTATGAGGAAATGATGACTCGCTATAAACACTTGCTGACGTACATTAAATCGGCTGTCACACGAAATTACAGTGAAAAGTCCATCAACTCCATCCTGGATTACATATCTACATCCAAGAATGTTAGTGACTGCATTTAATTTGTTGAAGTTTAAGCAAGTTCATCCTTGCTACCAAATAGCCATCTTAATTTTGCCTGAACTTATTTCCCAAAAGGAAGAAATTCTGCACTTCTCAAGAATGGCAGAAGTATTACTCTGGCTCTCTTCTTATTTTCTCTATCTTTCCTATTTTGACAGTATGTAACTTCAAACATGGTTAAGTATATTACTGGTATGTGTTTGAGAGACATTTGGATACACTGTACTGTACTGTATGTACCTTGAGGGGATTGATATTAAGAAATTCGTGGTTTAGAATGATTGGAACTCATAAGTGTATTGTACTGTAATTTGTTTCATGATATAGAGTAATACAGTAAATACATATGGTACTCGTGTTGTCCTTAAAGCAGTACCAGACAGACTGAATGGCTTTACTTTCAATATACAATACTCAGAATTTTTACACTGCTCATAAATCATATCAAATTGTTTTATGGCGGGTTCAAAGTAATTAATGTATTTTATTTAATTTTTTTTTACCATTAATTATAAGCTCTATTTACCAATTGTTTTTCATTAAATTTTAGATGGAATTACTTCAAGACTTCTATGAGACTACACTAGAAGCCTTAAAAGATGCGAAAAATGACCGACTGTGGTTTAAAACAAATACTAAATTGGGTAAACTGTATTTTGACCGAGAAGATTACACAAGACTCTCGAAGATATTGAAACAGCTCCACCAGTCGTGTCAAGTAAGTCCTGAAGTACGTTATGTTGTGAGTCTCAGATGTTTTTTCCTCGTTATTAAAGGGGGTTTTAAGAAATAATTTTATTCTAGTGATATGTAATATATTCACTAGGGATCATGAAAATAAAAGAATAGAATTTGTTATTGAAGTAACAATCATTGAAATAGGGGTGAAGAATGTATACTATATTGTAATGCAATATGTTATTAAGTTTTTACAAGTTTCTCCTGTAAACAGACGGATGAAGGTGAGGATGACTTAAAGAAAGGGACTCAACTTTTGGAGATATATGCCCTAGAGATCCAGATGTATACTGCCCAAAAGAACAACAAAAAGCTGAAGGTTGGTGAATTGTATAAAATGAACCACTGTTTGAAGGGCACTTAAATTACAGGAACTCTTGGGTGAAAATGAAATATCAGTCAGTACTGTATTGTTAGTATTTATTAAAGGGTCCATGCACACTACAGCATTAAGTGTTGTGAAATGTATATCTGTAATAGTAGGTATCTCATAGAAGGCAGCCAGTTGAGTTGAGTTGTTAGGGTTAAATTGGTAAGAGTTTGCAAAAGTGAGTGGGTGTGTGATAGTGTTATGTTTTCAGTCTATTGTACACCATAATGCAGGACGGGGGAGAACCAAGAACAACTGCACCCACACTTTCTTCCTCTATATATTTTCTTGAATTCTTTCTTACTACTGTAAAGTAATACTATGATTTCTTCTACAGTACAGTATTCTCTCTCTACAGTAAGTGGCCGCACATATGTTTTTTCTCAGTTACTTCACACAGCCTAGCCTTACCCATCACTCCCTTCCCACTGCAACTGTTCTTAGTAATTGTTTGTAAAGGAAATCTATTCTTTTCAGGCCTTGTACGAGCAGTCACTTCACATCAAATCAGCAATACCCCATCCCCTCATCATGGGTGTTATAAGAGGTATGGATCAGGTCATTCTTTCTGTTTATATACTAACAATTAACTTCCCATTATTTTTTTCTTTATTTTATCAATGACTCCTTCCTCTTCAGGTGGGTGACCATGACAGAAGAGCCTCCAGGTTGTCCTGCTGTATCTATACATCCTTGTTCAGTTTGATTATAAGATACTTTGTGTTCACATCTCAGATAGGCAGAGAGAATTTCCAGGTCACTTCCCACAATGCTGCAGACAACAAATAGGGAAGTTTATGTTGTTTTACTAAAGAAAAATCATAACCACAATGGAAGAAGAATATATTTGCTAACTTTCAAGAGATGGAAACAAACTTCTAAGTGTTTAAAAGGCAGAAACAATACTGTACTGTACAGTACAGTACATAATAATAACTGGCTACTTTTGTTTTTAATTACTTCAATATTATGTATTAATGCTAAATGAGAACTTAGATATACTTTAACAAGAATTTCACATTTTCAATAAAACTGACTTTTCTTTCAGAATGTGGAGGGAAAATGCATCTTCGGGAAGGTGAATTTGAGAAGGCCCATACAGATTTTTTTGAAGCTTTTAAAAATTATGATGAATCAGGCAGCCCAAGAAGGACAACTTGCCTAAAGTATCTTGTTCTAGCAAATATGTAAGTTGAAAGTTATTAATTCAGAGTTTGAAGAAAATTTTTCATGAATCCTAAATAATTATTTGGAATCTTGAATTTTACTGTATTATCTAAACAAACACAATACTTTCAGGTTAATGAAATCTGGCATCAACCCATTTGATTCCCAAGAAGCAAAACCCTACAAGAATGACCCAGAAATTTTAGCAATGACCAACTTGGTGGCTGCCTACCAGAATGATGATATTAATGAATTTGAAACTATTCTAAAACAAAATCGATCAAATATAATGGATGATCCATTTATCCGAGAACACATTGAAGGTCAGTAAATCAGTCACTTACTTTTATGTTCAGATATAAACTATGATTTTTTGTAAATATGATGAGACTAGAAATTATTTTGTACTGTGATAAGGTGGCAAGAACATTATTTTAAAATATTGAACAAGTGTGAACTGATTAACTATAATGAACAATTTCTATTTCCATTCAATTTCTTGCTTGTTGGAAGGTGTCATATTGTTTTAATTTTTCTCAGCTTCTGTTTACTATGAGAATAAAAGTAGATCTGTGAAGCCAAAGCAGATTGACTTTTTATATGTATGAGTTCCAGAATAATGAAGTTCCCACCTCTTACTGTACTAATATCCATATATACTTGCACATCATTATAAAGATTCTAGATGTTATGTTATCTATCATCCTCTCCTATTTCAGATCTACTAAGAAACATTCGCACGCAGGTTCTTATAAAGTTGATCAAGCCTTACACACGAATCCATATCCCTTTCATCTCAAATGAACTCAATATTGATGCCACAGATGTTGAAGCTTTGCTAGTGCAGTGTATTCTGGACAAGTAAGTGTCAGTTATCTCTTTATTGTATTTTAACTTGTAAGAGGATCCACACGACAGGACAGGACAGTAACTCAAATATTTCTCTGTGTATAAAGAATTTCTTAGATTTAACTCTAATCCTTTAGAGGGCAGGGGCTTCTCTCAGCAGAATAAAATAGTCTGGCATTAGCTGGAATAAAACTTGAAGGTGTATCACCGCCCTTTAAAAGGTTAAGTGCACCCACACAGTTATGTATAAGCTTCTTACATGAAATTATTCAATTTCATGTTCTCATATCATTATTCCCCATGTCTGGGATATTATTTGTTATTATTAGATTCTTTGGTTCTGACTTAGTATTATCTTCAGTTTTCTTCTATACTCAGTATACAGTGAGTTCTGCTATAACGCGTGTTTTGATAACGCGAATTTGCTCTAACGCGATTTATGAATTCGGAACAATATTTGTATAACGCGAACGCTTGTTTGCTATAACGCGATTTTTGCTGACTATTTCTCCAATTTTGTGGTATTAACTGTGAATATGGTAAAGAAGAATATCTCCAAAAAGCGTTCTGATGATAGAATTTCCGGTGATTATCGTAAAAGAAAGGATATAACACTTGAAGAGAAGCTCGATGTTATCAACCTCAAAATCACCCTTCTCCCCCATCAAGTTACATTCATATTTTTTCAAGGTAAAGTGTTAAATTTACTGTATGATTTCATTATTAGATATGAATGTAACATTTACTTAGACTGTGCTATCCTTTGTGTTAGGCTAACTACTAAATTTTTTCGATTTCGAGTAATCTGCACCTAACCCTATTTTCTCCATAAGCCCTGTTATTTCTATTACGCGATTTTCTATAACACGATATTTTACAAGAACACAATTATCGCGTTATAGCAGAACTACCTGTAATACCTTGTTACAGGTAATCTAATTGGCTTTGACTTAATTTTCCCATTCACATGCCTTCTTCACCTGGATCTTTATAGTATATACCTAACAATCTTCCTTCCATCATTATTAGTGCATCTACAGTCTTTTAAACAATAAAGTACTTTTGATGTTAAGTATTAATTATATAAATTTAAGTGTTGCATAGGATCATTATCCTTTTCTGTCTACAGCACAATTGATGGACGGATAGACCAGGTGAATCAAGTACTGGAGTTGACAAGGGGAGCAGAGGGTGCAGCACGCTACACTGCACTTGACCGTTGGACAAACCAGCTACAGTACCTACAGTCTGTCATAGTCACAAAAATGAATTGAGTAGACGTAGAAATAAAACATCATATAATCTTGGCAGAATCCATTCAGGGAATTAGCATCTTCACTTATTTGCTCACTATACCTGTGTCAGTGAAAGAAAATTTATCTACAGTATACTATATATACATTAATTTGTATACAATTATTTATGGTGTAATCTATACACAGTTGAAAGCGTAATGAAACCTAAGAGAAGGAAATGATTAAAAGATAAATATATTTAAATCTTGCAGCAGAGAACAAAATTGTAATGGAAAAAATAATGCAATAGAACCGAAAAGTAATCAACAATTAAATTTGGAACTGTTAAATATACTGAAAAAGCTTTCTGCAGATGTGATTTTGATTGTGTGCTATAATTGATATTACTGTTGATATGCTGTAAGCTAAAAATAATATATTGTACCTTTCTATAGCTTTGCACTTTCTTTTCATGTTGTTATTTGGATCTAAAATGTTTAATTATTCCCAAAGTCTTAAGACACCCTTCAATTTTATACATATGTACTGAATTTGCATTTTTGTAAAATGTGATTCTGAACTAACTTTTTCCTATCATTCTACCTTAGAGGTGAAATGGAGGTATAGAAGTAGGAAATATTTTTTTTTATAAACAAAATAATTGAGGAGGACATAGACCAATAATTAAGTGTCACAAATGTAATCTCTTGCTGGTGGTTTGCTTGTGAGGAGCAGCACTAAAAAAAATTGGGGTTGGAGAGTGGAATAGACTTTCCATATCCCCTCCTGGAATCAGAAGTGACTAGAAGAGTGCAGAGATACTAAATACTGGTACTTTCTACTTTGGGCCACCCCAGTAAGTTAGGGTTGAAGTAAGATTGATAAGAGAGGTATAGTTTGATTGTTATTACTACTGTATGAGGAAAGCCATAAAACACTTGAATGCTGTTAATGATTGTGGTTTTATTGAAGAAAAAATGCAGAGGAGACATAAAAACTACATAAGCCAATAGAGAATTAAACACTAATAAATGCATTAATACTTGGGTGGGGGGGGATCTAAATCACCAGTTTTAAGAATTTATTGTACTCTGAATAATCAGGAGTATATACAGAGTTTTAGTCTTCATTCTCAAGATGTGTTCACACTATCAGATTGTTTTGCCAGAAAATTGATGGAGATCATACCTACAGCCCAGGTACTTGTATTTAAATTAGAATCTGAAACATAGCCTATATTTATTTAGTAATGTATATTTTATTTGTTTGAATGGTAAATCTGAACAAAATATATAAACAGTTTTTAAACAGCTCTATTAAAGCTAGTTATAAATAATAACTTAGTTAATTATTCCTTTCTCAAGAAATTGTTACTACTGTATATGAAGAGCTTTAATGAATTATAGGTTTAAATAGTTGGTAGAAGAGAATTAGTAAGGAAAAGAGATAATTTAAGAGGGGTAACAGAGATGCTACCAAGATTAGAAAAACAGAAAATTCCTCATAAGCTAATCCATGGGCTGAGGTTCCAACAGACTAACAAATTATAAACCAATGGCACTTACGGGAAATAAAGGGGTTGTGTTCTGGCTCCCAAACTGTTACCCTAAATTTCATTTGATCTTCAAGAATATTTATTTATACTTGGTGTGTTAAGTAAACCTTAAAAATTGTCAGTTAAAAAATTCTTAAACAATCCATGGAAAGTACAATACAGTACTGCATATGTGTGTGTGAAGTTATGACACAAGAAGCACCCCGGATCCCTTAAACTGTAAAAGTAACCATTGGCCCGACTCTTCCGTGGGTGGTTCAGCTGAGTTTTAGTGTTTACCTATGTGAGTAACACAACAGTTCACAACACTTCCTCATAGGAATTGGTAACTGGCAGGAATTCCGTTTCAGAGTTGATAACACGGTTGATAGTGTCAACTGTTGTGGCATTGGTTCCGGGGGTGCCTGAAAATCAGTGGACTACCTGTACAGAACCTTTATTCGTCATATGTGAAAGATTCCTGAAAATAATGAATGGTATGACCATAATTATGCTTTAACCCCACTATCATTTTGGCTTCATACCATTTACCAGGTGACTATTATAATATAGGGCACATAACTAGCATTCTTGAGCACTTTGATATGGCCCTAGTACCTGCCAGAGTTGATCCTTTACTTGTTTCCTCACTGATCACTTCCTTAGAATGATCCAATTAGCTCATTGGTTTGATAATGCTTCATAACTCCTTTCTGAAAATAGTTTGATTAAATCCGTACAATTAAATGGTTACAAGCTGCCTTTATCAATTGTGTTCCAAAGGATATAAAAATTAAGTAAAAATAATGTTTGCTTTATTTGAAAAGTAATAAAATTCACAATCACGACTGGTTACTTGGTCATAAGTTCTTTTGCTTTTTCTATCGGTTTGATTTGGGGTCCAAGTCTTGACCATACAAAGCATGATTGTGGCTGGTAGGTCATGGTGGAATATGGAGAGGTGCGGTCTTTAAAATAATCAGAGGGAGCATGACATTCAAACTCCATGTTTTCAAGTTTTCGAGGTATATCTTCCTCAGGTCCTGTGGGGAAAAAATTTAACAGTAGAAGTTAAAAATGAGAATGAAGAAGCAATTATGGAGTATAAAGTCATTTAATAATGCCCTGACAGCCTTGATCAACGAAAATGGTGAGGGTAACATACGGTACTTCCTCTTCAATATCACCTGGATGCTTGTTGGATGTCATTATAAGACCAAAAACCACAGAAAAAAGTGAATTACGCCTTGAGTCAACTGCCTTAAATTCAAAATAGTATACATTGACAATGAAGCGATGAATGTGCATGGAAAACAGCAACAATCTTTGGAAGTTTATCCGCTTCACTACGGGAATGCCACTTTTTATATTTTATTTGGGTGATGCCAAATGACTTTATTCAGCTGATATGGTTTCATTAATTTTAACAAAGTAAGAGGTTAGCGCATAAGCTATACAATTAAAAACAACTAAAGATAATCAGAAAATCGAGAAGCAATAATCATATAAAAAGCTAAAATGTTCTGAATAGAACAATATACCAATGGCTGCAAGCAGAAGAATATGCGATCCTGCAGTCTGAAAATGGAATGTTTTCAAATAGATGAGAAAAAGGAGACTAAGCATCAGATGAATGAACTTTGAGTGAAAAGTATAGTACCCAGTAAATTTTATCTGATCAGAATTAACAGTAAGTGTGAAGGTGTTATCAATATAAACCAGATGAAATATCTAACCTATAATATAAGAAGAAGGATCAAATCCCTTTTCTGGTGGAGGAGAACCTTTAGTGGGTATGAGCCAGGTTAACACAGCACTCTTCTCACAGTACTGGTCCTGCAGCAGTCCTCGTATCTGAGCGTAGTATGTCCCTCCATCTACGTCAATTAATGAAACAATATCTCCTACTTGATAATATAACCCCTGTAAAATACAAGATATCATTAATACTGTACAGCAAAGTTTTATTCTAGCTTATTCTCACAAAATATATAAAAAAGACCACAGGATATGTTTAGTTATAAACTTTACAGGCTCAAAAAAGTGTTCATATATATTTCAATGCTGTACATCAAACACTACAATAAATAACACGGCAGTACACGCCTCACCTTATAAAACAGGTATTCAGAAGTGACCGGAGTAGCTACAGCTGCTGGTGCTTTGGTGGCCTGCATTAAAAATAGAAATATGATGCCTAAAGGTTAAACCTGAGATGATATATTTCATTATTCATCAAATAAACCAACTTAACAAAAGCTGACCTAAATAATACAGTAATTATCTTCAATTATTATCTTCGAAAAAACAAATCCTGGCTATGAAAGGAAACGTCAACCCTTACTGGGAATAGTGAAAGAGGGTGTAACGGCTGTAGGTTAGTGTTCAGGAGAAAATAATCATAATTCTTTTTAGAATTACTGTACCTACCAATCCCATAAAATGACAAGGATTAGAAATTTGATTAATAATACTTTTGCATTTTTTCTGTTCTAAACATGTTGGTAAGCTACACTGTATACCTCTTAGCAACACCATCCTCATACCACTCTGTACACATGAAGAACCAGAAACTTTCCTTCTAAATTATTTTTGCAAGAAATTATGAGGTTTAGCAATTTCATACCAACGCTTCCACATTATATGATTTATCAGAGATAATATGAACCAACCTAACTTAGGATAGGTAAAGTTTATCTTATCTACATTATATAATGTAGTTTGTAACATTCAACATGTAAACTGTGAATATAGTGCCATAGTGTGTCAAAGTAGATTAGTATTATGGACTTCAAAAATTACAAATCCTTGCCATTTTATAGGGTTTTCATGAGGTAGAAAATAAATTACCTTCTATTGAAATTTTCATATTATTGGTTAATATGTGATACTGTTCCAAAACATTAGTGTACTCGCAAGATGTACGGTAGGTATGGCAGCTGTATGCAAAACGTTGATATCTATTGCTATGGCAGCCTAATTCGCATTTGTGGTCAGACTATACAATGCTAGTTAGTACGGTTGCGTTCTTTCTGACTAATCTAACATTTCTGCCTAAGCAAAAAGAAGCACCTCATACCGCATTTTGCACATATGCGATTCTCTGCTGTACCATCAACCACACAGTCTGTCAACATGGCTGCCATACCTGCTCCAGTGTGTTAATTACCAAACTAAGTGCAAGATAACACAACCTACAGCACCTGTATACAATATTGTTATACTCACACTTTTTTTGAATATATATCTCCTGCCTTTTCCTTTTGGTACACTCCCCTTTCCACCCTGTCTTCCTTTCCTCGTTTTTCTTTTAGTTTCCCTTTTCTCTGACCCTTTTGCAGAGTCTTTGTCCTTTTCTCCATCTTGGTCATCATCTCTGCCGCCATTACCATTACTGGAGTCAGCATCTTTGTGGTCATCTAAATCTATCTTGTCTTCTTCCTTCCTGGCATCTTGTTCATCTTCCTCTCGATCTTTCACTGCCTTCACAGGAGCCAGTTTGGGGTTAGCTGTGTTAGCAACTGTGTAACACTCTGTACATAACACCTGTTCTTTGTCATCTTTCTGCCAGATATTTGACTCAGTTGCCTTACACTTCACACAGGTGGGTTTTACTCCAAATACCATCTTGTTTCCCACACCTATATACAGTCAGTTGAGGCTGAGGCTGCAGGACAACACAAGCCTTTTAGTGTGTTTACATTGTTCTCATTCGGTATAACATTAAATAATTGCCTAATTTCACTGATATATTCTCACCTCATAATATATTTTGAAATTTTAGATAAAAATATCAAATTAATGATAAAATAATCCTCAAATCATAATATTATAAAAAAAAAATTTGTGAGGATGAGCTGGACAACAGAGGCTCTTGAGCGGGTGGCGGGTGTTGGTGTACTGCTGATGGTGTGCTGTAAAGACATATATTCATTATTTACTAAAAGATGGCTGGCAATCGCCTGGAGAAGATAGGGACGATATATACAAGGTAAGTTTAATAAGGGCTTTGAAAGCCACATTAGAAATAAGTGTACATAGTTTTATATAGTAGTGGTAATATTCATTTTGACATTGTGGACTGGACAGATCACTGTACTGTATAGTGCGAAAACCATTATATTTGAAGGCCTCCCTAGCCGAGGCAGTGTCTACACTGGATGGTAAGGTGTGAATTTCACACACACAGTAGTATAGTATTGCTGTATTACACTGGAATTGGACTTTGTAACATTGGCTGTATTTCTGGCTCTTCACAATTTTTCTTTCTCGTATGGCGTGTGCTGTTAGGTAACACTTACCAATAGTGGTCTGAGATAACTAAGTATCTGAAAAAAAAATCGCCATATAAGAAAATTTGGTGAATTTACAGTATCATACCGGTCTTTATGTCCATATTAAACATATGTGTCTCGTAATGTTTACACAATTCTAAGACATTTTTCTTCTATGATATTTCCGCCGGAAGTTAAGGATAACCGAGATATTAATTTTTCAAGATTATTACTGTTGCTCAGTCACAAGTGTCGCCATGATTTGTTTACTTATGGCTGAGGTGGTCTGACCCCATAGCTCCAGGCCTCCGACGGGGGTCCTGGTTAGGTTAGGTTCGGTTTTCTTGGTTGGTTGGTAATATAATTTGTTATTTATTCTAAAAAAAATCCAACTTTTACTGTTATGATTGTTGGGGTGGGGGGATCTAAAAAACACATAATTTCCTGTGGAAATGAATACCAAATTCGTTCGAAACTCATCAAAATACATAGGAAAAAATTATTTTAATTCCGAAATAAAGACCGGTGTGATAGTATAAATTGACCAAAAATTTATTTTGGTAATATTTTACAACAGCGCGTGTTATTATGAGCAACTGTAGAAAACTGTTTACTACATTTTAAATGTCAAAAACAAGTTTGATTTTAGTACATAAAAGTTATTAAAGCAGCAATTGTGATGCAGAAAAGTCAAGTCAGGTGAACATACAGTACTGTATATATAAGTGGTTAACAAATACACAAAAATTAAATAATAATATGCAAATATTAGTATCTGGTATTGTATTATAAATAGTGATAGGTCTCCTGGTTTGCACTACTGTACTGTATTTAAGTTTTAAGGTTAAAAAATGATTATATGGTGTATGGTTTTATTAGACTGGCAGGTCAAAGTCTTGAAGTAAATTAACAAGTTTTTAACCACATTGTTTCAGAGCTACTGGGTTACTGAAGTCAGGAGCTATGAAGCCACAAGATAAACCATTGTGGTATGATGTGTATGAAGCTTTCCCTCCCAAGCATGAGCCACGCTTTGACAGGCAGCCTCCAGAGACAAAGATTCGGCAGATATTTTACCCTGAGGATGTTATAAGAGCGTAGGTGCAAGTGTTTATTTAATGCTGTAATAAATATGATTTATCACTCCATCAAGAAGAGTGGCTGTGTGTGCAGGAGGGAGTGGTGAGAGATATGTGCATTACCATTGATGATGGGTGTTGCTATGTAAAGTAATCCTACATTAAGTGGGAAAGGCCTTGAAAGAATAAAAATTACACTTTTCATATAAATTATATCAATATATTTGTATATGTTTAAGCTACATAATATTAGACCCACATGCTACATATCATGTCATTTTTTTATATAATACTGTACCCTGTACTGTAGACAAGTAGAGTAAAGTTCATCAAAAGGAATCTCATATTATGTATTATTATTAACACTTATTTTTTTTATTCTTGATTGGTAACTGTTTTTCCTATATGATTTACAGAAATTTTTACAAGAAATATGGATCTTATGGAACAGCTCAGTTATTAGACAGTAATCCTCGGCCCACTGTGTGCCAGCTGTTTGTAAAGGAATATGAGCGCCTGCAAGCTGATGGCAGTATCCCACAAGACCAAATAATGCAGGAGTCTGCACTAGCTCTGGAGGCTCGAGGAATTTATCTTGATAGATCTCGTGCTCCTCTCAAGGTTGGTAATGTAAAACAAATTCCAATTTAAATCAAAATCTGATTATGTATGAATATTTGCATCTGTATTTGTATGCCTACTTATTATACTCGATATTATTTTGCATGTTAGTTACTTCCATAATATAAAATACATTACATTCATCATTACAAACTAGTAGATAGTAAAATTGTACCTGGTGAAATTTTTTAACAAGTGTCACCAAATAAGATCCAATGTGGTTTAAACCTATGAGCAGAAAGAATCTTGTCTTTTCTCTTCATTAAATATGATCATGAATGAAATTAATAAACAATAGCATTATGTATTAAATGCTAAAAGTGTTATTATTTTGCTGCTTTAATTATTACTTTGTAGACTTTTTCTTTCTTCTGTTATTTGGTCTCTTACTTCCCCATTTTCATCATAATGTTAAGACGCCAGGAAGGGTGTGGTGTCATGGTTTACCCCATAATTTGAGAACATTGAAACTCATATATTGTTGTGGTGATCACTTGTTTTTCACACAGGTATAATTAACAGTGGACCTTATCTATTAACAGTAAGATTGATTGAATGACAGCATGTGAAAGGTAAGAGAGAGAGCACATGCATGTGTGTGTGTATGTGCGGGCAAATAAAACCCATACATCTCTTTTTGGGGGTAAATACTGTAGTGTTGTTCCATATCTCATCCCCAGACTGATACACCACCACCGGAGGAAGTAGAGGAACAGGTCTCTTCCGCGGACACTCCACCACAGAAGATGGGGAAATTACGTCTTGTCGAAATTTTCAAGGAGAGCCAAGAAGGAAAAGAAGAATTCAAATAACAGTGAAATCATGGTTTATATTTATTACTGTAAATAAATTTCGTAGTTTGATTTTATCATAAGCTTTTCTTTTACTTTATCCTATATATATGTACAGTATTACAGTCTCATTTATTGACTTGTGGAATGTACAATGTAATCTTGCCATCTGTAAGCAGAATGTATAAGTTGCAAGAATGAATTGTTAGTCAGTGCTGGTATAAGTGGAGATACAATCCACAGGGAGAGTGAGATCACAAAATTATAGAAGTGTATTGCCACATTGTCAACCATACTGAGAAGGGAAGTGGGAGTGAGAAATCCCAGATTAAGAATGTTGACAAAACAGTAAATAATAAAGTGTATGAATACATGTAGTTTAATGAGAAGAAATGTAATGATCATTACTATATTATAACATTAATTCCTTCAATTAAAGTACATATTTAAACTCTTACTTAAAAATTTAACTGTCTCCTCACCTTCAAGGATAAGTTTACTGTATAGTATTACATATGACTTGGAATTCAATAAAAGTGAAACCAATACAATTAGGTTAAATTAATGTGTAGAGTAAATGATGGCTCATTTGAATAGGGTAGGAGACTTTAAGCGTATAGAACTACTGTATATACTAAATTATGAGTGAGGTGCCTGTTGTGAATTATAAATACAAAAGAAAATGAAATTTTAATTTAATGCAAGTTAAGCAAATTTGTTGAGGAATAAATATAAGATTGAAATAAACACATAAAAGTAATGATTAACAGAATCAACCTGCATACTGTGCTGTAGATGGTTCAATTGATGCAAATGGGAAATATATTAGTACAAAAAATTAAGATTTATATAAAATTTCTGGTGAATTAATGAGAAAAGGGGGCAGCATCTTATGATTGTGGAATGGCTGTCCTAGGGTTCCTAAACAAATTAATAATTCACCCAAAGAAGTTAATTATTATTATAATTATTATTATTTTACGCTATTCTGTGTAGAGTAAAATACACAAATGAGAAGTGCATCTTCCAAACAAATATTCCAGTTGTCTTTTGACTGTGTTTTTCTCGGAGTTATATAATTGTCCGTTAAGATTTGTTGATTAATCATATTTTATATTATTGTAAATATGATTAAATTTCAATAAAAATCAATATTGTTGGTTTAGTTATTTTATTTGTGTAAGAACAGCTGCGGGTCTTGTGGTGACGTCATCACAACAGAGTGAGGTAGACCGTAGTGGGTCAGGTGAGGGCTACACAGGGCAGTACTTCCCCTGTATTAATTCACATTGGTTCAGCTTATACGTAGACAAACAGGTATATAAACAATGGCAAACAGACGAAGGATTAATAGAGATTTGATCAAGCTTCATTGTGGATCACGAGTTATGTCATTTGGTGCAATGTTCTGTAGGTGATGTCTGCTTGGTCTCAGTTGCTTTGTTTTAGCGGTGTTTGATTGGATGGCCTAGTAATACAGTACTTAACTGGATAGTCTGCCAATAACAAGAGGTGGAGGTATTAATATCGTGTCGGTCATCCGGGGAATTTAGGGTAGGTAAGATAGATGGTGTGCTTGGAGACTGTGGCTAGGTTAGGCTGGTTAGGTTAGTTAGGTAAGATCAAAAGCATTCAAAACAGGGATGACCGTTTCAGTTATCCAGCGAATTTTATCATTTTGATGTGTTTTGAACAACTTCCAAATAGGTGGAAGACCGAAACGATAATTCTACCAGATATTTTTATTAGTGTATTTCATTGTATTTCCGATGTATTTAACTCGAATAATTATGTCTAACGTCACAACCAGAGAAATCAGAATGACCTGACCTAACCTCTTAATGTGTAAACCCGGTAAAATTGCAGATTACAGCAACCAAAGAATCTGATAAAAAAAAATGTGTTACCTAACCTAACCTAATGTAATACTAGAAAATGATCATAGATAAAATAATTCTATCAATTGAGTGAAGTGAATTTCCGGAAATCTGTGGCTGCTGTTTACTGCAATATTACCATAAACTCAACCTCTATCAACATCCTAACCTAACCCAACTTAACTTACCTTAATTAACATATGGATGAGGATCGTGATGGTACAGACAGTCTGAATTACACGTTGGACACTTACTGAACCAAGAACACCAAGAGACCTAAAGATAGCAACAGGTGCGGCTTTGTTCTCAGATACTCGTTGAAATACTCGACAATCTCCCAATGAGCAGCCTTCACAGAGAGATGCCATCTTGCAACTATGCAATTCAAATTCCAGAGCTTGATCTTGAGTACTACAAGTAGTCACGTAATCGACTCTTCTCCTGATTTGCTGAGTAATAAGTATAAACAATGTAAATCACGGTGAACTTGTACTCTCTTTAAGTCAACTAGAAAAGTAAAAATAACTCGGAAAATATAAATTAGTAACAGAAATGTAATAAAATACAGTGAAGCATTTTTCTTTTGTGGTCTATTTTCCTATATAAATACTGTATCAATATAAAGCTCTGTGGTTGTCATCTACTGAATATTAACCAACAATATAGTATAATACATCATTAGTTTGGTTTGTTCATGTTATCTCCATGTGAGACAGTTTGTTCCACATAAGACACAGATGCCTATGTTAAATAATCTCTGCATGACCTTTGTTGCATCTTTTGATGTCGGGGAATGTGCAACTTACCAGTTCCTGCTGATCATATAGAAGATTCCAGACACTCCGTATGCAGTGCAGTAGCTATTTATTGTGATGTCATAAGCTCTGATTACTTCATCCCTTTATTGTCCATGAGAGAAAAGCCTATGCTTCCAAATACCCCTTTAGGGTTATAGAGTAGTTTCATAGGGGAAATTTGATCTTAATACTGTACAGCCGGGTACTGTCTTTTGGGGTTATAGTTGCAAAAAAGAGGTTGATCATTTACATCAATCTCAGCCAGTCAGCCACTATTGTCAAATTCTCTAGGGTTCTAGATTGATGGCTAATGGAGTGCAGGTGTTTTAGCTACTAAGCTCCCAGCTCTGCCATAAAATGGGATTTCAGAATTAATTCTTCATTTTAATCTTTGTTAGTGTTAATTTTTTCCTTTTACATTTTTCAGGAACGATAACACATTTCTGTAACCAAGACATACAACCAGAAACATCAAGTTGACACTGGCAGACCTTACTATTAGATTTTTCACATAGCTAAGAAAATGAATCGGAGTGTCAAAGGAAGAACGTCCCGGCCTCCTGGGTCTCAAGGAGCAGAACTTGAAAACCAGATTGTTCTCAGGTTGCCTCCTGTAAGTAATGGATTTATTAAAGGTTAATGAAATGAAAGTAAATCCTTGCTATAATGGTAGCCTCCTTAGATCCCAAATTTATTGTGTGTATATTGCATGTAATTACCATGTACAGTACAGTATATAGTCATTTACACTGTATTTACATAATTGTTTTACCATTTCTTTTTACTTACAGGCCCAAGCAACATTACTGAAAGAAGCCATAAGGCAAGGACAAACCAACATTAAAGACCGCTTGGCAATTCAACTAGACTTCACCAATGATAAAGATGACATGCGAAATGGTGTCATCACCTTTGACACCATTATGTATAGATCAAGGGTAAGATTTGTTTAGCTTTAGTATTGTACTTTGTTATATTTAAGACACTTTTACTTTCCATCTTTGGTGTCATATACTGTAGAAGTATACAGTACGGTATTTTGGTACTGTATATGATATAGATGGTGGTATAAAAATATGATACATTTTAGAACTACTGTACAGTATTGGTAATCAGGTGGTACATCAAGTTTATTAGTACATCTGTCACTGGAAACATCACAGGATTTCCCACTTTCTTATTGATCTCTCTCCTCATATACAGTAGTCTTATTTCCATTGCAGAATTAAAAATCTTGGCAGGAGATTAAGTTAGCATTTAACATCCATATTAAAATTAAGGAAAACTCCAAAATTCATTTGTATTGTACTGTATTATGGTAGAGATGTTAAAACATGGAGAAAGGACTCAGCAACCTATGAAAAATGTGTAATATTTTTAATTATTAAACGCCTGTCTTATTATCACTGTATTTAAATTTTGTCAGAACCTTTAGGTTAATACAGTACTGTATGTTTATTAATTCAGTAGGGTTATCAAAGTATTATATATTATACAGTTTTCTGTGATTTTAATTTCAGTTGATGGATATCCCCACAATCATGGAAACCTGGAAAACAATTGATGGAAAAAACTTCTACAAGACTGCAGATGTTTGTCAGGTGAGTCTTTTAGGTTAAGGAAAGTTCAGCAGGAGAGATGAGAATCAGATTATGAAGTGTTGATTAAAGAGCAGAAGATGGATAGAATGAAGGATATACAGTAATGAGGTTATGTGTTACAAGGCTAACTTGTGCCCTTGATAAGTACACTTTTACCTTCAAAGCTCCATCTTCCTACACCACCACTGTCTGTTTTTGGATAAAAACCCTCCTAGTTGAAGTAGTAGAAAGGACAACATGTAGAATTCTGTCATAGATAATTAAAAAGATGCTGTGTATTGTGACTCGCCTCAAAATACTTCAGTATACATGCACAAAGAAATATATCTTATGTGTATCTCATTTTGCTTCACTTCATCCTCATGGTAATGGAGTAAGACAGGGTTAGTGAAGTATTTAAATATATACTGTATCAGAATTTTAGTTCAGTGTGTCTCTAATTTTTTTTAGATGTTGATGGTACGTGAAGAGGAGGATCCCCCAGAAGAAGAAGACCCAAAGAAGAAGAGACGTGATCCAAATAAAGTTGACAAGAAGTACCTTTGGCCTCATGGTTATACTCCACCTCTGAAGAATGTGCGCAAGAGACGTTTTCGAAAGACGCTGAGAAAGAAGGTACTTAATTAAGGAGATAGTTTATTTTCTTTAGTTAAGGATGTATAAATGTGGATAGTTAGACAGATTGGTGTAAGAAACTCAATTCTGGTCTCTTACTGTGTAGCAAACAAAAGCATGAGAGAGTGAAAAAGATTTTGGTTGAGTGTTTCCTGTGTAGTTGAATGGTCATGGGTTGAATTCCAAACTTGTGTGGAAGATATGGTTCCTCCCAGTTCATTAGTTCTTGTGTGCTCACCAATAAAGGAGTACACCATCGAATGTGATTGCTGATGATAGAACAACCCTTTAATGGAATATGGTGCCCTGCCAAGGGTAACCCACTAGCTGTTGAATACTGTACAGTACTGAGAATCTGGAAAAGTTAAAGGATAGTGAGGGAGAGAGTACAGTGTGTAAATATAAGTCTAACATATTTGGGGAAATTATTACCTTTATAAGCACAGAATGTGATGTTAGAGGAAAGTTCACTAGTTATGTGTGTATAAAAAGTTTTAAAGTACAGTACTGTACAGGAATCACAAAACCAAGTACTGTACAGGTATATCAGCACATTTACTGTTTGCAAACTCTACAGAACCTTGACCTACCAGAAATAGAGAAGGAGGTGAAACGGTTGTTAAGGACAGATAACGAGGCCACCAGCATTCGTTGGGAAGTAGTCCGAGAGGAAGATGAGAAAAAGAATAATCCAGATACTAACTTGTCATCATCCAACCTTGATGGTGAGGGAGTTTTTTGTTATGTTTTTAATATTTAGAAAAACTTAAAGTTTTCTTGACCTGGAACGAGACTCGCTTTACGTATCATACTTCCTAATTTAAAATTTACATTATGATTTTGTGGATAGTGATGGATTTTGTACTCTTAATTTTAGTGTAGAATTTGTCATCATGATGTGACATTAATGCTTAAGTTATGTCTAGCATGGTCTTCAGTAAGTATTGTGATATTTTACAATTCAACAATAAGTTTTGGCATCACCCCATCATTACACAGCATACAGACAGCAGGCATCACCTATGCTTCGGTGAAGCTTAGACTCATGTTTAGAGCCACGTCTTGTTTTATCAGTGAACAGATGGCAAGCATTTACAGTACCTATATAACCTGTGTGCACTCCCAGATGAACAACTGTACTACTTTCATCAGTGACTCGGGGCTGGTGTTTGGGCACTTCACCTTCAGGATTCAGTAAAGACAAAGATATTTAGCATATGAAAACAGTCACCACTAATGATCTTACAGGAAAATTCTTGATTTTGTCCATTTCCAGGGTTAACCTAACCTAACCTCACTTCCTTATTTCATATATATTTCCACACTTCTGATAAGCTACACTTGATTGCCATCATTAAACACCCCAATTACTCTATAAGGGCTTCCGGGAGTACCCCTGCCCTTTTCTCTTGATATTCCATCATGCAGAGTCTACTAAAATGAATTTATATCTTCACTGTAAACTTGCTTTGTGTGAAAATTTCTGCTTCATTTATCTTTGGTTTTTGCCAAGGGGACTCTTCAGTGAATAGATTTGATAAAACTTCCCTGAGGTTTCTATGTACGTACTGTATTTTCTTTTTGTTGAAAATACATTGGAAGTTTAAAAGAATTTATTTACAAAATTTCTTGTACTGTATTTCTTTATTAGATAAATGTTCTAAAAGTTCCAGATAATTTTTATTGATTATGATAATTAAAAACTTGTTTTCTCTTTAGAACAACTTTTTGGAGGAGCATTGAGTTCATCAGAGGATGAGGTTGGACCTACAATAAACATTGTGGACGAAGATGATGACTCCCGTCTTTCTGTTGATGACAGCCGGTTTTCTGAGTCATATTTAGTAAGTGTTTTTGTGAAATATGATCAGCTTTTGTTGTCTTATCTATGCCCAGGCATGACACCTATTTAGCTACTATGAGGGGAGACCCTGGTGGAAAACAATTACAGTACTATACTGTTATTTAAAATATCTACAATTAGAAAGGATGAACAACAGTGAAAGAGGGAGAAAGTAGGCTCTTGATCCCACCCCTTACCTGTAGGGTCCTATATTCCATTGTACAGTATTGGCTAAATTTTTTATCTTTCTTTTGTCTCGCCAAATAATTTCAGCTTTTTAATATCTGTTAAATATTGAATTAAGTTTTAAACACTGTAATTATTTTTGTATGGTAGAGCAGAGTAAAGTCTTTTAGACATACAGTAAGTGAATAGAAGAGTAATTATACATTATAATATATAAACCTTGTAGTTGGGTGATGATAAGCCACTTATATCAAGTTATATCAACAGAATGAAGCAGGCAACAGTCCCCCAAGTAACAAGACCTCCAACTCTACTCCACTTGTAACAGACTTCTCTGGAATGTTCCGTAATGAGGGAGATCCTTCATTCTCCTCCAAACCTCAGACTCCTTCACCATCAAAAGCTACAACCAATAAAGGTAACAAACACTGCACATCTGCCAGTAGGATCATTGTCTCATCTAATATGATATTTTTATTAATATACATTTTTTATTCTTAATAAGATTGGGAGGACTTATTTTCTGTTAATGTGTTCGTGAATAAATTTGAATTCAAAAACATTGAAGGGAATACATTTGACTTCATAACTTTTTGTTGGATAATACAGTAAAACCTCGATTAACCGACTTTCGGATTAACCGTCAATCCCGAACTCCTAAAAAAAATAATTTTTTTTTTACGGGGATTAACCCACACGGGCACAGGTCACTGACCCCACATCGGGCCCTGGAGGGCGATAATGTAATAATATTAATAATGATAATAATACGTAGTAATAAAGAACCATAAATAAATGCAAAAATGAAAAAAAAAATCAAGAATGGGAAACAATATATGTATTTTGTGTTGTCAATAGTAAGAGAAGCAATTGAGACCCTGCAATTGTATGTAAATGAGGTAGAAAGTCAGATCAGCAACCTGGGACTTGGTCACAATTTTTGTGATGACATATGTTCTTTGACTTTTCCAATTTTTATTCACGGTTTCTGTGCTGGTTCATATTTATTTACTAAAGTGGTTAATGTTTTAAAGCAAATTCTATTGAAATATGAATGGCAAATGAACAAAAATGAATAGAGGGAATTAAATGAGGTAGGTTAGGGAAAGGTAATTTGAAAATGTATGTTTTATTTCCGTAGACTTTTTGTACTATTAACCAACCTTTCGGATTATCCGTCGGCCCCTTTCCCCCATATGTGGTCGGTTAATCGAGGTTCTACTGTAATTACTGTAGCACTTTTTATTACATTGCTAACTCCCTCCAATCATAACTCATGAAGTATAAGTTCAGCTTTATGGCCAGGCAGTATTGGCAGGGTGTTGGTTGCTAAGCTAAAGTATCCACAGAGTCTGTCACTCTGTCATGTTGGGCTCTGGATTGCACCTTATAATTTAATCTTACGAGGTTTAAAAAAAAGCTGCTCACTGTGCTATGTCAAGACCCTGGACTGGTTAGCTCCTCGATTTTAGTAGGTACAGTACTGTACTGTACCACCCAACAGAAAGTCTGAGATGGCATAAAGCGTTTAGCTTTAGCTTAGCTTTAACAAAGTCTTTAGGCACCAAAAGGAAATGTTTATTTATATTCCATTAAATATATTTGAAATTTTTTTTTTATTAAAGACTTTTTGGCATACAACTTCTGTTTGACGGCAGACAAGAGGACCTGTCAGTACAAAGCTGGTTGAATGAAGAATATTTTGTAAATTAGTTTACTTGTACTTTCCATATTTCATGCTGTCTTACTTGGTAATAATGTATTTGGGTATACAAAAATTTCTGTACAGGTATTCCTGATGTATGAAGGGAGTGTGTTCCTGCAAATCCATTTATCAATTGAAAAAAATGTGCATCAAATGATAGAACCCATGTATTATTGGGGTAATGTTCCAGGGAGGGAAAATCTTGGTCAACTGGGGATTTTTCACACAAAGTACACCATTATACACCTTGAAAAATTATAGTAAAGAATAAAAACCTTAAAAATTATAAACATTATACCGGTACATTAGAGCATAAATGCGTCTCTGTGCATCCTGGCTGGCCACCTTGCTGCATAACAGTTAAAGTTTGCATTTTTAAAGAAAAGAAAAGGTGTTTAGATGTGACTGTTATTCATTAAAGGAAATGGTTGCTTTTGTATAAAGAAAAAAAGTCTAAATGTGGCTGTTTCTTGGTCATACATACAGTATATCGGGGAATACAGTACATTGCCTGTATTAATAATATAAATTCAGTACTAAATCATTAAATCAACCTCATTTCTACAAAGTTGATTATTTCACCAGTGATAGAGTATCTTGTAATAAGGTAGGTGGTGCACTGGTTAGGTATGTGATATTGGCTAATACAGTACCTGTAAGTGTAATTTATCTCGTGAGTATCACTGACAAACTATATGAAAGGTAATAATAAGATGTTTTGCCCTATAACTTTTAAATTTGTAGATACAAGTTTACTAGCTTTTACAGCATCTCATGGCATCATGAAATATGATTACTCTATACATGGTACTTGTACTGTGTTTTGAATATGAGACCAAACCTGTACATGCAGTACAGTATTTGAAACATGACTTCTTATCTGCTACTCTTATTCTTTGAGTAATCAGATAAACCAACATAATTACTATTTATTATTATTATTATCTTTTAAGGTACAGTATTTGTTATAGTGTCTATCTGCAGTTATAAATAAAGAAACTGTGATAATAAACAATGCATGGCTTAAAATAAGTTTAATAGGAATAATTGATAGAGTAATACATTATCTAACTTATAATAATTGAAGTTGGTGATATGTTTGAGAACAACCAGACATGATATTGTTAGCATTAGAAATTCAGCCATCAGATGTAATAATTTCTGATAATGATTATGTTTAGTATTATCAAACTACAGAAGTTGTTATTGGGTATTGTATTTTGAGTAACTATTTAACCACCGGGTATGAATGAAACTTATTTGATTTAAACAAATCTTCTGTTTTTGTAGTATTTTTAAAAGTCCATTATGGATGTTACTGTTATTTTTATATTTCAGTTTATTGTTTCAGGCATAATTTAACTTAGTTTTAATTTAACCTTGAGAGTTAAGGAAAAGCCCTTAAAGAACATATCTACTGTGTCCCTGTGAGTTAGATAAGGCATCTAAGAAGGTAAAGCAAATAGATATCCTCGATCTGGGATTGAACCCAGTTGATACCAAATTGTGACCACCCACTGGTCTGAAATCACATTAGCTTTGAAAATACAGTACAGGTATTTCACTGCTAATTTCTGATAACCATTGCTGTTCTTATTGGACTACATTTTATGATATGTGGTTATAGTGGTTCAATTGGGCAAGTAGCTGCATGCTCCAATTTACAGTTATTTGACAGGATATTGTGTCTGGCATTAGAATGTGGATAACCCCTTGGACAAGACAGGCTCTGTTAGAGGTCTTTCTGTGGGGGAAATCTTACTTTTTACCCTCGACTCTAAAATGGGATTTAACACTTCAGTCTTGGATTTCTTGAAACCTACATTTTCCAAAGTGTTTTGAATTAATGAGAACTTTTCTGGGATATCTACCCTGCCTGAGGAATCTGATGTTGAACATTTTTAGGGCAATAAAAGTGGTCAGTCAGCAGAGGGATGCTCTATAAGGGACCCATTTCAGTTATGCAGTCCCTAATTGATAACAGCAGAAGATACTGGTTGAAGCAGTCATTAATCTTTCTGTCTTTTTAGTCACAAAATGGTTTTCAAAAGTATACAGTATTGCTTTCTTTCCTCATTATTTGTAAATTATGTTTTACATTTGAGAAGTTTCATACTCAGATAATGAAGTATCCTTGATATTGTAATACTTGCCAGATAGTCGTGGGTCTTAATCACTGCAGTAGATGGATTTCCACATTATTGTTATTATTTATCAACATGCAGTATATGTGGAAATTCTCTAAAGAATATTGTTTGTAGAAGTGATATTTGCTCTTCAAGCTTGTAAGAAGTTAAGACTAAGTGGTGAAAGTAATAAAATATATATTGGAATCCCCATTTGACCTCATAAAAATGAATAGATTGACAATTATATCCTTACATACATCTCATTTTGAAATTGTAAGAAACATGTGACCAACAGTTAGGTGTAGCTATGACCTTGATGGTACAATTATGTAAACTAACAAATTGGATGTAATATGTTTGAAACAGTTATATCACTGTCAGTATCCTTAGCATATGAGGCTCATTTATATAGTAATCATCTTGTGGGAGATGATTGATGTTGAAAGAATTAATCCTAAATTTAAATGTGTATGAAAATTGATAGATCGTGCTTGAGTGGACAATGTAACCTTGGGTGTTATAGGTGTGATTCATCTCTTACTTAAGCAATGGGTATGTGAAAGTATGTTCATCTTTGTATGTGTATGATTAATTGTGTTCTGTTCCGGGCTTTTTGTGTTGAATTAAGGCCTTAAATTCCTTTCTACATATATTGTTTAGTTTCTTTAATTGTTTGATTATTAGTTTATACGGGTATATATTATACTGTATATATCCCGTTTTACTCAAGAAGCTTATACTTGATACTTCAGGGGGTCTCTCTCTCTCTCTCTCCCTTTTTTGTCCTCCTAACACTGAGATAGACTTGTCCACTGCCTCCATTCCTGGTTCCTGGGTTTCCCTCAGCGGCAGGGCACCAGACACGTGTGTGTGTGTGTTTGGTGTGCCTGACGCTAGTAACACGTCACTTCCCCCAGGCAAGGTTAAGCGTTCACCCGCCACCAAAAAGACAGGCACAGCAGACGGCGGGGTTGGCCGAGGGACAGAGGAAGGAGGCCATTCCTCTGAGGGTACCAGTAAGTCCCCTGTCACTTAGTGCAATCCATTTATCCCTCTTATTCAGCCCCACTGAATTGTGCTATTAATTGAGCCCCACTCACACATTTCATCCTCTGAATCTCTCCCATGCATTTTTATCTTTTGACTTGCCACCATAACTCCACCACTCTGCCATACTTACTAACTTTTCCACACCTATTATATGAAAACCACAGGCCTAATACTTACCTGATGTTTTCCTGCACTTTTTGTTTTAATGATGTTTTGTATTTCAGATGAACCGTTTCCTCACTTTTCTCTTTTGTTTTCTTGTGTTGCTTATCCATGTTTATATATACTGTACAGTAGAGTAATGTGACAAAAGCAAACGTTCTCATTCATTGTACCTTTTTGTGTAGCCAATAATTACTCCAGTACATTTCATTCTGTCACTTGTTTTGAAACTTGCAAGGTACAGTACAGTACCATGGTTTTAATATTAATTTTGCTTTGTGCAGACTACTGAGCTGTAGATTACTATCAGTTTATGGAATTAATCAATGATGTGCAGTACTTTTTATTAAGATGTGATGGACCACTTTCTTCAGGCACTTTGATTTCATCTGTCCCATGAGAGTTTGTTTATTTGGTTCTATGGAGCACTGTAATATTGACTCCCCTAACTGATAATTTGATATGAAATATGCATTTAAATGTATCACTCAGTAAATCCCACAAATGGCTCTTAAAAATAGACAAATCCTATGCAGGGTATTTCTGACTTGAAAGATTCTGGGGCTTTGGCAAGGGTCTTGTCCCTATCTTAGTAACTATATACCCAGTACTGTGTATGCAGCACAGATACTATCCTTCTTGGCCTTCCTCTTTCCTTCCTACCATCCATCTCTGAATGTACACAGTTTTACCAATCATTTATGTTTACATTCTTATGTTGTTAACACCAGAGCAAACCTTCATCTGCTCCTCACATGACTCTTCTTTCATTCCCATATCTCTTCCTTATTCCTTGGCACATCCACTCCTAGATATCTATAACACTTCACTTCTTTCAATTTATTTCATGCTAGTACCCATTCATCTCTCTTACCGCCCCATCCATGGAAATATTAAGAAAGGTATACTCCTAAAATATATATATATATACTGTAGTTAATACTTTGCTTGTCATTTTTCTTTATTTAATGGTCATACTCATTTCATATACAGTACTTTATGCTGTACAGTATTAAACATCCCTGTGTTGGTGTTGTGTACTTCATGATCATAAAAACATTTTTTCATTATCTAGAAGGAAATTTCTGAGGTGTCAGCCTTTCTCTCATTTAAGTGGTCTGTAAAACTGCAGCTTAACCTTGCTGAACACTTAGTTTCTTAGCACTCCCTGATGGCCATTGTTTCTGCTGTGTATCTACTGTAATAGATTTATGGCTTGTGGCATACTAGAGGTGCTTGGTCAATATTCCATGTACTGGAATAGTGCATTGGTTAACTGATGCAGTTAGTCAGTTTACACAGGCACAAATGCATGCCATGTCACACATTCATACACCAGTTTGCTGGCATCCTTCTAATGGGAGGGGGGGGGGGTTACCCCCATTTGGGTGTATACAGTACTTACAGTATATGGAAAATGTAATTTATATGTAAATGAAAATACATGCCACTATCAATCTGTAGCTTATCAGTACTGTATAGTCTAGGTCAAGAATATCATACCTGCCTACATGTTAGTAACAATCATTATTTGGTGGGTTGATGTTATGCTAAAACTTTTCTTGGAATATTTGATATCTTTGGAAGTCAGTAGAATTATACTAGATAATGGTTAAAAACGTGAAGGATGCTACCCTGTGCATACACAGGTAGAAGGATGCCAAACTTGTTGATGACCAGTGATCTCTGCTATATACTGTACTGTACTGTATACGGTATGTATGTTTCTTAAAAAATTTCAGAAATAAATGTTTTTATGCAATTATTACAGTGTATTGTTACTGTTGTTGCTATAAAGGCAATAATATATATACGTATTTTTAATTTTGTTACTGGTGTACAGTACTATACGGTACTGTTATTTTTAGTGTTTTCTTTTTTTCAACTTCCTCTTATATATACAGTACACACACACACACACACACACACATATATATATATATATATATATATATATATATATATATATATATATATATATATATATATATATATATATATATATATATATATATATATATATATATATATATATATATATATATATATATATATATATATATATATATATATATATATATATATATATATATATATATATATATATATATATATATATATATATATATATATATATATATATATATATATATATATATATATATATGAAAAAACACTTTTCTTGGAACCATATTTAATCTACATACATTACATGTTTCAGTGAAAGACACAGTATATGCACCTGGGATCTAAAGCTTTTGGTTTGCTGCATAGTATAATATGCTTATGGTGGTGTATAAAGGTGGATCTAAGGTGTGTCACCTGTAGGTATTGCATACTGTATTTGTATACCGTATTATCAGGTTAAAACCATTACCGCATTAAAGGATTTGTGTGTGTGTGATTGTATTTAAGAAGCTTTGATATGCAATTTTATTTTTAATTTGTTGTGATGCTATGAGTTGTGTATGAAGGATATAAAACATTTTGTTACCCCTTTAACTAGGTTAGTGACTTTTGATATATTTTTATTGTGCTTAATGCTAATCATGTCTTTTCTTCCACTGTTTTCCCTGAAGTAGCTGAATATTTATGGTTGATTTACTTTTGCTTTGGTTGTATGGCTGATGTGTCTTATCATTGTCTTTACTTTTCTTTTCTATACTTCATAAATTTCTTTAATATGTATTTAATTTGTTATAGATTCATGTACTGTACTGTGTCTTTAATCAAAAATTTCAAAAGGAAATATAGTTCTGTAAATTGCTCACTTAGTAGATCTTTGAAGCTAAGTAATCATCATTATTTTCACTTGCTGAGTCAAAAGACACATTGTTTTAACTTTTAATAACCATTACAATTTGTTCAAGTGGATTGGTTGATGACCGAGGGTGTTAAGGGAGTAATGTCACCCCACCACAAGTCCATCACAATTTACCTCTCACTGACAGTTTAGTACAATCGTATTTTTTTTCCTGTGAAAATGTGAAATTTTTTAATAAGATTAAACTGGATAAATGGGAATAACACTGGATTTGTCAGTGTGGTGGCATGACTTACCAACTGGCAAACATTCAACTTACGGTATATGAATTTTAACAGCCGGTTAGGAAGTCAAAAGTGGATGGAGCTCAGTTTATGTCAGTTAGTGAGAGTAATAGTAGAACATTACTGTACTAGCTGATGATCAGTACACTGTCCTGTGAGTCTTAAGAGATACAGTTGTGTGCATATGATACTTGAAGACTTATAAGATGGGAGGAAAGAAGGAATGCTTTAGAGGTAAATACAACTTTTGTGTGAGAAAAAAAAATTCTGATGTTTATTTTGCTTCACAAAATGATAAGAATTACCTTCAGAGTTTAACTTCACCTTATGCTTTTATATCTCTATGCTACATTTAATTGATTTTACATAATTCTTTGTTTATTTTTTTTTTCTCAATCTGCAGAGTAATATAAAGATATTTGGAAAATTATTTACTTAGGAAGGTGTTATTAATTAAAAATATATATATTTTTAAATAAGGCCTTGGCATAATTATCTTATACAGTACTGTAATGTTATAGTATGCCTAAACCTGAAATTTGAAGATTAAACTGTGTTTTAAAGATAGTTTTAAAACTAATATTCTAGATGTTCATGTAAGTTTACTGTAATGACACATATACCCATGAGTCATTTGATCATGTATAGTCAACAAAAAAGAATTTCTGGACCTTTGCGGTTTTATACAATATAACACACTGGACTAAGAATTCTGACAAATGTACCGGTTTTATATGTATTCCTGTTAATTTCTCTGCATTAACTATACATGATATACAGAGTACATCGTATTGGTTACACAATGCATCACACGATCAGAAATACCAACCTTACCAGATAAACTTGGCCTCAGTCAATGATCGTTGTGAAGGCCGTCAGACCCAGGGGTGCAGGAAAATATTTTGTTGACTGTACATACACAATTCTAGTTATAAACTCCAGCCTCTGGGTGTAGCCACTTAGCAACTGTGTGGCTAGCCAACAAGGGTGAGGTAAAGAGAGTTTGTAGTGTTAATGGCCCTAACTACCCGGTATGTACATTCGGTTGTTTTGGAATTTTTTATGATTTGTCATTTTTCATTTACAGCATGAAATCAATTGATGTAGATCAGTTCTCACAAACACTCGTGCACAACATAAAACACTCAACTTTAACTTCAATAGTGACATTCTTAATATTTATTATTTATATAACCTGTCAGATATACAGGTGGATGCTGGTATTTAATGGATAGTTCACATTTGAGGTTACACTACTGAACTGATGGCTTGTTTGTTACCATTTATCTATTTTTCTCAGTAGAACTGTGTCATAGTGAGTTTTTTGGTTTAGAATTTAATATTTTTCTTATCCACAGATAAACTGTATGCCCGTTTATCAACTTTGGAGAATGATTTGACAATGCTGACAACACAACGTGCTGCTCAAGAGGCAGAGATTGCAAACATTGAAAATTTGGCTCTAAAACAACGCTTTTTGTCGAAACTTGCTGAGACTGAGACACTCATTAGGGAGAAGGAATATGAGGTAAGCCATACTGTAAATGTATTGTAATTCCTCACTTTTGGTTGAGCCAGAACATAACCAACTTCTCCCCCCCCCCCCCAATACTGTCAGCCTCAAATGAGGGAAACATGATGCAACAGTTGTCCCCAACAAGAAGCAAATTTCTGTATTTGACTTGACCCTTTTGGCTTGCAGATTTGTCTTTAGGGACCCAGGACAAGGGCAGACAGTTTCTGCTTCTCATGGCTAAGTTTATTCGGTGTGTTAATGGTTTGGGCTGATCATGATGGGTGTCAATCTGTTAGTTGAATTTTATTCGGGTGAATTGGGGTTGATCAGCTTTGTCCAAATTGGGTGAATGCTTGTTACAGAGATGTGGCACCCTCTCAAGGTTTTCACCTCCCATTCCTCTTGTGGAACTGGTAAAGACTGTGCCCCAAGATCCTACATCCATTCTTTAATTGTGGACAGAAAATTTGTCTGGATGAATCCATATTAAATCTTTGTGCCTCGAAGATTTTCCAAGTACAGTATGCAGATTCAGTGGTCCCTCGGTTAACGAAATTTCGGTTAACAAATTACCTTCCATAAGAATCTTCAATTCGGTTAACGAACAAAAATTCGATTAACGAATTCCTTACGAAAATCACGTTTTGTTGTGAGCATCAGCTGGTCAGCTGATGGCCCAGTCTGCCAATTCAGTAATCTGTTCTATGTTTACATTCGTTTCCAATGGAGTAAATATCAAGAAAGTTGTGTTATTTAATATTTTTGAATGTTTTATATTAAAATTATTCGTCATTTTAATATTTATTTAACATATTGAAAATACATATGCAGTACAGGTTCAGTCTGGCTTTGTTTACTGTCGAGAGAGCAGCCATTTTGTTGGTGTCCTGAATATTTTTGCATTTTTCATTGAAATTATTGGTCATTCTGAACTTTAGTTAACATATTGATAATATATAGCACAGTGCAGTGTTGATTTAAAGAAAATTATCTTTAATTACACCTTGTGAACTTAAAATTTTATTGGTGAAATGAGGCATCAAGCAGGAGTCCCATGAAAGATGATTTCTCCTCCATCCCCACTTCCTTCTCTTCTCCTCCTCCACTCCACTTCTAATTTCCATCATCATCATCAACCAGGAGCCTTCTACATACACACCTCAAAGTAAGTGTACTTTACTGCACTTTTTTTTTTTACTTTGTATCTACTTTTCAGTGAGCTGGAACCAATTACCCAATATCCCATTGAAACAATGGATTCGGTTAACGAAATTTTCGGTTAACGAACGACCTTCTGGAACAAATTGTGTTCGTTAACCGAGGGACCACTGTACACTCAAACTTTTAAGACCTATGATTCCATCGGACCCATAAACATTCCACTTCTAGTTTTGCTTCTTCCTAATTGTAGTTATTAAAGATGTATGACTCATTAACATGCCTTCAGTTTATAGGAAGGTATTCTAGGTTAAATATTATTATTTATTGTGCATTTTAAATTTCAGTCCTTACTTTGCCATTATTATACTGCACTGTACAGTATACTACAGTATACTATACTCCAATGATTTATTTTGATAATGTGTTAATAGGAAAAAATGTAGACAGAAAAATTTTAAACTAAATACAGGGTATATTTACATTGTGTGACTTGGTGCCAGATGCCTTAGGATCCTCTTTCTCATGTACTAAAACTCTTCTCCCAACAGATTGATGAGGTGCGGAGTCAGTTGCAGGACTAAGGTGTGTTGACCAATTCAATATGTACTGTAGTATGATTACTGGGTAACTTTTTAATACTGTATATCTTAGATAACTTATGTTACCTTTTATTGCAAAATATAAAGTATTGGAAGTGTACTTCTGCAATTTTTACAAATATATGTCTCCTGTAGCATCATATTAGATCAATGAAATATATACAAATGTCATTAAAATTTCAAAACTGTTTTCATTTTCAACAAAGAAAGCTATAACTGGTTGCAGAATTTTGCCACTGATGTTTGCACCAGAATGGAATTTAGAAACTGTACAGCACTTTTACTTGGATAATTTCCATTATCCAGTGAAAAGTTTGTAAAAATGGAACACCTACCTTTGAATGTACAATAATACAGTATGAGAGTGTGTGTGTGTGTGTACATTATATAGCACAAGTACAATGCTGAAAGGATAAAGCAGGCCATCCTGTAACATCATGTCACCATTTGGCCTGCCTACACCACAAGCTCAAGATGGCAGCATCTGCTGGTGAGTACAATATAGAGTAGTATATTTTATTTATTTACAATATACTGTATGTATACACTAGTGTTTGCAAAAATAAATACAGCTCTGTGTCTGTCCAACTGCAGTTAAGCCTCCGTAGCAATGGTGGTCCATGCCAGATGAGTAGTTTAGATGTAAAAACATTCAACAGTGCCCAGAAAAATAATGTAGATGTGCGATTTGTTTCGAGATAATAGAAATTTTCTCAATCCTCGGAAATCTCTCAAACCCGGAGACGGTCTGCACCAATTATTCCAGCTAATAGGGATATTACTGTAACAGCATCACAAAAACAGTAAGTTGGCAGCAATAGACAAGAAAGCGATTTCATATTTCAAGGTTGGAAGAATCACCCAGTCCTGTCTCACTGATAACATAACTGCTACTGTGGTTGATCAGCAGCAGTGTTAATAATACTGTAGTGTCATTTTATAAGTGATTTTACAGGGCTTTTGCCAATGACATACAGAAAGTCGTATCCATTACCCTCCCCTTTCACAGGAAGTGCTGTACAGTACTGTAACTAAACACAATGTCTACTACAGACATAATATCTGGAGTAGGTATGTCCTCACCTATATTCCGTCAAGGAAAACATATACTGTATAACCTTGAGTGTTTTGCTTACTGACCATCTTCACATAGTACATTACAGTACAGTATTTACTTCCAATTCTTTTAATCATATTTTACAAGTATGAAAAGACACTGAAGGAGAACAGTAGTGTACTCGTATATGTAGACAGTAGAGATTATAGGCATATGTGTGTAGCCATAAAGTACTGCTGCAGAGGCCATAGGATAGAACCATTAATAGAAGAAAGGAAAAGTTCTTTTCTACTTGTGCAGTATTGATGTTACAATAAAAAAAAGGCCAATTGTCTGCTTCATCTACTTTGAAACTGTAAAATATTTGTTTACACTAATTCCTGTAAAAAAGAGGTGGAAAATCTTTTAGTGATTTTGTAACATCACCATACATTGGAATACTGTACTGAATGACAAGTGTTTCAAAAAGGTGTTGTTACACTATTTTTCACTTGGCAAATATACTGTACCTGTACTGTATATATAAGAGGTTTAAAGAGTACAGGTATTTTATAACAATATTCTTTTTTATTAAAATTCTATATCAGTGCTGCACATTTTCCTTGTTATATTTATCATTTATATAAATAAATGTATTTGCATGGAGGACAGTAGAGTTCAGTAATGTACATGGAAATTAAGAGCAATATCCAGTGAGAGTATAGCATGGTACTGCATCCATACAGTACTGTACAGTATAATGATGCACAGTGGTGTAAATAATTTCAAAACAAATTCATAATGTCTTGCAAAACATGTACATAAAAGTTCTTTGCATTCTTCTTTTGCAAAATAAATCTTTCTTTTCATTAGATGAAGTTGAAGGGAACATATAGGAAGCAATACCGGTATGTATTAATATTATTCACTATCCTGTAACATTGGTAGACAAAACACAATTTTAATAGAGAGGTTAAGTACTGAAAGCTCGTCTTAAAAATGAACCCTCAACTACCTTTCTAAATTTGCAAAACATAAAACCGAAGCTGCCCTGCCTGGGGCTACCCTGGTATGTACCATACATGTGCAAGCATACAATGTAATTTACATTTGTATAAAGTAATTGCATCATAACTTACCTGTTACATAAAATAAGCAGTTTAACACTACACTGACATCATAGGGACATGATGATGTAACCCCCAGAGTGATATTCCCAATAATATGTACACAAAAGTTTGAGATTTAAATTTTGATGACCTAAAGATTTAAGAATATCAGTATTTTGTGGTGTTTTATTGCATTTTAGTTTGCATAATGCTTCACTGAAATTTCAGTTTCAGCAAAATATCATCATAAATGTCAAGTACCTTTACACTATTTGCTATGATGGTGATAACTTTTGAGCTAAATTTGTCAAAAGATGTGGTGACAAATTTTGTTTTAATGACTGAATTAAGTCTTCATTATCAGCACAGGAAATATGCTGTAAAATATCACACAGAACTTCAACTGCTCTCCTTTTGTCTATTGAAGCAGACCGACCACACGCTCCATTTTTATCACTGGACATGAGCTGTAATTGTTTGGCAGAATGGCACAGAGCAGCAGGGTTTGTTGTTCTTCCAGATTCTCTGTCTAACATACTTTTATTGTGGTTTCTGTTACTTCTAAAGTCGTCCTTGTAATCTAAAACTTCATTAATTTTTACACTGGGCAACTTATGTACCTTTATAAATTCTTCAATCTGTTCCATTGGATTTGTGATGATCATATCAGTTCTGGGGTCCACACCAAATATCTGGTTAGTTTGAGGATGGTAAAACTGATCTCCACGGACAATGATACCAGAAGTTTGTTGTTTTCTTTTTCCAACTGCAGTCGTGCTTTGCCAAATTGGCTGCCTTTTTTCAGAGGCAGTTAAAACCGAAGAAAATTCTGGTAGAAGTCCTTGAGAAGCCTTTTTGAATAGCTCATTCACTGCCGACATCTGATTCTTGACTGTCGAATGTGTAGAAATTTGCTGATGATTAATAGTTGGCTTGATATCTACTTTACTGTGAAATTCTATAATCTCTCTAACATCTGCAAGTCCAACAAGAAGTCTTGGAAAAGTTACTTTTACACCAATTTCACCCTCCTTAGCCTTTAGGTAATGTCGAAGAAATTCTAGATACTTTAGTTGAATCTCCTGAATTTTGTCTGGATATCGAAACTGGGGGTCATCTGGTTGATAGAAAGCAATTACACAAATCAGTGCTAAAATTATTTCATCCTTCAGTTCCCGAGCATACTTGTTGTAGAATTTCATAATGGCTTCAAAAGCTTCTGGTAGAACTGTGAATTTCTGAAGTGTGGCCAAGGTAACTGGGGGAATTTTCAGGGCGTCTTTATTACATTCAGCTGGCCACATTTCATTTTCATAATCATACATATATGCACCGTGGAGATATATTGACATGCCAATCCCATTCTTAAGTAAAATGGACTGATCTGTCTTACAAACATTTTGGAAGTCCTCAACTTTCTGAAAGAACATCCCAAGTTTTTTACAAATGCAAACAAAAAGGTTAGCTAATGCTTCTACACTGTCACCATAACAGTCCTCTGGATAAGGAATGGACATGAATGTAGAGTCCTGAAGAGCTGTTAAATTTTTCAGCACATCAGCTTCCACAGGGTCCAGTGATCGTGGTAAATCACCATACACTTTTTCTTTCATTTTTTCCTCCTGGACGTGGCGTTGTTTAGCCAGTCTGTTCTTCCAGAGCATCATACGGTCAGTTTCTGACATCACCCAATTGATCTCCATGCCATTTTCTTGACTTTTCTTAAATCTATAAAGGAAACAATTTGATTCAGTACTAAGTATTCAGAATTTATCACTTCATTTATTGTACAATAAACTAATGCCTTAAGAATATTTATACTGAAATACAGTATACTTTTCTCTCAGAATTGGAATTTAAGGATTTAAACTAATTCAGTACTTCCTGAATAACACAAAAACATATAAATTGGTCCTCTGAAACCTATAGTTGGCAAGTAATTAGCACTGAAATCATAATTAAAATCTTCCAAGCATCATTACAACTACTAATTACCCCGCAATTGAATTATCGACCATAGATTCGGAATCAGCATACTCAGGCGTACCTTTACAGGGTACAGTAATAGAAAAAGAATAGGGCAACCAATTGTGAAGAACTATAGATTTACTTCCCAGTGTATTCTGAAGTAAATATCTGCAAGATCTGTATATTGCATATCAGGACCAGAATGAACAACAACAGAAAATTTCTGTACTTACCTGCAATACTGACAAATTTTTCGGTTTTGTTTTGAGATGGTACAAGTTTCAGTATCAGGACATTGGAAAGTTTTGTAAGCACCACTTTGCACTGATCGTCTGAAAAAGGCTTTACAGGAGTCACATGCCATCCCTCCAAAGTGCATACTTCTTGCTCCATCCCCACACACTCCACATCGTTTTTCTCCCTTGGATTTCTCTTTGGTTTCATTTTTCTTCTGACGCTTTTGACTTCTTTTTTGTTCATCTGTTGTTGGTAATGGTTCTGGGCTGTGTTTTTTATTATTAAAGGTTGTATTGTTGATGCTTGCCGGAGAATATTCTTGACTACAAGTGCTAATGGACTCTGAGCATATAGAATGTTCATCTTGGTCATATCTTGGCATGTCCACACTTTTTGTGAACTCTGGACTAATGTAGCCCTCCTGAATGTCTCCAGCATTGCAATTCAGTAATACTAACTGCTGGCCAGAGGATTCAAACTCTGGCCCTGCACCCGCAAGTTCACACAGTGGCATGTATCCTCCTTTAATAGGATGTCCTCCCTTATATTGGCCATCAAAAGTTTTTTGCTGATTTCCCATGCATTGGCCATCTGTCCACCAATCTAAAAATTCTTTTTCACTGTCTGTTAACTTGGCATCAGTATCTTGCTGGCCTTTGTATGGAGTCCCAGGCATCTCACTGCTGGAATATACAGAGTTGCCCACAGATGAGTTGGCATCATACCAGTAGGATGATGTTAGGAAGGATGGAAGGGTAAAGCCTTCCACATCTTTATCACCTGACTGCCCAAACTGATAGTATGGATCCTTCGACATGCTCTGTCACATCTGTAAAGATAAGGCGCCTTGTTAGTAATCTACACAGAGACAAAAATAAAAATCCTATTCTTCTCTGGGATAACACTGAAACTTTGTAAAATGTTAACAAAATGGTGTATGTTTTGTATGTCTAGGTACCATACTTCAACATCTTTGGGAAATATATTTTTTTTTTAAATCCCCGCTCTCCCAATTAACCAGAATAAATAATTTTTTTTACCAAATTAAACATATTTTTAGGGTGGTTCGTTATTTTACATTTGTAGTACTTCTACATTATAATTAGCTTATTCATTCAGTTACGCTAATGCATGTGAATGTGATGAATAAAAGATACCGACCACTGGTGAGGATGACCAGTTTGCGAAATGTGTGGACAAAAAGCCCTAGATTTTACAGGGACTGAACCGCTGCAACCCCTACCACACTTATGATAGGTTTAACACAGGACACACAAGACTGGTCACTCAGGACACAAATGACAGATCTGACATACCGGTAAGAATTCTGACCAGGACACAAGATGTATCTGACAAAGACCATACAACAAGCCAAATTGTCTATATGACATTGTTTTAATTTAATTGATCATTTCCACCATTTACCAGGCAGTCAGTTTGTTCTTTATTACTTTATTTGTCCACGTCAGTGCTCAGTACATCAAGTTAGAGGAAGAAGGAGTTCATCAGGAGAGTGTAAATCATATGAAAGAAAAAGAGCCCTTCAGGTGCCATTATACACACGAAGCGGCCATGAACTTGAAGTGGTGATATGACAGGTGTGAAGGGGTTCTTGGTTAGCGTCGGGAGATATTCTTACAGAGCCATATAAGGGGTTCAAAGTTGTGTGTGTATGTGGAGGTGTTGTGGGCGGGTGGGGAAGGTTGTATGTGTGTGGGGGGATGGTTGTGGGGAGAGTTCGGGGTTGTGAGTATGTGGAGAGGGTTCGGGGTTGTGAGTAGTGTGGTGGGGGGTGATGGATTGTTAGTGTGGAGGGACTGAGGGTTATGAGTGTGGAGGGGGTTGTATGTGACCAAGAAGCACTGTCTTGTCCCCTCCACCGACAGTCTTTCCTTACAATGTACAAGTACATTAATTCCTAACTGATGGCATTATTATGAAGATGGTGACATGGTTGCCTCTCGTGTTCGAACATGGCCGGCCCCTAAAGCCATCTAAACGTGAATTTGAGTAAGGTGTAGACTTTGTCACCAACACAATAACCGAGAAAGAAAACTAATCAACAGCTGCTTTGGCTAACCATTATCCGGTGAGACGATCCACCGATTGATTAATATTCAGGTTCACAATTGCTGCTAGATAGACATGTAAATTACGGAAAGAAACTTGTTCATAGTTTCACCAAACCCAGGGGCCACTCATTGTTTGCGAGGAGAGAAAGCTGACTACCACTACACAGTTCGCGTGGTAAAAACAACATCGGTATGAACAGAAACTGCATCTCAGAGCAATCTGCCCGACGGCTCCTAATACAGGGCATTTCACCAAATTTAAGGCTCCACAGTACTCCTCAATGTCACAAGACTCTCGCATTATGAAGCCCAGTCATGTCACCATGCTACGACCCCATATTTCTATGTGCCGGATGTGAGGCAACAGCAGTCAAAGTAGAGGTGTGTGGGTAAGCTTGGGTTGACTGATCGACTCTCACAGTAAGGTAATACTGACTGGGTCCACAGGTAGTGGCCGCAGGACCATAACACGGCGGTAGTGCTGGTCTACTGGAACATGGTAGCCGCGGTAGGCTGAGTGCTGTCAACTTCAGTTCTCTCACACATCACAAACAATTACCCTTAGTTATTCACACGTCGCACGCTTCCTTCATTCACAAGTTTCAACGAAAGACACGAGATTAGTACAAGTGCCCGATCAGCTCTGACTAAAGTAATGTCCCATATAAATGAATATGGCAGTGCGTTCTTCACATTCAACACAGCCACAGCGACCTTCAGACCCCATATAGGTACTACTAAAGGTGATTACAACATACACATCCTCGAGTCTGAGAGAATAAACTGTCATTTTGTCAGGTGTTTCCTATTTGCCACAATCAACGTAAGCATGACAAAAGGATTGAGATATAACATTATATAATAACGGCTGCGTTTTAAACAATCGATAATTCGAGCCCCTGGCGGTGTGGAGTCAGGGTTCACAAGACGCACAGGAGATGATGACACCACTGGTTCCCCAATAGTGGACTTATTCATTTTATCATTAGTGTTGGAAGCGGCATTTTTTTTTTGAGGTTACAAAGTGACCTTCACGCCCTTCTGATGACTAAAAGTACATATTTTTTGTTCCTCGGTGCCGCACGTCACATTGTTACTAATATGATGTAGGTCTGAAGGATGCTGCGCCACATCTGCCTCATCTCCCCACGGGACTAACATCTTCGTACAGCCTCACCGCCACTCCTTCACCAACTACCTCTTCCTCTAGTTCAACAACACGACCGTCACATTACATCAACGACAGCATTAACAATATTGATAAGAATCAAGTGTGGTCTTCCCAAGGATCATGTTAAGGACAATCTTCTGTTAACCCAGATTCAGTGTGAAACCTTTCTGAGCTCAGACACCCAAGAACAACACGCGGCGTTGTCTGTCGTTCCTTCTTTCTCGTATCCCTAATTATCTTTCTCTCCCTCTCGTGTCTCTTACTATCTTACCTCTCCGTGTCTTTCATTATCTTTCTTGTTTCTTAATATATCTTTATCGTGTGTGTTTTCATCATCTACTGTAGGTGACCTTGAGACGTAGGTGGTGAGGGTTGGGAAAGGCATGAGAGAAAACACAACGGGCCCACCCATCCCTCCTACCCGCCCGTTACTTAGGAACCGGCGTAGTGCAAGTCATGACGAGTTACACTACAGGGCCAAAATGAACACCACCATCCATGCATATACTATCACCAATACCACCACCAATGTTAATACTATCACCACCACCAACAGTACTACTACTACGTATCATGATCACCAACACTACTACCACCATCGTTACCAACACTACTACCACCAACACCATCGATACCAACACTATATTAACACCACCACCAATAACAAGTATCACCATCAGCACCATTAAAATAAACAAGGCTCCTATTCGCCTACTACTACGACCACCATTCCTGTCTTCACTTTTATCAGTGGTCACACATAAGGACCGACACCAACGAAGCAAGTGATATATAAATGGAGCAGATCTGTGGTGTGTACCAAATGATCTTCCAATACTATTGTGTGCAGGCAAACGTTCGTCCAGCGGAGAGCGACACCAGAGGCGTTTGGTTACACGTATTGGTGATGTTTTACTGCCACAGGTCAATATTATCCGTATTACCCGGGAGGAACCACAGCCTTTACAACACCGTGCGCACCCCGACCGTCAGAACCACTTCTGGGAAAGTAGACATTACCTCAAACTTGTTGTACCCACCTAACACCCGCTCCTGGGTTGGCAGACAACTTGGAGATGTAATTACCTAGAGGTCGCTCGACGTGCCACCTGCTAGGACAAGAGAGCGAACATCAGTTATGTTTTCAATTAGCTGGAGAAAAAGATGGTTGACGGGGAGGGGGGTGGGGAGGGAAAAGTGCTGTAAAACAACTCCCTCCTATCTTATGTTGTGAGGAAGTAACTTGTACTGTTACAGGTACAGGGTGAGGGACCCAGACACTGGCGCTGTGGTCGCTCAACCATGCAGGAAATTTTCAATATCCTATCGGCGAGACACGTGACTGTACAGGCTGGGCAAGTATAGTGGTAGTAATTGTGATAAGCAGATGGTTGGTAGTGGTTAACGTGTGCAGGTGTTATGGTGGACAGATGCAGTGGCAGTGTACAGGCTGTTACACTGTGGGGTGTAGTGGGTAGGTATAGGAGTTATTGTATAGGTGTGGTGACTGTGGTAAAAAGCTGTAGTCATTATGCAGTGCACGTTTAAATGGGAGGTAGGGGGACCCCACGTACTACCAGTAGAAACGACAGAGGGACGCGGGTACCATAAACAGGTGCTCATTATACGGGGTGATTCCCGGCAAGCTGGTGGTGGTCTGTCACACCTGCCTTCAGTACACTACCGCGTCATCCTCCATGTTCCACACCTCAGCTACTTCTCTCTACACTACCCTCCTCCTCCCCATTATACACTCCTGATAAATTATCCTTCCGTACTCTCTTCTCTCCCTCCCTGTATACCTCACACTTGCTTTCCTCATTTCAAACACCTCCTCCTCTCAATTTTGTAGTTCCTCCCTTGCGCGCGCTTGTATATATACCGGTACAGTATATAACAGTTTAATAAGTCACTTTTTTTTCTCTCTTGTAATAAAATTAATCCCCAGGATCAGCCAGGAAGTTTTGTTTTAGAACGTAGCCGCAGCTGTTGACGTCTTTAAGGCTCATTGTTTACGTCTTGGTCACGTGACATCTGCGCTTCCGCCTTTAAACACGTGCCATATCAGCTGTTTACACGTCTTAGTCACGTAATATATCTAAACTTACAAAAAAATATATACCAAAACACAAAAATACTTAAAACATATAACGCAGAGTATTGTAAGACCATCGAAATATTCATACAATCATTCTGAAAGATACAACACACTATTAAAACATACACAATAATATATTTTTACTTACCAAACAGTACCCCATACTGTTGACATAGTAACAAGTACAGCTGGCAGTAAAGGTATCCAAAAGGGATGGGGCGTCTCTCGTTACCATGGCGACGGTGTTTCCCCCCCCCCGCGCACTTTGATTGGTGAACGATTCTGATGTGTATCGCAATTGGTCTGATTTTCATTCACGTTGGAGTTGAATGTGGATGAATGTGACTGTGTGTGGTATTATGTAGAGGAGTGTAGCCTATATGGAAAGAAATGCAGTTTTGTGTATACCTGTGCTGAATGATGGTGGACCAAACCTAACCTAACCTCACCTCACACTCTACCTGTCCACTCATCTCCTCACCTATAGTTACACCTGCATTGTGGGGTCGGGATTGGCTATATGTGTGGGGAAGGGTTCAGACCTGACCTAACCTAACGCATCAAATTATTCAAGAATGACATTCACTGCTGCTGCCCCCTCACGCCTCACCACAAACTCACACCTGATTTTATCTGAACAATGTATTTGTGTATGTATGAATGTACGAATACGTGTATGTGTATTAGAGTGTGTGAATGTATAACTAAATACGTGTGTAGGTGTATAGATGAGCATGTGTGGGTTAGTGTGTATGTGTGTTAGGAAATATTTGTATGTGCGGGATGAAATGTTTGTGTTTGTCTGTACGCATAAGTTTGTGTATGTGCATGGGTGTATGTTTGTTTCATTGCACCTAAGTATATTTGCATGCATGTGTGCATTTTATGTGTATGCCTGTGTACGCATATGAGGGTATGTCGGCTCTCGTGTGTACAGTATGCATGTGCGAGTATGTGTACGTACTCGTTCATGCCCGAAGAGGGTAGCAGGCAGTAGGAGTCAGAGTACTGCTGTGTTTCTAGGTCGCGGGCAGCTAGGGGCGGGGCGGAGGCATGACGTCACCGGCCTCTCGCTGCTATGGCGACGCTTGCATGCACCAGTCAGGCACCACCCACCCAGAAATCAATATTTTCGTTCTTCCGCTTCCATCTTTCCTCAATGGGCGGAGTAAACAAAACACCCTGTTCATGTTACTGAGAGACACACTAATTCTTCCCAAGCGTTCGTCATGTGTTGCTGGGAGGAATAAACAGTATTTTCCCCAGGCATAAATAAGCGAATATACGTCACATATTTCTAGGTTTCAGTATAGAGTGAAGTTCTTCACAACTGGGCTGTTATGAGAAAGAAACCTATACCCAGAATCTAACATTATTTTGTCACTGGAAACGTTACCAACATATTCCTAAGCATTTAACGTCTATGTAAAGTGTAGGAGAAATAATTGAGCATGACGCGATGATCTTATTTAAATGGTAAACGATAAACACGGGCGGGAAGAATTTGTGAGGGGCGGGAGAAGGAAGTCAGAGGGGAGTGTGGGGGGCCAGGCATCTGGTGGGAAGTGAAAGGTGAGAGCAGGCACAGAATTGGGTGTGAGGGCTGGCGGAGGGAAAGTCAGGAGAGGGGGAGGGGTGACTGGATACAATTACCGGAAGGACTGTGATTGATAAAGGGTGATTGGTTGCATGGCGAGACATGATTTGGAATGTCGTGTGTGGGGGAGACGATGTAGTAAGCAGTAATGGGTGGCCGTGGTGTAAGTAAGGGGTCTTGAGTGAGGGGAGAGCGAGTCATTAACAGACGGTGGTGAGAAGGGGATCAGCGTAACCTGGGATGAAGGGCGTCACACAACCCGCGGTGGCCGGTGTAGGGTTCAGGCTGGTGTTTGACCGGTTACTACCAGTATCTGTGTCCAGATCCACAGAGCAGCCTGAAGTTGGCGGCTGGGGGCTGCCAGCAAGTCCAGTCAGAAAATCCATGGAGGCCGGGAACATTTCACCGAAGGAGCTTTATTGATGACGGCTGCCAACACAGCCACCAGTACCGCCTTCTTGGCTGGAATGGCGGGTCCCTAGCTTTACTATCATGAACGCGCTACACTGCACGCAAGCTCCTACACACCATTATTATCAACACCGAGAAGTGCAACTTATTTGCAGGATACTGATGAGTAATGGCTGCTGTTTCTAGTGTTGGAGACGAGTTTAGGACATTTCACGAGAAGCCAAAAAGAAGCTTATCACACTCGAGCATAAGGTTATAGTCTAAAACACAATATAAGAAAAATAGAAACATTGGTACAAGTAGCTGTGGCAAGCCCTTGAAGGGCTTCGCTAGAGCCATCGATTTAACCCAATACACGTGTCTGAAGCCACTATACAGTACTTATCAATGTTCGTCAGCTACAGCTTTACACCTCCGTTCTCTCCTTCCTCCTGTTTTTAACAGGCACAGACTGACATTTCTAACTAACGCATGAAGCTGATACACCAACGGCATATGAAGCAAAAAGGGTTGAAATAGTATTGTGCAAAACTTAAAGTGGACTGCAGGGGAAGTAGACTGAGGGGTCACAAGGTACGCGGGGCCGCCCTGACACAGCACACAGCGTGTCCAGTGTCTCAAAGCTTGGTCTGCGTTACCTGGTCTCAACCGGTACATGATGCTACGTTTCTCTCTCAAGCTGTCCAGCAGTCAGGTTCGCGGTACCTCGTCTCAACCGGTATATGATGCGCCCACACTTTGTTATATTGCCTGGTACACAGAGCCCTGGCTCACGTTCACGCGGCAATTTTTCCCTAGTAAAAATAAAGGAAGAAGCGTTTTACCTGTATCGTGTATAGTGTTTGCTTGAGGGCGCCCTTTCAAAAGCCACGCCCACTGACCCCAGCACAAGGATGGGCGTCCTTAGTTGGCAGCTGGCCAGGAACCTGTGTTGCCTACAGTACCCAGGTCGCAGCTGTTCTTTAACTACTGCCAGTATCTAAAAATCCCCCACCCATTACAATTTCAAGAAGATAAGATGGCCCTGATGGCTCGTTGTAAAGGGTGCGTCAGGAACCTCCTGGGTAACACATCAGGGAAGGAAGAAACTCTTTGGCGACGAACAGGGAGGAGCATCTCCAGTCGGACCCTGACCGTGACCTTACATTTGACTTCTTGAAGGTCATTCACACTGCTCCTTGGTGCGCTGGGTGATTAAGCTGAATATCGAGCTCGCCAACTTGCACAGGATGAAGCGGGTGCACAATATACTGACCGCTGTGATTACGTGGGGACACATCGCTAACTCAGCGGTGGTTTTCGCGGTGCGACTCGAGTGAATAGCTGTGCTGCTCAGCCACAAAGGATTTTAATATTTAATCTGCATTGCTTTGCGGGTATCGATTATTTCTAATATTTCTAGTAGTGATGAAGACTAATCACATACCATTTCACATCTTTCATTATGGTTTCACTATAGAGATGAATAATTAGAACTGATATGTGAATAGTAAATAGCTGACACGCTCATGTTTACTTGGCTAGGTATCGAGAGGGAGTAGAGCCAATCAAAACATAACATTGCAAGGGTTTATAATACCTTGAGTTTAGAGGTGTCGTCTGGAGGCCGCCACACCCTAATTAGTGCATCCCTAACATATCTGTCTGACACCATGTATAGCTGGTAAACACTGCAGGCCATAATAATTTATTTAAGAATTGTTAACGTGATAAAACACTCCAGAATAAAAATATGTATTAGTAATTAGATGATAAACTCTCAATTCCCCTTAGCAAATAATACTTAGATAACAACGTATATATACTGTACAAGACTAAACTCCATGCATTTGTTGACGCCATAAAATAGCTCTTTTCTTTTTTCCAATTCAGGGGTTTACTTGACCGCCTTCACTTCCTCAACTGTAACGTGTGGTGTGTGACTTTGGGTAGAGAGCGAGGAAACTTGCTGCTGACACACATGCTGACACCACATACTAGACTGTACAGAAATGGGCAAACACCCAACGCTGGCAACACTGAATAGAGGGGGACTGACAACAGTGAAAATAGTAAAAATGAGTTGACAACGCTAAAAACATACAGAAAATTTACAACACTGAACATGATCAAGATGACAACACTGAACAAAGGGATGACAACACTGAACATGAACAAACAACACTGAACATGAACACGATGACAACACTGAACAAAGGGATGACAACACTGAACATGAACAAGATGACAACACTGAACATGAACAAGATGACAACACTGAACAAAGGGATGACAACACTGAACATGAACAAGATGACAACACTGAACAAAAGGATGACAACACTGAACATGAACAAGATGACAACACTGAACATGAACAAGATGACAACATTAACATACAAACAAATTAACAAAGCTGACCACGCATGAAAAGTTGACAACACTGAACATAGCAGAGGAAACCCGGGCTGATACCACATAACATAACACAGTTGAGCGCTGACATCACTTACCAGAAACCTGACAGCAAAACCCTACAGCTAGTTGCTAAGGTTAATGTCCGTAAGTAATAAACACATCACCGCTTAATAAACAAAAACTAGTTTCAATAGCCCACAGCCATTAGGTTCAACTATAGGTAAAATGTGCGAATATATTAGTTATAAAATGGTATTAGACTATGATGAAATAAAGTAGTTTGTGACTGATTAAATGCTGGAAACTATACGGTAGCATAAGGTTGCCACATCCACTTACCTGATATTGTTTATGGTTGTCTTGTTAACACTGCCTAGACGACACACGGGCGTCTTCTCCACACACGCCAATACTTCCCTCACCAACGCCCATAATCCAGCAAGTATTCCATATATCCAAGGTTGTCACTGAGAGGAAGAATAACGTTAAAAAAAAGTACCAATCACAATCTCAACAGCCACTACCGGCGGCCGACGCGCACACACTAGCGAGCGACTGAGGAGAGGAACAGAGGACGGAGGTTTGGCTCACGGAAAATGTCGCTCAAATGGGATGCTGGCAACTCATGTCGGTGTGCCACTTGCAACCCAGTTTTTCACGTGATTCATGAATAAATGCCACAATTAATCCTATATAGCTATAAATACCTTTAACTGCCACGTGTTGCGGTAGCTCGGTTATTCCCTGAGTCACATGGTTGGCTGTAATAGGTTTAGATTTAGAAAGTTCCCGCTGCAACAGTACACAAACGTACCCAAGAGTGTTATATAATCACGACTGGTTGAAACACGCAAACGAATTTTATGTAAGATAAACACAGAATGGTATTGACAGTGGCTACCATGACGTAGTAAAAATAGAATAGGGGAATAAGAAAGCTACACAGAACGTGACAGATAACGCCACAAGATAAGGAGAAAAAATAAATAAAAAAGAGGAGAAATGTGGAATGTGGTTAGAGACGATGAAAAGTAGGTCCCATAAGAGTGGTGGACCCTTTAGGGGCAGTGCGGATGCAGCACACTGTGTTTAATACACAAGAAAGCAGATTGCCATACACTGCGCTCTATACAGTATTCACTTGCCCAAATCTTAAGTTAGGTACAGTACCCTGGGCATGAACCAGCGATCCTTACCACAGGAGGTACAGTACAAGTGTGGCTGCTGCACCCCTTACTAGAGTGCGGAGTGAGTTCCATTGGCAAGACTGCCTGCTAGGGACTGTTGACCCAGCACACTATATACTAAGCTTTATGTATACAAGGAGGCAGCATGGTCAACACTGTACTTGACCGCCTTCACTTCCCTACCTGTAGTCAGGTGCCCATTCACAGCTGAGGGAACTGAGGCTGCATATTAAAGAGTGAACCATCGAACTTCAGAACAATGCGAGCGCTTTATCCACTTGGCCGCCACTCCCTTACTGGAGACAGAAGAGAAGGAAAAACAATATTTATATTTAAAATGTGATGAATAGATGAATAATAATAAAAAAAAATAGATGAAGACAGGTAATTTAAAATATGAGGACTTCCCTTATACTATAATTGTGACCGTGTAGTACACCTTGTGCCCAGGGTACCTAGAGGACCAGTGTGTGTCTTGCTAAAACCTTGACCCCACACACACACACACACACTACAAGTTCCCAAGTCCATTACTCTTGAAGGTCACGTATCAAGGCCAAGGTTACATGACTTCACTATACGGTATATCTTGTGGCCGCAGTTTGAACGAAATTCATGGTTATTTTCATCCACTTCTGTTAGTGTATAAACATCCCGATAAAATTTATAAAATAATTACCCGTACAGCTTTAACACGCAGCTGCCCTCACGCGGAAGGTGTTCAGTGACTCTTGAATTTTAATGAGTCACTGCAGGAAAGAGGAAACCAGTTCTAAGAGGAACCACTGGCGTCCTCTTCCCTCCCCACGCTTCTTGTTTAAGGAGAGATTGAGATTATGCACCCCTTCATATCATGACCTTGAATTCCGATCTCATTTCCCTGAGCTGAGCCACTGGATTATTATTAAGGCGTTGTACAGGACGAATTAACTGAAGGAGAATGAAGTTGTGACTGGTTTGTGTAATGATTTTTTATGGAGTGATACACACACACAAACCAGTTACCTTTTAGGGCATGTTAGGTTATGTTAGATTAGGTTAATTTAGGTTAGGTTATGTTAGAGTATGTTAGGTTATGCTAGGAGAGGTTAGGATAGTTAATCTTAAGACTCTAGGCTAGGGGGTGGGTGGTAGGTACGTGTTGAGACGGAACGATCAATAGCACAGGAAGCTAACCGACTCAGGCATTGTTTATTCTTGTAGTGTTTATAAAGTCCTTGATGTTTGCGTTTGTCGATGTTTATAAAGTCTTTTGACGTTTTCGGTGTTTATAAAGTCCTTGATGTTTAAGTCTCTCTGTCTGTCTGTTTCCCCCCCCCCCCCTATAACTGTCTGTCACTTTCTCTTCCTTTCCTTAGTATAATTGCGACGTAATGTACTACCTTTGACAGAGAAGTATAGAAGGACACGAGACGCAAGCCGTACAAGTTGACACACACACACACACACACCACTATCAGGGGGAGGAGGGGCGTCGTCTCAGGTAACTCGCCCCACCCTCCGGCTACTGACATCACCCTGGGGCACCTGTAGGAGGCCTGTACCCAAGTCTTCGAGAAGGTAGATAGATAGATAGATAGATAGATAGATAGATGCCCATCACGCCGAAGGAGATAATCAAGGTGGTACCTGGTTGTCTTACGCCGTTGCTGTAAATATATCCCCACTCACTGCTTGCGTGACTGAGCTGTAGTCCGCAAGAGTAGTGACGGCGGAGTCGACACGCACCTCCTGTCTGTCTGGCTCACTGTTGCTACCTGCTTCCCCCCCCCCCCCTTTGTTGACATACCCTACATAACACTACCTGAGCCCCACAGCAACCCACTGAGATAATGTGTATTACTAGCCCATACACAACTGCCCACTCGATGTATATCCCTCGCCCATGCTCCCGTCTACTGCGCCTCCTGTTTCTCTCTCATCGAATCATACAATGGTTTTATTCTTCCTATTTTTCCTATATCGTGGTCTCTTCACTACAGTGTTCATATGGTGTTAAGTTCCCGTGTGTTGTTTTTCTCTACGTGATTCTCGATGGAGTTAAGGTAGGTGTGTTGGGTGTGATGAGGTGGGAAGACAGTGCTAAGTGACTCTCTCCCTCCTCCCCCTCTTCCTTCACCAGGTGCTGTCGGTGAACGCGTATAAACACTCTATCTGCCTCATCTCACTCAGCTGGGCTCACACCCTCAAAAATTTGCAGGTTAATGTTTACCCCAGCAGAAGGTTCTGTAAGAACTCTCCTCACTTTAAAGTTCATCGTATTTTTTATTGTGGGCAGACAGCGCGTGTGTTCGTTCGCCAGGCACTGTTGATTGCTTGTGCTGGCGGTGGTTTGTTTTTATTACTGTACTAGTTTATGGGTCGTAGCCACAAGTTAACGGGAAGACTGTGGCACCTCCCGCCTCGTCATGTTACCTCACGGAGACACAGGTTAACGGGAAGACTGTGGCACCTCCCGCCTCGTCATGTTACCTCACGGAGACACAGGTTAACGGGAAGACTGTGGCACCTCCCGCCTCGTCATGTTACCTCACGGAGACACAGGTTAACGGGAAGACTGATACCAGCTTTTTTATCAGGTGTAGGGTTCATGGACTTCGGCCAAGAAACACACACACATACACACGTACATAGACACACACGGTAGAAATAGCTAAAAGACTAGAATGGCGTAAACATACACACGTGGTCAGTGTACAATGACACAGCACTTTCCCTCTCCCACCACCGTCTTTCTTTCTTTCTTTCTCACTGAGGTTTTCTGAAGACATACAGCACCTAACTCTCTTATTTACGCTACGACACAAAGATTTTTTGTCAGTATTCCGGTTCCAGGTTTAAGTCATCATAGTCAAAGAGTTAAGTCATCGTAGTCAATGGGTTAAAATTCTCAAAGACTCGTACGTAATCTTTTATCGTAACTAAGATGGACGTGGACACCGCCTTAGCTGTGTTGTGTCATGTAAAATTCGCAAGAACAAACCGATCGCCCGATAAATGATAGAATGATAAATTTCAGGGGTTAAGTGGTGACACGATTTTGCTTTTGGGAGGGTGAGCCACTTAGAAGAGCCATCACAATCCCAGCTAGACGAAAACAAATAATAGCAAACAAATATTGAAAGCCATACCTCGGAACTTTGTTTACATTTGCATGCCTCCAAACGTCGCCTGTTTCTGTGGTGAGCGTTGGCTGAGTGATGGAGGGCCTGAAGCAAATCTAGAAAAAAAGGTACAATCATCTTAATTTCATAGTCGTTGCAAAAAACACACACACGTACACAGGTAGGTACTGTATGTATGTGGTAAGATATTTGTGGTTTTTCCCTCCCCGTCCCCTCCCTCAGATCATTCGTCTTGCGTTAGCCGAACGAAGATGAATGAACCCCTTAGAGATAAACTGTACATTACGGGCCTGGGGGAGCTAACAAGGCTCACCCCTGGCCCACTGAGTAAGACTTACCCCTCTGCCCCTCTTCATACAGGGAACGCACACACACACACATACACACCTGAATCTTGATAACACTTCGCCCGGCCACCTGATGATGTAACTACGTATTAAAGGCTTGATTAACTTATAAAACATGGATCATGTAAATATAATGTGTTTTATGGCGATGTATCACCCCTGCCAAATAGCCCCTCCTAGCTTACTTCACCCCAGGTAACTTTGGGGTGTTATTCATCGGACAAATAAGCTGGGAGGGGCTAATCTTCAGGTGATCCATAATTTATTGGCACTTTTGAGTTGTTGCAAAAACATCTGAATACATCCATCACCCGTTACATAATTTATTGGTAAAGGTGGAAAAGACTGCGAACACCAGTTGTTCGATTTCGTTAATTTTTTCCACATGATAGCAAGTAAAAAGAGTGATACGACAATACGCAGAACCTGACCTAACCAAAGAAACCTACCTAACCTTGCCTAACTTCCTAGCCAGCATACTAAATAGAAAGCCCTTATTTTGATATCTGGGACTAATGAAAGCAACTTTCTTGAAGCTGCTTGGTGTAATTTTACGTTTTTTGTTGAGGGAGAATACGGTCTATAAACTCTATACAGTACTCATCAAAGAAAACGGAACTTTCCATGCTTTGCTCTCTGGCCGAGATCACAGTATTATACCATGACTAAATTTTAGCCTCATTAAGTTCTGCTAAAAATTTTCATGGTGACTATTTATATATGTGTACTATTTATTTCAATGTGACCACGAAAATAAAAGAGGTTTGCATAAAACGCTTTCATTACATATTATCAACAGTAGTGAGTTCATTTGATTTTATTTATATTATTTAGGTTTCACTATTTACTGAATTTTCGAATTTGCTCTGAGATTTTTTAATGTTTTTGTTGAGAACGCTTATTCTAAAACAAAATAACATGATAATTATAGCATACTGGATCGTGACTTCACTCATCACTTGAATATGCGTGGGGATTATAGTATAAATTATTCAGAGGGCGCTAATAAACATATTTACAGTCATTCTTTGCTGTCTCATGTTTGATGTGTCATTTAAATCCGTGTTAATCATTAGTAATCTAGGGTCCTCACGAGTCACGATCTATCCAGGCAACGGTGAGCCGTGTCATCCTCGCAGGCAGCGTAGTGGTCAGTCGAGTGGTATTCAAATACTGCATCAGTTTCCAGTTAGCTGCTGTGTAGGTAGCACTGACTCATTTACCGCGTCTCATACTCGGTGCCGTCACAATTCGCTCTCTGGCAGATTGTTTCATACTAGAATTTGAGTCCTCACCTTATAACACCTCTACTAGTGCTGTTTTGACCTCACCTCACAACACTATTCTAAAAATTGCTACACCTGGATATAGAATGGATATAGAATCCTTGGAAAGAATTCAGAGGAGAATGACAAGGCTAATCCCGGGCATTAGGAACCTTGAGTACAGAGACAGGTTAAAGCATTTTAATTTGCACTCCCTCGAGAGACGTAGAGTGAGGGGCGATATGATAGAGGCGTATAAATGGAAGTCGGGGCCGAACAAAGGGGACATTACAAAGGTACTCAAAGTATCCAACCAGGAGCGAACTCGTAACAATGGTTTTAAATTAAAAAAATGTATATTTAGGCGCGAAATAGGTAAACATTGGTTTGGAAATAGAGTAGTGGACGAGTGGAACAGATTACCAAATATCATCATTAACTCGAATAAGCTGGATAGCTTCAAACATAAGTTGGGTGGATATATGAGCAATAGGGATTGGGTGTAAATGAGTCTGTGGGGTACGGGTTGTTTCTCCTCCATCCTGTGTGAGTGCGTCACTCCGGGGCCACCATTTGTGGGGTACGAGATGTTGGTTCACACTCAAGATGGGATGGAGAAAGGAAACTCACAATGTGCTCTCTGTATACATGTTGTATTGGATGTACAATGCAGCTTGGTGCTGGGAAGGCAGCATGGTTACAAGCGTGATGTAGAGAGAGCTGGTTGGTGAGGATGCTCAGAGGAGGACCAGCTTGTGGGTCGCCATGGTCGCCGGCGGGAGCGAGGCCGCCAGGTAGGAGGAGGAAGAGGTGTTACTTGAAGACTGGCTGTAGATAGAAAAAAAGGTAGGTCACCACGAGGTCAGGTCTTATATAGCGGAGGTAGGCGTGGCTTGATAGTTGACCTCCGTCATGTAAGGCGGCGCTGGTTGACCTAGACCACAAGGCATACACTGGGGAATTCGCGGGGTCGGCTACTCAGCGACATACAGCGTTTGTAGGGGAGGAATCCACTACAAGTCTGCCCAACCTGGTGTCAGTATAGTATGCTCCTATCATGAAAAGAGCAACATTACAGGTGCACAATAACCCAAAACAACTATATAGACTCATCTGCTGATCATTAAATTTCTTGGTAGAATCCAGGAGGACAAGGAGGCCTTTACTGTTTTGGGGTTTTTTCTCATCTTAAACTCCAAGAACATCAGGGGATTTACCCTCCGGCACCCACCCTGGCAACTGTCCCCTCGATTCCCACACTGTACCGTTGTAAAGTCTCAAGATCTCAGCCGGATTTTTCAAGGATTTTAGTTTCTACAGTCTGACTTCTTTGTACTTTCAGGAACAGATTACAATTGTTCATTAGTTCTGTATTCCATTAAGACAACTTCATGACTGTGGTATAAGAGAGAAAGGAAACCATATAATAAATATTTTGGGCGGTGTTTAAATTGATGAACTAACCTAGTGCAGGATTTTAGTAACTACTTTGTAAATAAAGCTCAGCGAATGTTAACTTAATGTGCGCTAGATCCAATTTGTTTAAACGATTTTTAATTTATACAGTAACACTATTTTTTTATTGTTATGAATAAAGGCAGTAAATTTACACAAAAATAAAGTGTAGAGGGGGGGATGGGAGGTGTATACGTACCGCAGTGGCCACCGCAAATGTCTGACTGTCCGATTCCTCATTGCTTAGTGTAAAAGGTTTTCTTGTGCATTTTACTGTAATCTAGAACAATAGATTCCCATGATGATATAGATAAATACCTCAATTATGTATTACAGTCTATTGAAATGTATTTCTCTGTCTGAATGGATAAATGTTATGATAACACGAGTTTTTGTGTCAAGAATTCGGATGGATTATTCATAAACAGCTGATCTAGAGCGGAGAGGAGGAGGACGGCAGGAAATTTGTAATTTTCTTTTTCACTCTTGCTTCTACCTGGAATCTTTTGTTAATGAGTATTGCGTCTAAGCTATGAAACTGAAGGTGAGTTAATACAAAGTGAATGAGTATGATGTGAGAGTGGGATTATCTTGTGTAACAGACAACAGGAAGGCCAGCCAGATGACGAGCTGTCATCTTCACTACCATTAATGTTACACTGCCTGGCTCTACCATTATTACTCTAACCGGATTATTGACTCTTAACCTAGTCAGGCTAATTTGTAAGTAATTTGTGTATTCATTTAAAACTACAAAATCAGTCAGTTTGATTAATAAACTTGGAAACAAGTGGTACCGTAGTTCATTATGCCATTAACCATACACAACACTATATGGAATGGACACTCAGGTGTTGGTGTAGTGTACCAAATTACAGCCATTGGAATTGCAGTTCGCTGGGATGTAAACTGTTTTGCTAGTCAATTAGAAAGTTTACTTCTACTCCATTACTGTAATAATAGTTTGTTTCCTTCATTTAAAGTGTTTGTTTTAAGGTATACTAAACAAAGGTATACAGTGCAATTTCAGTGATTAATATGTGATACTGCTCCAAAGTATTATCCCGAACACAATTTTTGAACATTTTAAAGAATATCAAGTGGACACCAACCTTATAAGTTCACGAGTTTCTTTTATTACAAACAAAACCATCATTGAAGTGTCTGGTTTTAGCAGGAATATCCTAATATTCACATGGCCTCTGCCTACAGTATAATGGCGTGTATTCTTTCAATGACTTAACAAACACTGTCTCAGTACTGTACTGTAGCTTGGATGAACCACTGAGCATTGGCATTGCTCAATGGTTATAGTCCAGGATCATCATAGAACGTAAATGCTTTCTTAATTCTTGAAATTAATGAAAGGTGAATGAACAATATGTTTTGTGTATTGTAGGAGGTTTGTAAGGTTTGGTTTTCCATTTTTTGTGTGTTTTTACCTCACAGTTTCCCTCTACTTCAAAGCCCTGTCCACTTTGTGCAATCAAATTTGTTGGTAATGGGGAGGGGATCATATCTCCATAACGGCTCATTTCTGATGGAAAGGAATGTCAGATTTGGTTGAAACACCACAAAATACACTTGAAAAAACCTACTTTTGTTCGTAGTTTCTGTGGTCGACGTTTCCGAATCTTTACCTAGAATTTTTTTATAAGATGATCATTGAAGATAATTTTCAATTTACATTAGGTTAGATTCTGTAAATCTTTTATATTTAATTAGTTAGTCTAGGTGAGTTTTGTTTGGGTATTTCCATCTTTTTATTCTTCTAATTGTATAAGTTCTCTCTTGGCTTCCAAAATTGCACAGATTTCAAGATCACAAATAACAGCAATGTAGTGTGGAAGAACATTTAGAACTTGACGATGTCAGGATTGGGCTAGAGAAGAGACTGTATTTGCCACTTTTAAGGTAAAGTAGTGAAAACTGTGTATTTGATACTAATAAATTGTTTATTAAATTGTTATGAGGCTCAACACAAAACAGCTATTCCACTCCAGGTACAGGATTTGAGTATTTGGGAATGAACTAAGGTTGTTAACACCATGGGTACGAGAGTCTCTCTGAGCTGAATAAAATTGTCTGGCTGGAGCCGAACAAAACGTTGAGAGTGGCGTCCAGTAATGAGGAGGTTAATATGATAAACAGAGTGACTGCTACATATCTATATATTTATCAGTAATGGATGAATGTAGCTGTTTGAAGTTTATAATTTCTCTTATCACCAGGACGGGGAAATGGATGAGCACCTGCGTCAGCCATATGAGGGCCAGTTGATTAAGTTCACCAATGTTGTCAAGGGCTGGCAGGCACGGTGGTTTATTCTGAATCCTGAAATTGGAACTCTGGAATATTATCTGGTTGGTGAAATTATAAGAAAACTGTTATTGAGAAAATGACTACTGAGAGGTAATCCTATTTAGCTATGACTTTTGCTTTAATAAACTTATCTGAGTACAGTATCTTTCTAACTGGAAAAAGGCTTTTCAAAAATTATATAGTTATTATTTTTTTTAGTTTAAGAATTTCATAAGTTTGTGTCTGTGTTAAGTTTGCTTAATCATTACAGGATAAAGAAATGTTCTCAAATATTTATAAAGATATATTTTTTTTTCAGAGTGAGAGTGACAAGCATGAAAGGGCTCGTGGTAGCATCCAGTTAGCAGGGGCTGTTATTTCTCCAAGTGATGAAGATTCTTATACTTTTACTGTGTCTCCAGCTGCTGGGGAATCTTACAAGTTGCGAGCCACTGACACAAAAGACCGGCAGATGTGGCTTAATCGATTACGAGTTGTGGCCGAGATGCACACACGGGCCATTGCTCATGTACGTTTTTGTGGGTTACTGTCCTGAAGATATAATTTTAAGTTAAATCTTTTACTTTTAAGAATTTTGTTGGCTCTTAACATTGACTGCATCATTTTCCTCCCTTTGGCACCTCCTGTGTAACCCCCAAGATCTGTTGTTGCTCATACACATTCAGATAACAGTACTGTATAGTACTTCAGTCTACTTTGTTCTTTTTTCACTTGGACGACAGAATACATGAAGGAGTGAAAAGTAAAGAATGTAAAGAACACTAAATTTTTTCTCATAATTATCAGCATATTTACATTCTTCTAACCACATGTGTTTTTGCCACAGAACCACCCACCACTTGCTCCCCGTGAGCACCGCACACCTGGCAATAACAATGCTGGCAATTCACATCAGGTCGCTTCAGCTCCACCCATGGGATTAGCAGTATTAGATGCCTTCACTCAGGTGGCTGAAGTATTGGAGGAGGCTCGCAGACAACACTCGGCCCTTGTAACAGCCATTGAGGATATGCCATCTTATGGTAATGTTAAGACATTTAGAAACTCCTTTGGGGTTTTGTACTCTGAGGAATGTTTTATTTGAATATGACTTGCAGCCAATGATGCTGGAGGTACAGGGTGAGAGAATTTTGTTTACTGTACTGTGCATTACAATATAGTACAATATTATGATCCCACTAATTCTATACTGTACCTAATTCAAGAGTTCCTCCTAACAATGTAACCAGGCTGGCTTTGTGGAAATAATAGGTTATGTTAATGTGGCTATAATAACAATATTGGAGAAAATAATTAAAAGGGCATTTACCCTTTTGGGATTTTCTAAACTCAGGTACTGGTATGCGATGTACAGAGCCCAACTTACTGTTGCTGAAAGCTACCAGTCAGGCCACACTCCTGTGTCTTGACCAGTGTCTTGGTGTGCTGCGGACACAGCACATGTCCGCTCCACATCATCAGCCATCGCCACCAGTCACCAGTATCAAGTAAGAAAACCCTTGATCCTGTGAATATCTTGATTGTATGGTTCAGTTTCCCTTTTATATTGGGGGATACTGTTCTCTCTTGTGTGATGGGAGGCTCTTGTATGATAACTATCACTCTATTCTCTCGTGCATTATACTACCTTACCAGAAACTTATTTCTCTCAATTTGTTGTGATTGTGATGGGTGTGTGGCATAATAGAGGAGACCGTATAATGCTTTAACCAGTCACTTGAAATTACCGTATTGGAAAATTAACCCAATGAATCCTGCATTTATTTTTTTGTTGATTAGTTTTCAATAACTGCATGTACAGTACTCTCAGTCTTTGGTCATGTAATATTTTTAGTTCTGGTACAACAATATGTATAATGTTTCTCCTGATGCACTCAATGACTCTACTATTGATATTCATGACACCTATGTTTGTTATGTAAATATACAATTGATGTAAAGGTTTGCTAATTCAAAATTAGTGATGATTATATTCAAATATGGAAATGGTGTTGTAGTTCTTGTTTCAGTATGGGTTATATTGCATTTTACTACTTTATGTATGGATGCTGCATCAAGTGCTTATTTCTGCTTGTTGTGTTCTTAACTGAATGTTTGGTCTTGTGTAGTGTTTTTGAAGATGCAATAGTAAAAGTAGTTGCCATTCTGGGTTACATATATCAGAGGAATTAAGTTAGGATTAGTTTATATCTCAGAGATGACTTAGATTTTTAATAGTCTTTGCTCTCTCGAGTATACAGTACCCGGCACACACCCTTTTATGAGCTGGAAGAGACCGTTCTCTTACCAAACTATTGTGTGATTGAATAGATTGAATATCTTTATGTGTATTATCTAATGTTCTGTGTTGTCTTGTTAGCTTTAGGGAGCTTTATTCATGATCCATGGGGATTATTTAATGTCCCTCAAGGCAGTTAAATTTACTGACAATAAGTTTTAGATAATTGCCAGAATTTGTTTTTTCATCCATACTTATGAGCCTTTTCCTGCTCTAATCCAGGGTGGGTAGACAGGTGTTGATCCCTTGATTCTTTGCATTCACAAGCTAGTGGGTTACTTCACCATTTTGGCAAGTATACAGTACTCTTATCCTCTAAGAACGTGTTGATCTATACAATATCTTATCCAAACTTTTCATCATATACATATTTTTGGATATCCAGAATTAAACGTGAGGATACCATTAATTCTTAAAAATACTTAGTAATGGGAGGCAGTACTGCAAAATTTGAGTTATTTTTTAAGTGCATGGATCATCTCACATCATGATCAGACAGCATGACATTGAATGGGGTTTTGAGGATGGATGTGCTGCTGTTGGATGATGATGTGTTGTGCAAAGTGCCATACATAAGGCAAACATAAATCTTGAGGTTTGTTTATGGAAGAGGAACACAATAGAAGAACACTATTGTTATGGTGGATAGAGAGAACAGGTGAAGGGAGAGTTTGTGTTTGCTCTTGAGTCTGGTCACCCTGTATCATGACCTGAAAAGGATTGCAAGGCTTAGAAATAAAAGAACCTTTTCTGTTAAAAGTTTGAATAACATCTAAAGCTGAAATGGGGAGAGATAGTAAGAAATGATCTCTTAGATAAGAACGTGACAAGAGAGGCTACAAGAGACCATGTAAGCTTTGAGAGTTGCCATTACGTAATCATGGCTAACTTTCACAAATGTGGAAAAATGGCCTTAAAATGGTGGTGGTGATTGAGGTAACACACTCTAAGCAACCTTGTTGGACGGTGGTAAATAAAGAACGTCATAGTTGTCAGGACATGTACTTAATTAAAGCTGTATAATAGTTATGATCTGCCTTGAGACATGTTAAAATTTGTCCTCAGAGTATTTTTTATATACAACTGTTAATGAATACTATAGAGTCATATTGTACAACATTTTCATTTGTCTGATGTGTTTACTAGTAGACATTTCAAATAGTTCCTAACACTCAGTCTTGAGGTGAGAATAAAGCTCCCAAAACATATTAATAAATTTGTTTTAAATCAAAGTTAGTTGTGGTTCTTGTGCTGACTATTGTTTTCTCTCTCCTGCATCTCCCTCCTCTCTCTGCCTCTCCCTCTCATCCTGACTCCTCTTGCTGTGAATGATGCTGCTATTCTTCCCTTTTTTTATCACGTGTTTACTTATCACCAACCTGTTTCATGGTGTGTTCTTTTGTTCTTGGCTTATGTAAATATTTTCAATTAATTGCACTTTCATCCTTAACTTTTATTTTATTATATCTTTTTACACTTTCACACTCTCTATCTTTTACCACATCAAAACTTTATTGTTACATTTATCTCAAATTTTTTCTCATTTGCGGTGGCTGTATATACTGTTATGTATATTTGTATATTATCTATTGTATCTATTTTTATCCTTGGATTTTCTATTCTAACTTTATCTTTTAAAATTTTTACCTTTGCTCTTGCTATTCTGTGTTTATATTAACTGTTTTGCTTATTTCCAACTCCAATAATTCTTTACTAATTCTTTTTGCTCCACAAAAACACCTCCGTGAGCCTTTTTTTTATTGTATATATATTTTATTTGCAATACAATACTCGTGTTATGCAACTCTGTATCTCGTGAAAATATATCACACCTCTGTTGCCTTCATTCATTTTATCTAACTTTAACCTTTGCCTAATTTGTGATCCTTTTGCATATCTGATAATCCTCTCGCTTTGTTTCCCTTGAATTTTATTTTCGTTTTGTTTCTCTGATTTATTATTTATTTATTTATATTTTATTATCTTGTTGTTACTGCTGATGCATCCATATCATCCTCCTTCCTTTCTGTAAACACTTTCTGTCCACCTCTTAATGTTGACTTTATCTCCTTGGTACTGTATTGATTTCTTCTCTTTTTTTTTCTCCACAATACCTGCATGGTTTGATCCTCCTCCAATACCCGACAATTTCCAAATACTATACAATCCTTCCTCTCCCAAATCCTCTGTCGTGTTTCCCTCTGTCGTCGTCATGCCAATGCTCCTGCCTTCCTACCTGTGTTGGGCTGTCTTTGGTGTGGTGGTGATGGTGCTGCTGGTGTGTCCTCCTTCTATGGTGTGTTTGTATGTGGGAAGGGTGGGGAGCCTTGGGGCTCGGTGCTCCCCTCTCTTGGGACGCTCCCCACGCTTCCACCGACGCACTGCTTCGGATGCCTCCTCTGCCTTTCTTCAGCGGCGGCGCTCATCGCCTACTCCGTACGTACACACAGCATGATTTACACAATAATTTTCTGATCTTTTTGAACATCTCATATATGCTGCTTTTATTATAGTTACCGGTATTTGCTTTGTACTGTACAGAGTATATAATTTTTTTCCTTTATTACATTACTTTTAGGTTTATGAGTAAGTGGCATGTGTGAGTACTTTATACCCGATAAAATGTTAGAATTAAGTACTATACCTTGAATATTTGTTATTGATTTAGCTTTACTGACCTAATAGGTCTCCAGGCAGTATTAATTAATTACCAAATTATACAGGTGAGTCTAAAAGGAAATATTGATGTGTCTTTGAACCATCACTTTGTAAATCATCATGAATAATTTATTTGCTGTTGAATAAAAATCTTATTAGAGTAGATGTACTGTAGCTGTATTTTGAGGGATAATGTAATATTCTTTCTTTTGGTGCAAGAAATGATGCGATTGTAAATGAGTATGTGAGGTGTGTAGAAATAAGAGAGATGTGGAACAAGTAAAATCCGATGAGTATTCTGAAGGTGATTGACTGGAAGGAGTGATGCTGTAAGAATGGGTGAAGTTCTGAATTGGTCTTATTTTGTATGAGAGTTCTTGGCATGAGCATACTGTACACTCCTTCAGGCCTGAGTAGATGGATACCCTGCACTGCTTTATTAAGACAGAGTAAAGAGATGAAATACTCTCGTCAGAATAATAGACGGGCCACTAGGAGGAGAGATATTTGGTCAGTAAGGGAGGTGGGCCACGGACTGTTGATTAGAAAAGGAAAATGTACCGGCATGTTTGGTTATAAAACAAAATGAGAAAATCACAATCATGGGATGAGCAGAGGACTGTGGAGAGACAGGATTTTATGGAACATATTTTTCAAGAGCCCTATATTATCATCCTTGTCTCACAACTAACTCCAGTCATGTGTGGTTTTATGTAATTTGGTTGAGGTTGCTTCTCCATTCAGCTTTTAAGTGATGGATTTCCCCTGCTTCCCTCTCTTCTGTTCAACATGTCATTTTTGTAGTGGTGTTCATAATCTGGCTGTGACTTAGAATTGTAAGATTTATTTTTTTTATGATTTTTTTTTTTTTTTTTGAAATTGTGACACCACTTTTGCTAGGTTCATGGTAGGGAATCTTTGGCAATGTACCAGCATGTATTATGAGTCAATTTAGAAACATTTACAGGATTATACGAAGATATTAAATCCTGATGTGGTGTCTCCCTTATTTGTGGTGGATTTTTTTATCTGGATTCTCTAAGTAGTACAGTACAGTGTTTTAGCTGATGTGCTTTATCCTGCTCTTAGAAGAAACCTTTTGCAATTATTTAATCTTTTAATTGTATGGGTTATTTTTTCTGAAATGACCCTCCCATACACATAGTAGAGGGACGTTGGTTCCTTAAGTCACTTTTAAGGTGTTTAGATACCATAGGGACACTCGTAGGTCAAAGCTTGAACAAACCACCATGAAAGGAACTCATGCAGTGGCTTAGACATAGAGTACAGTTCTAAGCAGGAATTTGTTTGTAACCCTGACAGTAAATATTCTTTATTTTAAACTTTTTTCCTCCCACATCTTGAAAATTAATGTTTTAAAGCAGATATAGCTTTACATACATTAAATTCGGCATTAAAGTGAGCCAGAACATGGTATCCTTAACAGTTATATGTGGATTTATTTGCGATATAGCAATATTAATCGAACATTATGTATGAGCCAATTTCTATACAGTATTGATATTCCAGGTAGTAAGTAACAGTACTGTAGTTGGCCTTAGTTCCTCATGGAAGCATTGTCATGCTTTGAAAGTGAATGGGGTGCACTGTTTATGCTCGTCTTTCCTATAGCCACTTTCTTGTTGCACTGTCACTTCTGCCACACATTTTGCATTATTTTTTCAGTGGATTTTTTCTCACCCCGTCTTTTGTATCTGTTTTTACTAATTTTCTTCTCATTCTACTTTCCTACTTGTGTATGTATGATTAGGTAATCCTGTTCAAGTGCTTCTGATCTTATTCCTTAGTGCAAATAAGTGGCAAATGTTTCACTGTGGCATTACCAGTTCAACTAATGTTTCCCTTGCTTCAGAGTCTTCAGTATTTGAAGGTGTGGAGATAGGTAGGATTGGCACGGTGGTGGTGGAGAGGGGCACATACGGTAGGCATTGACAGTATTCAGGGACAAACCTTTTAGTGTGAGTGTGATGACATGTGCGTTGGTAGTTCCTGCGTCTTGGAGGAGGTCGAGAAGGAATGGCCTTTGTGACGGAGATACGTAGTCCACGTGCATGGCACCGGTCGCTGAATATCAATCTTGAATCCGAGCTGAAAAATAAGTGAAAATGAATCTTCCTACTGTATACATGTGTTGCATGACTCTAAAAGGTTAAATTGTAACTTGTCTCTTGTATTGCATGTTCCTTGTTCCTATGTAAGGGAAAACCAACTTGAAACTGAAATTTGCTTTTTGAAAGTCTTTTACCCAGTAGGAACAGTAAAGGATATTTGAATATAAACAAAGGAGAAACCTGGGTAGGAAAGTGAGGAAAAAGAAAAGTGGAATATAAAGGGAAGGAATAGCAGTTAAAGGAATAAGAAATAAGAGTCACTTATTTTCTTGTATGTGACAGATTGACTGCTTGGGAGTTCTGATGTGAATGTGACTGAACAAAAGGTCTGTTAAAGAAGGAAAAGACACCATTACTTTAATTTTCTCACGATAGTACAGTATTTCCTTGTGCTGATTTCATAAGGCTAACTGTTCAATCTAGAGCTTATTATTCCTTAGTTATATCATGATAATCTCTGTTAAATTTATATGAACTTAACATAAGGTATATATATATATATAGTCCCTAGAGTGTTGACTTGTAAGGTGATAAGAGGACTTCTAGATAGCAAGTTCCACTGTCTTGAGTGACCAGTGTAATTATTGTAGAGTAGCACTTGCCCATCAAAATACAGTATACTTAGATTTACTGGTTCACAACAATGGTACTAGCTTAGATGTGAATCAGTGATGCAAACTTACAGTATAGCCTTATGGTTGATTTGAAAGGTTATGAGGCTTCTGGTCCAATGGGATGAACCCTACTGTTTGAAACACTTGCACCTCAAAACCCTTAGCTGTCATAGTCAAGGATCCTATATTTTGACCCTCACATTTTCCTGTCAGTTAAGGGTTCACCAATAGTGGAGGGCAGGATGGGATTTTATGTATCATTTCTCCATTAGAAGTCTATATTGGACATTGAAGAGCCACATGGAAGATTTCAAAGCAACAAGAAATGGGATGGAGAAGGTTAACTTGACAACCTATACAGCACCACCCCCAACAAGGAATTATACACCTCAGGAAGAAATTAAAGGTCTATTTTTTTAATATTCCCCAGATCCAGCCCACACATTTAGGATTCATCAATGAGATATACTGTATATTGATATAAAGAGTCCCAACCTCCTAAAACCAAGATAGATTTAAATGGCCACAGATGGAAAAAAAATTGAAGAGGATGTAATTGAGTTTTGCTGTTTGAGTCATTGTGTTTTATTTACTGAATTTGTTAGGTTTGGTAAATATCTCTTGGATGGACAGGTTTTTAGAACAATGATATTGATGATAGTAAAAGATCGACATAAAGCTGCTGAGAGGAGGTGTCTGTAAAGTAAGAATACAGTGGGTAAAATCTAAGGGTTGAAACACTAGAGCCTTGTGTATTGGTGTTGGGGGTAGAAGTGAACCTATTAATTGAGTTCATGCCAGTGAACCTGAAGTCTCACTTTTTTTATTTTAAGCAACAACTTGGCTAGCAGTTTGTATCACTCATTAGGAACTAGTTTTAATGGGTGAGAAACTTCTCTGCAGTAAATAATCTGATTCATGAAAGTTCAGTAGTGTTTACAAGCTGCAGTCTCATAATTCATGGCCCATAAGCTATAAAAGAAAAAAATTACCCATGTGGAAAGGTGCATTGTAAGCTACACAACAAAACATTAATAATATGTATTTTTTCAGTAATGTGACTTATTTTAATGTTGTTAGATAAATCTTGAGATGTTTTCCATTGAATTTTATTATGTTACTGTTTAGTATGTATCATTCCTCTACACAATATGTATCTTATACAGTATTTGTAATTATATTCACTAAATTTATTCTTGCAGTACTCGTCTTGGATCTCCATCTTTGCATTCCTCTTCTCCCTCTCTGAGAGTACGCACAGCTCCTCATTCTCCAACCCCTGGCACTACCCAGGGTATCAGTGCAATTCCTCCATCCAGCCTGACAGGGCAGCCGCCAGCACCCCTTACCTCCTCCGCCCTCGGGGATGTCCTAGATATTACAGGCAATTCTCGCTCCTCATCTATTACGTCAGTTACACCCACGTCCACTCCAACACCTCCACTACTTCAGTCATCACGAGCAGGTAAAAAGATACAATAGTTTTATTTCTTAGGTCTTGTATAAAAGTATGATATATATACTGTACTGTACTTGGAAAAGGGTATATACAGTATATATAAAGAGGGATTTTTTTTATTTATATTTTGATCTCTCATCAGGTGCAAGTGAAAATAGTTCTGAGATCAGTGATGAAGATGGACCTGATGGTGATGGTGAACTGGGTGAAGTTGGTGACGGCCAGCGGTCAATAATCATGCACATTATCTCCCAGTTACGTTTGGGAATGGACCTCACTCGTGTTACTTTACCAACATTTATTCTGGAGCGTCGTTCTTTGCTGGAAATGTTTGCAGACTTCCTTGGACACCCTGACTACTTTGTAAGGTAAATACCTTCTCACCCAGATGCCTGTTAGATTATGTGAGTTTCAGTTGGGAGTCTCTTAACATATCCATGTAGCTTGATCTTGACATTAATTTAAGTTTTTAGAATTAGTGCAGTGGCATTAAATAATGGGTAGAAGGTTAATATTTTTGCAAATTGTCCTTTTAACATTTGACTGTAACTAAATACAATTCATAAAATTTCCCCTTTATCAGGAGATGGGATACTATCTCAATTGTTTGTCAGTGAAGAAAATATATCTTACAGTAAACTTCCTTTAACCCGGACTTGTTTAATCCGAATCCCCTCGAAAACCGGGCTTGGGTTCTGCACTGGACAACTGTATCCCCAACCTGGAAAAAATACAACTAAAATTCATTAAGTATGGGGAAAAGTTCGCATAGGCGGGTGCTGCCACTGAGGTGGTACAATAGGGTGACTCAGCAACTGCTTCTGAGGACGCAGTAGAAGTGGTTGCTGAGGAATACTAGAGTGAGGTGTCTTAAGAAATATAAATAGTGTACAGTAACTCAAAAAATTATCTGTCCACACTGTGTGAAACATTTTGAGACCACGGATGAAAGATATTGGGACATGCATTTACTTTGGTGTACAGTTTAACATAGGTGTTGCAATGTGTGTTTATTTCGGCATAATTACTTTCATGTTCTGTTACCAAGTGTAGTAGGACCAGTATACCACAGAGCCATGCACACCAACCCTCCAGGGACATCATGAGTCTCATGTAGCATTTGGGAAGTCATCGGACCCAAAATTTTTTGAGATACTGTACAGTATATACAGTCAATGTAATTATCAGTGAAAACATTACCTCTGCACCACCTTCGGTTGCGTGCATTGTGAGTGTCATACAATCTCTTCCTGCCTCAACCAAGAAGCTTGAATGGAGCTGAGTGTCAGCCAAGACATTACGCACTGCTGCCAGGCATATGAGAGCTCCTGGTAGCAAACAGCTCAGTGACTCACTCTGAGGCAGTGCTGAGCTATTGAGAGCAAATGGAAGACCGAGGAAAAATTAACTTTTTTCCACAGATGATAAAGCCTTAAGTGGCTAAAAAAATAAAAAAAATTAAATACCATATAAAATTCATGAGAGTGTTAAGTCTAGGCAAAAATTTACAGTAGGTTTGGTGTTCTTTGGCAGCTTAAGTCAGAAATCCCCCACCCTCTGGAATTTTCCACCTTTTAATATAGATACTACAGCCCAGAATTTACCCTTGACAACTCTCCCTATATAAAATGGTGCAGTCATTGCATTACTAATATTCCATCATTCTTGATCCAAACAAATGTTACATAAGCATACCTTTGAATCACTGCTCCCCCTCGTGTGACCAGTTCATATCCGTGATATGCTGCTGCTGCCTTCCCTTCTTCCTTGCATTTATGATATGTGTTTCTTATCATCAAATATAAAGTACTCTATTTTTCCTGTACCTATTATTAGATGTATTATTGCTTCAGAATTGGTGATGCAAAGACTCCAGAAGAGCGCATACAACAAGTGGTAAAGTGGTACTTGACGAGCATCCATGTTGGTCGTAATGGGTCTGTGGCCAAGAAACCCTACAATCCTATCATTGGAGAAGTATTCCACTGTAGTTGGCGCATTCCTCGGGACTCAAATACCTCATCAGTAAGTTTTGCTTAAGCAGGGCTGCCCAATCATACAGGCAAGTGGAAAATCCTCAGGGCGAATCAAATTAAAAAATCCTTAGCCTGTCAGGGTTTCCAAGTTGCAGGATCTATTACAGTCTCTGTCGTCAGGTTTTTATCTCTGAGGTTATTTCCTACAACCTCTCCCTATGCCTGGATCACATCAGTTCTGTACAAAACCTCACCGATACATTAATAAACCATAAAGTGTCAGGAAATTGTTGTAACTTGATAGTCTTTGTGCAGAAACTTACGCATTGTAGCTTATGGTGTATAAACTGGACTTTATCTAATATATGTCTTTGGAAAAATTGCCACTTGAAGTCACAGCTTTTTATAGAGTGGTCCATATATTACTGAATATCTATTTTCAATATATAAGTTCATTTTAAGGATAACAGAAAGAAAGAAGGGAAGCAAGAGCACCTTTACATTTACCTGTCAGCACTTTCTTTCGCCAATTAATAATATTCCTACCTTTCTATCAGGAGAACACCGAAGCTTCTGATGGGAAACCAGCTGAGGGGAAAAAGAGTTCCTACATCACGATTAAATTTTCTGCTGAGCAGGTCTCCCACCATCCTCCAGGTGAGGCATACTTGTACTGGCATGACATTTGCATTACAGTATTACCATATACCGTACTTGTTACTTCAGCAGCGGCAGAAAAATAATTTTCGGTTGTCTCTTAGTCTCTTCCTTACCACTAGTGGTTTCTGATCATTATCTTAACAACTGATAACCCACATTTAATTCATCCACAACATTATTTAATTATTCCTTGTAAGTGATAAGATGAAAAACTTGTATGGGTATTTCTTTTTTTAAACAGTGTCAGCATTCTACTTTGAATGTCCAGAGAAGCAGCTTAGTATCAATGCCCACATTTGGACCAAATCGAAGTTCATGGGCATGTCTGTTGGTGTAAATCTGGTTGGGGACATCACCCTTGTGATAGGGAATGTGCAAGAGAGCTACAGTTTGGCTATGCCTTCTGCCTATGCTCGCAGCATTCTCACAGAACCCTGGGTGGAACTGGGAGGTCGTGTCAACATTTCCTCTCCAGAAACTGGCTGTCAGGCTGTTATTGTCTTCCATACAAAGGTAATGAATTTTTTAGAGGATGTTCAAACTTCTATAATTGAAAGTCATTGTTTATAAATAACAACAAAACACTGTTACATCATTACGAGACTGATGTGCCTATATGATAACAAAAAGTATCTGATATTGTTTACAGCTTTTTGTTCCTGAGCAGTTAATGACAAAGATTTAAATAATCCTAGACTGATATACTTGAATTAAAGAAGGATCTGTAATGATTTCAGCCATTCTATGGAGGGAAACTACACAGAGTAACAGCAGAAGTGAAGAATGCTGCTGGATTAACTCTCACACGTGTACAAGGAGAGTGGGATTCTGTTCTGGAGTTCAACTATGCTAATGGAGTTCAGGAGGTAAAATCTCATGCAAGATTTTGGGTACTTGTTGATATCATGAATAATAAGAAATAAATTTAAAGATTTTTATTACATAATCACAATAATTGAAGTGTTTTATGTACATAATTGATGAGTATGTAGATAGTTGTGGGGAAACCATTGCTCTTTCTCAGATGGTTGCAAGTGGATTTAAATGCTTCCTGAGGTTGGGTTTTATAGATTGTGTTTCAAAGGGTAAGTAGATGCTGAAATAGGGTTTTCATAAGAAATTGTCTGCTGCCTTGATTGACCAGTGCATCTTATGTCTAAGTTGGTTCAAATAGATCCTAGAACTATTTCTTAATAGAATTCTATTCACCTAACTTGAGTTAATCTCTGAACACAATTCTATTCATTTCTAACCCAGAAATAGTGAAGTTTATTTAGTTTGTTGAATAATTTATACTATATCAACACTGCCTATATGCCTTAATACCCAGTCTCTTCACACATTTGTTGATCTGTGAAACTTGGACTTGGTGTAAGAGGAAGAAATGATGAAAAAGTGACAAAAATTATGTGTGAGAACAGTGTGATAATAATAGCAACACAAGACTTAAGGGTTTGTGGAAATGAAATGAGTATCAGAGAGCTGATGAAGGTTATTAAAGAGAGTGAATCACAGAAAATGCCACTTCAGGGTTCAAAACAGTAAAATTATCATCTATATCGTCAACACATTGCACAAATCAAGCTCAGTTAATGTTGGGAACATGAGAAATTGACACATTAGTAGCCAGGGATGGTTTTAGTAGGGTGACAATGTTTATGCTGGATATTTGACTTGAATAAAATTTCTAGATGCCCATATGGTAACTTTACCAACTGATCCAACCTTAGTTTATATGTTTAAATATTTTCCACAGAACATAGATGTCAACGACATACCAATGGTATGTGTTAAGCGTTTGCGGCCCATTGCCCAGCAAGCACCAAATGAATCACGTCGCTTGTGGCTTGATGTAAGTGTGGCATTAGCCCGTGGAGATGTTGAGACTGCAACCAGCCACAAGAGAGCCCTAGAGGAGATGCAACGGAAGGAGGAGCGCGAACGGGCAGCCAGGAATGCAGCATTCCCTACCCAACTTTTCAGCTCTCCTTCAACAGATCATTGGGTTTACAACCACCTCCCATCTTATGCATTTACCTCTTGTCCTGTTACTACTCAGAGCCAGTAGGTTAAGACTCAGTACTCATTATATTCTGATGTTACGTATGAGAATACATACACAAACTTATCCTTGATTTGCAGCTGAATTTTGTTTTGTTTACTCTTAATGCCAAAGATTGTGTCAGTAGTCTTTTATTTTCTTCCACAGTGAAACTCTAAACATTTCGTTCGAGCAATACAAAACTGATTGGGTTAAAAAAAAATACACCTAAGTAGATACTGTATTTAATATACCTGTACTCAAAAGAGAAAATGTAAGGCATTTTCCACTTCATTGTCTGGTTCTCAAGTTGTAGTCTAAAATGTTAGCTTGAAAACTTGTGTTGATCTTGAGCAGTAACAAAATTTACTGCATAAATATATCAGTGTTTTTATTTTAAATTTGGATGGTAAATGTGAATTCTAATTTTAGAGTTTCACAGAACTTAGGAATTCTTTATCAGATAATCCCATTTTACTTTACTATTATAAAGAGATTTAATTTTCCATATCCTTGTTTTTGCTTGTTCTCAATATTCAATGTACAGTATACTGTTATTGTTAACAAATATGATTTATATTTACTTTTAAATGGCTAAAATATTTGATAAGGGAAACCATCTACTGTATACATGTACTGTACGTATAATTATTTTTTGTTTTTTGCAGTTCACAATAGAAAATGATTTGATGTAACATGTACAGTAATTTACTTTAAGCAAGTAACTGGTTTTACACAATTTGTTTTAAAGCTACTATGTTATGCTATATTATCAGGTTTCTTTTTAATTTTGGGCATGTAATATTTCATAACTACTGTACTGATGTTTTATATTTTCTTGAGGAGCTAAAACTCTGTTGCACGTGAGCCGTGTTTTGCCGTCCTAAGGATTTACTTATATATATATATATATATATATATATATATATATATATATATATATATATATATATATATATATATATATATATATATATATATATATATATATATATATATATATATATATATATAAACCAAAAGCTGAGGTTCTTCATTGTTTCCCTTTTCCTGTGTGATTATATATATATATATATATATATATATATATATATATATATATATATATATATATATATATATATATATATATATATATATATATATATTCTAATGTCATTTCATCATCAAATCATAGGGTATAAGGTCAAACATTTTCCAGAGCATAAAATGAAATTAGTTAAGACTAATTTATAATACTTATAAACTTTTCGATAATAATAGTAAATATAATGCTAGACATTGGCTTTTGTGACACATCCACAGTATGTCTAGTTATAGCTTTTGCAAGACTTGACATGTCTTTTAAACTGTTCATGAATATGCAGGTAATTATTTAATTGGACATATGTGATGTGGCTTCTAGCTGGAGAAATGATAATAAGGTACAGTACTACTCAAGTGAATATCAAGCACTGCAGTGTAAGGTGAATTAACATTGAGTAATAAAAGTTTTATTAGCATTAACAGTGTCACTCCTCACATAATTTATCTGATACAGGTATCCCTCTCTATACGAACGTTCAGTCAACAAATATTTGCTTATTTGAATATTGTATTCTTATGTCTCTTTCTTACTATGCAAAAAGTATTGATAATTATAAGAACAATGATCCCGTAAGGTGATGTACCGAATTTATAGTTTATAATTTTTTTTTTATGTGTTAGGTACTAATTTACAGGAGTAGGTACTGTACAGTAGTTTTTTAGGTTATTTCTTTTTTTGTGAACTGATTTCATTTTTCTATGTTTAATATTTATTTGTTTTATTGAGGAACCAAACCCTATTTTTCCCATATTTTGTTATTCGCTATACAAATATTCACTTAATGAATGGTTTTTAAGGAACCTAACCTATTCGAATAGTGCGGGATACTTCCAAAAATGTTTAAAATTTACCTGCCCATGAGTAAATTTGCTTTTTATTAGTCCAGGGTTCATTCAAAGCATTATATAGCAAACAGGCCCACTCGTCCACAGTACAAAGCACAGAATTCATCCACACTGCAGTTAGAACCTGACCGCAGAAAACCAAGTTACTTGAAGAGTAACTTGATAACTTGAATATTATCCCAAGCTCTTCACCATGGTGATTTATGTGGTCTTTCGTAGGAGGCCCATAGTAGCTGATGGTGATGCTTGCAGTACGTGAAAATTAACCAGGATGTAATGACGAATAAACCCTGTATTTGGTAGAGAATGAGTCGGCAAGAATCTGATTTGGGCACCATTGGTTGATTCATCACTATCAATGGGAGCGCCTCATATATGATACTGGGTGCAATATTAGCTCAACCCACTAGGCCTAAACAATGATAGTAGGCCCTGCCAATGATGTCATTGTTCCATCACTGTCTCCTATTGTTCTCAGAAGTGGAACGGGATTTTGGGTGATATCTCAAAATCTTATTGTAAAAATAGCAGAATCACAGGATATTGGTGGCGATGAGGAATAGATCCCTGACCAAAAAGACCTTGACAGTCTCTTTGTTGGAAGATAACATACAAAGTGAGGAATTTAGTGCCTTGGAGGGGTGTGTTATTGGAGTGTGTCTCAGCAAGAAGTTATCATCAGGTGGTAGTGTTTCCCTGGCAGCTACAGTAGTCATAAATATCAACTTTTTCAGGTACAGTAAATATATACATTCTTATATGTATTATATACACATAATGCAGGATACCCGGTATGTGTAGCTACTGAATATACTGTACAGTATACAGTACATACATACAGTACATTGCTCTGTATATGCTAGTACCTGTACAGTACATTATGTTATATGCATTTCCATCATATTACATATATGTATAATAATGGTTCAAATATTATATGAATATACATAATTATAAAGAAAAACAAATATATGTCTTGATTTTAGTCTCCAAGCGAGTGATGGATGAAAAATTACATCTGATATATTTTGTAAGCTGCCATGTGAAGGGTTGTGTGCAGCGACGTATGACCGGTGACTGGAGAAGGGGTTCAATGATTGATTCAATGTCTTTAATAATGCAGTGATGTGTCTAGAACAAAGAGGTAAGGATACAACTATTAAGTACTTTGGAGAAATAAAGGTCATACAGTATACTAATGAAGCTTCAAAGATTTCTGGGAAGAGAATTCTCGAGGGAAAATTTTAGGAAAGGGCCAAGAATCGAGATTTTAACGTGTACTGTACTTGTATTTACTATTTTTTTCTTTATACTGTACTACCAACCTTAATATCTACAGTTAAAAGGTACTGTATTCATTTTGACAAGAAATTTGCCAAATTTCTCATAGTTTAGAGAGAATAAGAGTTAAATGTTGTGTATAGTACTGTACTACCATAGTGATGGTTTTATTTATAAAAATATTAATATAATTTTCGCTAAAAGGTCACATTGTCAGAAGTGTTATACATCAAACATCGACTAAACCAGTTCTTATGTACTGTACACTAAAAACATAATAAAATTTAACAAATAATTATTTCCATACCCATTTCGTCTTGGGATTCAGCACAGATCAGTTTCAATATAAAGATCGAATAGGAATTTAGGAGGCAGGTGCCAATTACAGCATTTCTTTTGTGCACTACTTTGTATAAAAACTCAACGAGATTTCTGATGTGTTTTTCTGCTTAATATCTTTGTTTTAGGATGTACAGTATACAGTAGTTGTCCAAAGTTGGATCATCTTAAGAGATTTGACAAATGAAAAAAGGGGAGGGGGTGGGAGATGCTTTAAGCCTTACTTCAGGTAATTTATACCCGTGAAATGCTTAGTATTTGATCCCCATTTAAGTATTACAGTATTTGAATTGAAATAGATCTGAAGAAACCGCATCATCTAAGAAATTCAGGATCGGCTTTCAGTTGCCAATGTTAAGAGAGGTAAGCAATCCCTTCCTTACAGTTTTGTATTACAGTACAGGTTATTTGTACTGAATCTGTACGGTATGAACCAGGGTTAGATTAATGCATAGACCAGGTAGGCCATGGCCTTCCCATGAAAATATAGATGATAATAAAGCTAAATTAGTACAGGGTATTATGATTTCAATTACTTTAATGCTTAAGAATTTTCAGTTTGTTACCTACTTCTTACACACCTCACTCTTCCACTTTTCCAAATTACTAAAAGTCTTCTTTATTTGTCTTAAGGACACTCTATCCCTAAATTCAATGAGCCACTGAAAGAGGAAAGCAGGGATATTACACAGTAATGTTTAGAAAACGGGAAAATGTGGGTCTGATGAGTTTTTAGTGCTACACCGAGCACCTTAATAAACTGCACTTTTCATTTGAAGATTTTCTTACATTTTGTTTTTTACAGGTCCTGAGAGTAATTACACTGCATGACCACTGGAAGCCACCAAGTGTCAATTGGAGACTGTTATGAAGAATGACATTTTGTAATACACCTAATAAATAATGACTTGTAACTATATTTATTTGTTACATATCACACATTTGTTGACTTAAACATTATGTACATCAGAGGCTGGGAATTACTCCAATGTAATTAAAGCAAAGTCAACACTCGCCATTTGTTAAAAAGGCACTCTGATTATATCATCAAATTCATCATTGATATCAGAGCTTGCAGATGTTGCTTACATGTTGTCATTAAACAAGCTCAGTATCTCATGGTAGCTTTGAGATCATTGCAACAGTTGTTATTGATGTTTAGTTTTGTTTTGATTCTTACGACAGCAGGTAATAAACTGGTTGAAAATTTATTTTGTACATTACTTTGCAAAATGTGAAAATATTTGTTCAACTACCACATTATTTAATGGCAAACAATAAGCATTTAATGTGTTTACTGCTAGTTCTTGAAAGCATTTTACATTAAGCAGCAAGTAATAAAGTACCACGCTGGAACACCACTTCTTGGCTTTGTCAACTGTCCTTGGTAAAATTTACTGAATATCAATTACAGGGGGTGGTATTATTAATAATGTCTTGAACCATCAGTGTACAGGTGCATCAGGTGAACCTATTGGCTAACACTATCCTGCCAATGCTCTAAGCAATCTAGACAACCAACACTACCAGTAACTTATTGAGGTAAAGGAGATAATCAGGAAGGGACAGTTCTAGGATACAGCTGACTCTGATTGTAATAAACTCACAACCTTTAGGGTGAATGTTAGTGTACTTTGGTATTATTCACTCCTCAGCAGCCATGTGATCTGCACTTTGTGTGTGTGCATAGGTATACAGATTGAAAAAAGACTAGGGAGGCCCAGCAATACTAACATCATTGCAGCACAGTAGAGGTTGAAGAGGTTTGTGTAGCATGAGACTCAGCAGTTGGGAAGCTTCTCTGTCCTCCCATTCTTGTAGTTGAAGCACTCCTGAGGATGGAAGGAGGTTGGAGTTACTGCCAAGATCAGAGAGGCTGGAGTTACTGCCAAGATCAGAGAGGCTGGAGTTACTGCCAAGATCAGAGTGGCTGGAGTTACTGCCAAGATCAGAGAGGCTGGAGTTACTGCCAAGATCAGAGTGGCTGGAGTTACTGCCAAGATCAGAGTGGCTGGAGTTACTGCCAAGATCAGAGAGGCTGGAGTTACTGCCAAGATCAGAGAGGCTGGAGTTACTGCCAAGATCAGAGAGGCTGGAGTTACTGCCAAGATCAGAGTGGCTGGAGTTACTGCCAAGATCAGAGAGGCTGGAGTTACTGCCAGAGAGGCTGGAGCAGAAGAGCTGGTTACTGCCAAGATCAGAGACTGAGTGGCTGCACTGCCAGATCAGAGTGGCTGGAGTTACTGCCAAGATCAGAGAGGCTGGAGTTACTGCCAAGATCAGAGAGGCTGGAGTTACTGCCAAGATCAGAGTGGCTGGAGTTACTGCCAAGATCAGAGAGGCTGGAGTTACTGCCAAGATCAGAGAGGCTGGAGTTACTGCCAAGATCAGAGAGGCTGGAGTTACTGCCAAGATCAGAGAGGCTGGAGTTACTGCCAAGATCAGAGTGGCTGGAGTTACTGCCAAGATCAGAGAGGCTGGAGTTACTGCCAAGATCAGCTCACTTGTAACCATACTTGATTTGGTTAACTTATCTCTCAGCAGCTACAGGTTTAAAATAATTACAAAATCCTCATTAACTCAAAACTTGGAATGTACAGTACAGTATTTAGATTCCTTACCTCAAATAACAGTATAAGTGAAGTACTGTAAAGTCAGTTCAGTACCATATCCTTGTGTTCTTTGTTACCACAGCCTCAAATCTGCCATACATAAAAATAACGTCCCAAACTTAAAAGAAATAAATGTTAATTGTGATGCTTTTGTCAGAAATTATGAAAATTCTTCTTTTATGGGAGAAATCAGGGATTTGCCCTCTCTCCTTCCCTGTGGTGTCCAAGTAAACTTTGCAATTTTCCTTCTCTATTAACTTTAGGTTAATGGATCAATAATCCTTTTATACAGAACTTCCATAACACTTATTCTACCACTGAGAAGTTGGTAGCCACGTGTGTTATTCCACCGACAAAATTAGCTGGTAATGGGTGAGATAACTTAAGTTTTCACAGGAGTTTTCCATTAGTGTCCATTCAGCTTCAGTTGTAAATTTGGAGGAGTGTCCCCTTATTTCCATTTTTTATGGTAGCTGTAATGTTAAAATATTTTCACTACCAGCGTCTGAAACGTTTTTAATTTCCGAAGTCACTTGAATAAACCAACCATATCCTTACCTACATAATTAAAAATACATCATAATTAGATTAATTTAGAAAAATTTGAGGCCATCTGCCTACGAAAAAAATTAAAATATTCACCGGCCTTGACTGTGGTAATTTTATAACATTCGGACTTTTTTTTTATAAGGCAAGGTGCCTAAGCCCGCGAAGTTCGCAATTATTTACGTGAGTAACGTCGTGATGTTGAGTCATGTGAACGCTGCTCCGTGATGAGTGAGTACTGTACCTTGTAAGAATCATTATATATCCATTTTCACTTTTCAAGTGTTAACTCAAGTCAATTTTGCTTAATGTGGCATTCAAATAATTGTGATGTTAGAGTTGGTCAGCGTAATTTGTCAACACCCAACAAGTAGTTTAGAGAGTTATATTCCTTTACGAGTGGAACTTCAGGAGATCGTCGATATGCGAGTCTGACAGGGCCAGATCCAGGTCGATGCAACTGACGCACTTGAATCGCTCAAAAAATTCTGACCGATGCAACGGTATCATACGCATCTGTCAAGTACTTGACCTATCGGTATGTGATGTTGTCAGTGTTGGCACATGGCACAGCCTCCGTACCTGAGTGACACGTTTGATAAACCGCGACCAGGGATAGGATATTTATTATTATTATTATTATTATTATTATTATTATTATTATTATTATTATCATTATTATAATAATTATTATTATTTTATTTGTTATTAATTTAATGGTTAAATGTTATTCAATTGCATTCGAATGTTTCATGTTAAACCTGTATTCGTATTCATGAAAAATAAATATTTGTAGACCCTGTCAATAAATCAGGTTGACAAGTTTAATATTCACGTGACCTGTGGTCAGGTCACTTGACGTAGGGTGACCTCATAATAGCGTCAAGGCTAAAACAAATGGAAATGGTAATTTAGTTAGGTTAGGTCATGAGTTGGGAGGACAGTCAGTAGTCTTTAGTATAAAACATTCCTATTATAAATTATGTTGTATTTTGTTATTCCTAATATATTTCGTATAATATTCCTTTCCTAATATATTTCGTATAAATATTCCTTTCCTAATATATTCCTATAATGAACACAGTATTTCTAATATAATGTGTGATGTATGGACGATTATTAGCTATAATGCTCCATATAGGAATCGTCTCTGAGAATCGTGTTAGCTGCAAGTAATCATCACTGTACCAAGCTCTAGTATTGTATAAACAGTACTGTATTGTATAAATCATTAAAACTACAGTATAGGTATATACTGTACAGTCTTGCTTCTTTTTATTTTATGGAAAAATATCTGACTAAACATACATTGATCCAAGTAAATATTAGTGATTTATTGATTACAAATACTGCGTTGCGGATTGAGGTGTAAAAATTCCATAGACTTTTTTTAATCTGGGCTAGCTGTCACTACAAAAACTGAAAGATTGCATTTGTCAAATTTGAGGTATGGATCCGGCCCTGGTATGGCAGTTAAAGAGGATGACATGTGTAGATTTGAGCGAGCTGAAATGAGAATGTAGAGGTGAACATGCATTGTCACACTGAAGACAGGTCCTGTTCAGAGCTAAAAGGGCACTAGTACAGGTGCCCTCTGAGGTCTGATTTTGTTTCTCTCAAATAAAAGTCAGGCACTATATACACTTCCTCTTAGTAAAGTACATACATACTAGTGAACTTTCATTCAGTTGTCCATGTATCAGTACACTTTAAAAAAAAAAAAGGTCTCCATTGTTGCAACTATGCACATTGGGAATTCTTTTTCAGCTGAAACTTTGTTTTTCCCACTGTCATGTCTTCCTCAGCACACATTCCTGTTAGTCTAAAGTTCTATTTAGTCCTGACACAATATTTACAACAATTTTCTCCACTTTCTTTCACTCTTGCGTTTAAATATCCCATCACTCGTAATCTATCTCTCACTTGTATTTAGGTATACATCCCTACATGTATGTAAACATTGTTGAAAATAATAAATCATAAACATTGGATAAAATCTTTATTGTTTATGTACAAAACATCATGAATTTATAATTTTTAAACTAAAAAAATCAAGGGTCTGGGATTAACACTGTACTGTACAAAGTTTAATGTAAATATAAAGTCATCTCTGTAAACTCTTCCACATCTTTTTTAGCTTGGAATATGAATATTTGACAGACTTGACAGCTCCTGCAGTCAATAATCCTTTTAAACTCTGAGTCAGGCTGGGAGTCATCACTATATCTTGAATACCTACAAGACATGAATGGAAAAGTTGTATGAGACAAATATCTTACACTCCAGTAAACACATCAACAAATCCTGATTATTTACAATGTTTGAAACTTATTCATCCATATTGGAACATGGTTAACTGTATGTTAGCTCTTAGGCATGGTGGTCTGATGCTGTGTAAAGGCGATAAACACTGAAGGTGAATGCAATTAATAAAATACCACTTTCCTTTTTACTAAATAGGAAAAGTCTTTGTATTACCTAAGTATGAATGGTTGAATCATACAAAGTTAAGATTTCTTTACATATATTTTTCAATTTGGTATTAGTCAGCTTTCTAGCCAAACAGACAGAGTTACAAACTGTTACAAACTGTTTTCAAAGTACAGTACAGTACTGGGCAATGTGCAGGACCTTGGTTTGGACATCTAACATCTGTAACCATAAATCATGGAACACTGGATGGAGCTCCAGTGTTGCCAAAATGAACTAGAATAGAGGCTTGGGTACAGGCAATAAGAATTCTGACTAATTCCAATGTGCATTCAGCATGAAAAGTTTGGTACAGTATTTATTAACAGGAAAAGATTAAATGGGACCATTACATACATCTAAAATAAAATTTTCAAACCAAATATTTATTATTAAACAGGGCGATTACCTTTGACTATAACATCAGCACAGTCAGTGTCGTGAGCAGCAGCACGCAGAACATCCTCCAGGTCTCTGCTTCTTCTATCTACGTTGAATTCTTTAATCAACATGAGCTGGAAGTAAAATTGGGAATCTACAAAAATTTTGTACAGTATCATTTAAAATTTTCATTTGTCACTTATGAGTTCAGTAAAAAATTATCAATTTATATGTTTAATCATAGAAAAACCGTGGTATGATGAGAACAAAAGTAAATATAATATTTATTTATAAAATAAATATAAAGTTAAATCTTAATTAATAGATCTGACAGTCAAAAGCAGTTTGCAATACTGTAATGGCTTTTTTTTTATAAGTATATTTTGATACCCACTACAGTATATAGGTAATAACTAGAATAGCATGTTAGTTTTGTCTATTCCTAATGCACTCTTTCTTACTCTCAAGTACTGCACCCTGTTTACCAATTCACGTACACACTTTGCAAAACACAAAAGTAATTTTAATTGTTCAAAACTTGACCCAAAACCTGTACAGTATATGTATCTTTCATACCTGTAACCTTTTAGGCAGCATTGAGAGATGAAATAGTCGAGCTGGTGGTGATGTGTCCTGTTCTCCCATTCCCTTGAACTGATCCAGTACAACATATTCTTCCAGTTCTTTCAAGAGAGGCGAGTACAGATTTCGGAACTCCTGTGTTTGTGCCTGAACAATGTTTCTCACCTTATTCTGGTCTTCCCCTACATGCATACGAAAATCACCTGGCAAGAAAAACATTGGGTAGTAAATTACGCTTACATTTTGCAGTTCTGGTACATGTATAAATTGCCTTAGTGGAATATAATTCAATTTTTTTCTTGCTTTGTCCTACATACCCAGATCTACACACATCAGCAGTAATCTAACCTTAGACCAGAAGATACTTGTAAAGAGGCAAATACAGTACAGTATAACAACAATACATTACTAACCTGTGTATGAAACACCAGCCAAGGCTAAATAAAGCTGATCTTCACTAAATGACTCTGGTAGCAAAAGTAGAGCTGTGTGAAGGGCTGAATATAAATTTATTTTTAGTGCACTACGAAGCTCGTCATCTGCAGAATCTGTAGAGAGAGAGAGAGAGAACATAAAATAACTGATTTCAAGAATGAATTACCTGTACTGTACTCAACTGATTCTTATAATATAGTTATCTTATACAGTACAGTGTGCCTCTCTAGCTCCCAGACCAAGGTACAGCAGATTAGGAAGACTAGAGGACAAACCACTGAACCCCTTAAAGTGTAATCATCTTACTGTAAACCCACAAATAGAAATTGAATCCTCCCACCACTACAAGACACTTATCTATTTATTAAAAGGTCAAAAGTTGAATGATAAGGATATGTATTCTATTAACCTAAATCAAGAACTTTATATGGTAGATGGAGGAAAGTGGGAATGCAGAGGTGAACAGAGTGTTTTCTTCATGATTGTAGTTTCTTCTTTTTTGTATCATGAGCATAAGACCAATGATCATATAACTAATCCAAACAATGTTCACAAATGCAGTAGGATTTATAGTATAACCACTATGCAACTGTAAATAACTAACAACACTTAACATGCTATACTGTACTCCTACTCATAAGCTAAAATATATACCTAAGTCGGGTTTCATCACAAATGCAGTGCACACACACACCTTTATGTAGCATGAGGACAGGTTTGTGTAAGCGGCCTGCAATATAGAGGGTATCCCAGTCCAGCAGATCAGTTATTAGACTTGTATGTGATATCACCCCATATTTAATCATCTGTAATATATAAGAAATACTGTATTACACAAAGTAAACAATTGACATTAATTAGAGGCTTCAAGCAGTTTAAAATGCATATATAGTGTCCTTGTGTGTAGACCCTGGTGTGTCTATGTGTGTGTAAGAATTATTTGAAGAGAAATTTATCTACAGTTAGGTAGATTATAAAGTTATGCCTTAACATTAAACTTATCCTGGACCCCTAATATACAGTATCATGCAGTAAACTTACCCCCTCATGTGTTGGAATTAGAGTATTGAAATAAACTTTAGCTCCCCACTTTTCTTGAATGCTGGTTACAAAGTGAGGTCCACCATATCGCAGGGCAGAGTAGTGTTTGGGGTTATTAGCCATATTTGCCTTATGCCATTCTAGTGGATCTCTGACAGCCAAGATGAAATCTATCATGTTATCCTGAAACAAAGATATTTTACACTTTAATCAACAAAGCTGAATATAATTATACATAAGAATTCACTTAACAAGATAGCAAGTTAATAATAAAACCCACAAGACATGACAGAAATCATTGAAATTCATACAATATGTCAGTATCTATGGGCATCCTCTTTATGTGTGAGTATGGTAGAGACTATCAATGGGCATCAAAACTATTGTTTTAATATGAACTTTCTTCTTTTAATATAGGTTTTATTTACAAACACCTTCATTTTAAAATTCCTGAGAAGAATACAAATTTTCAATGAAAATTTTTTTTTCCATACAGTGAAATTTTTTTTTACATAATTATAAGGTACAGTACAGAGTCTAGTATCCTAAACAGTTTTCAAACATACCATTTAAGTTAATCATTATTATTATTACCAAAACCAAAAAATAAATCACATGTAAATATATCCATGATCAAGTACTGTAGATGGGTTTTTTAATACAGTACTGTACTACTGAGTATATTCTGAAAGAAGCTATAAAGCATACTGTATTGGATTACCAGTCAAAAGCGGTACTGTACAGTATAGTCTGCATTTACGCGGTCAATTGAACCCGTGGAGGCCCACGTAAAATGAGAAACGCGTAAATGAAATGACAGAACATATGGGATTAATTGAAATAGAGACTGGGCCGACCCCCAAACTCCACTTTTTACGACACAATACGTACCCTGTAGTCAAAATAACATCTTAATTTTATGATGGTATGCACACACAATTAATAATTAAGAGAAATATCAATAATATTAGGTTTTTTAACACTTACGTTAGTAGAAAAGATGGCTGGGCACACGGGGATGGGGGGTTGGTTCCGAGGCAGATTATTGGCCCTCACCTGTATCACTTGTATCATGTATCACTATCCACCACAGAGGCTTGCAGGGCCTCTTTGTCAAACCCCTCAAAGTCCATATCCTCACTATCACTGACTTGGGCCGGCTGTGGTGGGTGGCTGGTGAAGAACTCGGTAATGTTTTGATGACTGGGCGACCTTGTGCGCACCCTGCCTGTGCCGTTTCCCGGGTAAATGACAAAATTTACCGTGTAATTAAAACATTTCATTCTGGCAAGTCACCGCGTAAATGACCAAACGCGTTAACAAAAACCGCGTAAATCCAGACTATACTGTACTGAAATGATACAGTATTTGGTTCTAGGTGACATGCATTACAGTGGGAATCCATATACAGTATTAAAATAAAGTTTAAGCGCAGTACTGTATAGTATAAGATTTTACTAACTTAAGTTTTTCTCAATGTTTAAAGAAGAAAGCTAAATGTTTTACAAGTCATATCATCCTCCAGGTAAACTTGAAATGTTTCCACAAGATTTAATAAACTGTTGAAAATGGCACAGCCAATCTAATAGCTGTAGAGGTGATCACAGTATTGAAAAGTTGCAGTAGATACCACATGTTATTTGTTGCTTTTTGTCACTGTAGATATGATCTGTGTTCTTCCCTTTTAATAACCTCTTATTGTTGTATACAGTAATGATGAAAGGCATATTGTATTGCTTTATTAAAGTTTGAATAATCTTATCAGACCTTCTCAGGTTGATATTAAAACCCCTGAACAGTAGGCATTATTAATGTGCTGGATAGATAGAAGTATCATCATGTCTAGGAACTGTGCTTATATATTCCTTCAACATTAGGAAGGTGCTAATGATCAACCATGAAACAACTGTTTGTGTATTAACGTTTAACTTTTCTGATTAATAAAATATAATTTCATGGTAGGGAATTCAGAAGTTGAAGGATCTACACTCTTAATTCTGCCTTTTTATCCTACCCTTTATCTCATCCTGTCATTTGAGGGTTCTCCACCCAAGTGTTGGTTGAGGGTACTGCAGGACAATGTGATGAAGGTTGGAGTCAGCTCCTATTGTAGTGCTTGGGAGGGCTGTCCATATCTCAGAATAAATCACATTAGAAGCCTTTGTGTTGTGATGCTACAAGAGAATGCTAATGTTTGTTAAATGGAGAAATTATTAAAATTGGCTAGAGTCATAAGGGAAATACTGTACAGGTATTATAACTTTTAGATTAAGATAGTGGTGGTGATAGTAATGAGAAAAAACTGAGGGTACGTGGACCAGAAGAAGGCAGAGATGGGATGGATGAATGAAATAATAAAACCGGCATCCCTGGAGAGATGAAAAATCTTGAAGGACTACAGTAGTAAAGACAAGAGTGAAAACATTTGTAGTGGTAGGCCAAGATCACCAACCTTCAGACTTGAGAATGGCATCTTGATTGGTACATGTATATACACACTCGTCAATGCCTTTCCCGATTAATTCCACATCTTTTCTACTTTGTACCGCCACTTAGATTCCTATTAACCATCTAGACATTATTTCACTTAGTTCTCTCAAATAACACTTTGTCTTGTGTATTATTGGATCTTACATGATACAGTACCTAATTTGCTCCTATTTATTCAGTTGTACTAGTGTATTTTGTATGAAGACTATTCTTGTATGATCAGATATTAATTTTGCTAACATATTGTTTTATTCCTTGCTTCATTATTTTCTTCTTTTTACCATTCCTAAAGGTCAGGAGTAACCTTCACAAATTAACTTACACTATGTTTGCCTGCCTACAATGTCCTCCACCCTTAGCTTAATGTATTGATTGTTTTTCTCAACTATTGTATGTAAACTGTACTGGATCTCTCCACCTTTAACCTCTGTTTTCCCATGATTGGTTCATTCCAGATTCTCTTGATCACACACTATTGAATTCTTCATTTTATCTTCAAACAGACTGATGCCTTCATGTGTTTCTCACCTGGAATTACTGAATTTCATTATTGTATTTATCTGTCGTTTGTAGTATCACTGTACTGATTTATTTAATGTTTGTGGTATGACTCGTATATCCTTATGTCGTCCAGGTTTGTAGTTCCTGTACACTCACAACACACCAGGTTGTTATTTACCTAATCCACTTCACAAGTACAGTATTTGAAACATACCATATGTAATTGTTTCAGATTTCTCTCTGAAAAAGGTTATTAGCTGCTTTTTTGACTGAGAAAACTTTTGATTCGCCCAGGAAGTGTGTCAGATATATTGTTTCCAATTTTGAAAATACTGTACTGTTCTGTACTGCACAGTAGAGTACTGAACTGTAGAGGAAAATTGTTGTTGATGTAAATAGGCATTCGCATACCTATACTATACTGTTCCATATTATTGGTTTCCCATTACTGTATCAAGCTCATCTCATGGTAATTGGTATATCATGGGTATTTTACCTTTAACAGAGGAACAATGAAACTACCAATGCAAAAGATAATTCATTCAAGAAAAGCTTGTAAAATTTAATTTTTATATCTACAGTACTGTACTTCAAAATTTTCACAGGGACAAATAATATGAACCTTTCAAGACAAAACATAACAAAAAATGATTGTATATACTGTATAGTATATATAAACATTTAGGGATTAAAAGATGTCATCAATATACCTGAACTGTACTATACAGTAGTACTGAATATAGCATTCATTAACCAAAACCACTAACGTCTTTTTCACCACATACCAAAACTGTGGTACGGTACAGTACACTGTCATACAGTACACAGCTTTGGTTTCCAATAAAGAAGGACTTAAACTTGTTAAATGGAGCTCCCCAAAATTTATCAATACTCAGAAAGTTCCCTTCTACAGTATTTATTGGTATTACAGGTACCGTATTACTGAAATATTTGTATAACGCTAATATAATGATTCCAATGAGTGTGCATTGGTGATCCTTTGCAGAGGAAGTACTTGGTGAGAGAGCTGAAAGTCCTTTAAGAGTCTCTAATTTTTAAACAAATGTAGGTACTGTATTCTTGTACTGTAATTCACTGAATCTCAAAATATAAGTTGGCAGAGAAATTCTAACAATACAAAAGAAACCAATTACTACTGTACCACAAGTGATCAGATTTTAGCAAGTGTAACACCTAAAAGTTTAATGTGTCTTGCTATAACATATCCAAACCCATATCTGACTCTTTCTTCCCTTTTTGACTGCCATTCCTTTATATAAGGATGATCCTTTTAACATGTACTGTATTTGCTAACTTAAACTGCTTACTGTCATGTACAGGATATATACAAATGTTTATACTAATCACAGTCCTTCAGACCAGAAATCTCTATTCCAATCCAGAAACTCTGTATCTCTCATGCATTTCTTTAATAGTCACTCCTTCTAGTTCTGCCAGTCTACCCATAACAAGCTGAGCTGCATCTTTGATCTCATTGTACTGATGGAGATTTTCTATGTGACTTTGAAGTTCTTCAATATTGTAACCACTGTTTTTGAGAGATGTTATTTCTTCATCCATTTCAGCCTCTTGCTTGTAGAGCTGGGTTAGCTGTTGCTCCTGGGATACTGATTGCTGTGAAACTGGACTTATGCTCGGACTTCGAAAAGGAACATTAAATTGTCGTGGAATTACTTTTCTGCGACAGGAATCTATGATCTGACGGGACCTGCCTACCACAACTCTTCGAGGAGTTGAGTTGCTTACAGAAGCTTCCCTCAGCTGTGAGTCATGTGATGTTTGTTTCTTAGAACTGTCTGGTGTTTCTTGGCATCTTTCAGCAAAATTATCTAAATTTTTGTTTATATTCTCAACTTTCTGAGTTCTCTGCTGAATCAATGTACTACTTGCATTTTCATCTAATAAGGGACTGCTGACATCTGAGGTATCAGGAGATCTGAAAGGGCTCTTGAAAGCCTGTCTAGCCCGTGATCCACTTGGTGTACCTCCCACACTTTTCCTTTTAAGTGACATTATATATGCTCTACAGTAATGTGGATATGATTAAACTTTCACTGAGAATAGGTTGCACTTCAAATTAACAGGGTTTGATTTTCTTGTGCACTTCTGTGTTTGCATAAATGTTGATAATTTCTTCTACTTACATGGCAGAAAAGTCATTAGGCAGTGAAGTGACTGATGATTATTTTCAGCGCTACTGTACTTCCATCTGTAGTAAATCAATATATTGCTCTATAATTATCACAAAAACTGAAGAGGCACTTCAAAAGATAGCAAGGACAACTAGACAGAGCAACTCCAAGGTGTAATTCTCAGTTTGATATCATACTCTCCTTCAGCAACATTCCCAAACTGCAAAGCAGGAGAAACAAAATCTGAGAACCTGTATTTAATACATCTGTAAGGTGACTATAATATGGTTATTTAAAATAATTTTTTTTTATAAATATTAGAGTAATCGCAAAACCTTTTTCTGGTGGAGCCTAAAACCGGACAATTTCTTGTAATACTAACAGTACTGTGTGTATCTCCCGACATAGACTAATCATCGGTAAAAATTCGATTTTATCCCAATTGGGATAATAAAAACGAATATTAACCAGGTGACCTAACCTAACCTAACTTACTACAGTATTGCCATAGAATTAAATAGATTCCTAGTGATAATGGTAAAAATCCGAAATACATGTTGAGATAAAAACGAATATGAACCTAATCATAAAGCTATTTTGAAAACCTGGTATTATTTTACTTTAGGACATAGTGCCCCCGAAAGTTATAAACTACTGAAACATTTAGATCTCTCTATTCTGAACATTTTGAACACCATATATACATGGGGGAAATGGTTAAAGCAACACAATTGAATTTAGTTGATTTTAAGTAGTTTTCAGTCTCCGTCTGTAAGATGTTATCTTCACATCACGCATGCGCAATGTTGACTGACGTCATACAGTCGTGACCAATGAGTTATCGATATCATCACGCGAATTTTTTTCGACCAATCACATTTGATTTTTTCAAAGGCAGCAGCCTGGGTACGATTTTAATTTCATTGACCATTTTCACAATGGCCGTCGTGGAGGCTGGTTGTCGTTTGTGCTCCTACATATATTTTAAGTTTATTGCCAAGTTTTACGAGAAAGACGTTTATTCTATAAAATTCTTACGTATCCCAGGGCCTTCCACTTCTAACTAAGGTATTGTACTTTCGTACATGGCGCACAGCAAAGTTTTTAACTACTGAAACATTTAGGTTAGTTTAAGTTAGGCTTACCGTGGGTCCGGAGGTGGAGCCCCTGGCCAGGGGTCGGGTTAAGCCTACCGGGGGCGGAGCTCCCGGCTAGGAGTTAGGTTAGTTGGGTTAGGTTTTGTTAGGTCAGATGACTCGTTCTCCCCCATTATTGTTGAGGGGGGGGGGGGGCAAAACCATCAATTTCCGCCAAAAATGAAGGTCAGATTCGTTTAAAACACCAAAATACACTGGGAAAACATATTGGTCAACCCCTAGGGACTCATGTCCTATAGTAAAAATTTACAGAAAATCTAAACAGTATAGTACATTACAGTACAGCATATGTAATAGTCTAACTTCACCAAATAGTCAAGTCCAACCTTTACCGATGGTACCACCTCTGGCATCAAATGGTTTTGTAAAAAAAACGAGAAGCAGCATCACACATATATGTCACCAAAGACTTCATCCTGAAAACAGTCGAAAGACCATAAGTTACTTAATTAGAGATGTGGGAAAGCACCTTTAATCACCTATTACAGTACAGTACCCGCCTTGTTAATGAATCATATGATCTATGTGCAGGAATTACTCACTCGAACATTCTTGTGTCCAACTTGTTTAAAGACTCCTGAGCCATATGCGAAAGCGATGGAGTAACCTTTCGGGAACCTCTGTATTAATCTGAGGTAGGAGCTGGACATGACTAGAGGCAGACAGCCAGCCTCACAACAATGATGATTCCTTCCTCACGTTAGATTTCAATTTTTGTTTGTTTGTTGTTTTTTTCACCATATTTGGCTTGGATTTCGTCTCTTGTCAACAAACTGAAATAATATTAGGAAAGCGACTTATCTATCTGTCAAATTTAATACTAAAACCGCAGAGTGGACATCCACATGTATGTACAGAAAGTAATGCAACTAGTGCAGCACACCGGGTGTTCAGTAATTTAAAAGAAACGAAAAAGTCCAAATTAATCCAAAGTAGCTCTCATTCTTTAATTATGATGACAATTTTACATACCTGAATAATATTTGCTTATGATTATTACAAATGTTATTTCTAATATTGTTTTCATAATACGAAATTATCTATAGTCTTTGAGAAGGTCGTTTATACAACCCGGACGTCACGGGCTCACGGGGGTCGTCTGACTAATGGTAAACAGTAACTCGGGTTGTCCAGCAGAGAATTGAATAAAATTACCCACAATTAAAGAAATGGTCCCGTGACGTTATATTTTACAGACTGCGCAACAGGTGAAGTAGTAAATACAGTATTATATAACAATAAGTTAGTGCGAGGTGTTTAATTTCCTTTGTAATAGTAATTATAGCGAATCATTGGTAGTAACAAGGACAAGGTTCCGGGTTAGCCAGCTACCTAACGAAAAGCCTGTAAACAAATGTTTTGGTGTTTTACTTTCGGACACCAATGGAATATCTTCGGAATTTTATCTTTACTTATAACAGTTTAGATAATTCTGAGACACTTCTTCTATGACGTTTCCCTCACAAACGACTTGCCGGTGGGTCCAGGACCAGTTAGGAGGTTAGGTTTGGTAATTTTTAGGTAATTTAATGGCTAATATTAGTAATTCATCCCACTGGCATATGATTCTGGCCAAAAGCAGCCAACACCCAACAAGAGGAATATATGCATGTTTTTATACTGCATAGTAATTATAGTACAGTGTATGTAGTTTTAAGAAAATGTATACAGTATAATGGTGATTTAGAACTTATTGGCACAGCATAATTGACTTATTAAATATTCTAGTTACCCCTGTACTGTATCAGCAAAGGATCCTCGAAAAGTAAGGTGATAAGAAGTGGTAAAGCTGAACATTTATTAATTAATTGTATGTGAATTTTATCATGAAATTTACATTTTCTCTTCCAGATGACTGACATCTAGGAAAAACTTTCAAGATAGAGCAACCTCATAACAACAGAAATGTTAAGAGCATTAACAAGACATCTGAAAGGACCTTTCAGAAATGCATTAATCCAAACAGTTATGCAAAAACATTGGAAAGTTCTTGGTTCTCCGAAAATCTTGGCAGCATCACACAATTATTTTCCTGTGCGTCAATATGCAATTAGACCTAAAGAGACGTCTTTCATGGAGGAGAATACATTAAGTAACAAGATTCTACAGTATATGAGAACTAATACTAAGTATGCTGCTGTTGACAGCCTCAGTATTGGTCAAGTTCAAAATAATACGTTTAGTGATGCTTACGCTATGCACCAGTTGTTACTTGTCATTTCCCATAGCTTAATACCCAAAACAAAAGATATTCTAAAACTTTTTTCATTGTATAAACTACCACAGCATTCTATTTTGCAAGATATGATATCCAAGAAATCTCTGATGTTAAACGTTAAGAGAAAAGTGATTGAAAGTCTATCGCATATGACTGAAAATGAACTCAGAAATTTTGCATCGGCATTGAAAGAATTAAAGTTTGTAAAAACAAGATATTTGATGGATATTGCAAGAAATATTGACTTGGAATGTGATAAAAGAACTTATAAAGCAGACTTAGAAAAGTGTCTGCACTTGTTTGATATTCTCTTGATATTATATGGAAACAATGTTTACAGGAGGAAGCAGTATGATAATTTTATGGCTTTGTTTGAGACACACATAGAGTCAGCTCAGCCTCAAGATTTAGTACAAATTCTTTACTATGTAGGAATTGGTAAGAGAAGAAAGCTATCCAGAGATTTTGTTGACTTACTAGTGAGGAAACTTGAGACACACTATGAAGACTTATCTTTTCATGATGCTGGCATAGCAGCAGCGTCTGTGTTTAAATCTAATGTTAAAGTGAGCAAATATTCATCATTTATTAAAAAAACAGCAAATCATCTCCAGACTAAAGTTAAAGAATGTCCTTGTCTGAATGACTTGGATTCATATGGCCTTGTTGCCATGATGAAGATTCTTCGTGCTGCCCAATACCAAGATCATAGAATTTTGTCATCTTTGAATAGTTTTATTATGCATAATAATGCAGACAATCTGTCTCCTCAATTTATTGCCCACACTCTTGCTCTGTATGCTAACAGCTGTGTATATGAACCTGATGTCTTTTCCAGGTTGGAGGAGTTGATACTGCAACACCTAAAAGCTCCATTACTGAGTGTACGCATAAGAGATCTGTCTCGAATCTTATGGGCATTTAGTCATGTCAATCATCAGTGTTGCAGGGAAATACTCAGTATAAGTGATAAATCCCTCATGGAGTTTATACATAATGGTGAGGTAGATATATATCCTCAATTTTTATCAAGTACACTTCTCTCCATGGCTATGATGGGACATTATCCCCAACCCCTCATCAAGGAAGCTTTTAAACATGAAAGGATTCATCAGTTGCAAGGTGAGAACATTAAGATTTGTATAAACAGTACAGTACAGTATTAGAAAACCAGGTATTGTTTACAGTACAGTACATATATATTTCTTAAACAGTTCAGTTTATGTCTCTACAGTTTAAATGTGATAAGAGAAAAAAACCAGTTTGTGTACACCATTAGCATTATGAAAATGTTGTACAGTAGTAAGAAAACTATAAAGAGGGCGTTTGGGAATACTGTAGTAAAATTGTTTGAATACATACATGTATTATAATGGAAATTAACAATAGATTTATATTAAAACAACATGAGGATGATTAAGGAAATGAGAATTTTAGAGCATGAGTCCTATTGGTTAGGATTGGTCTGGATTTTTAAAGATAATTCTCTACTATTACAGGTAATCCTGGATCTGATTTATATTTTTTACACTTTAGATTACCAGAAGAGTAAGCAGCTATCAAGACTTCTCACGTTGAATGAGTGTCTTAAAGTGGAACTTCCTGAATTAACTGTAGCACTCCCTGACATCTCTAAGAGTAACCTTCCCACAAGAACTCTCGTGGATGAGGTGCAGCATCGTCCGGCTCTTGCAACATTACTAAAGGGTGCCAAGTTTATTAATGAAATAGTTGGTGCTCCAGTGCTGAAACTTAAGTTTCCCATAGCATATATTAACTATGCAAGTTTGGTGTATGATGCTAGTGAACTAAAAGGTAATAATTGCAACAGTCTGCCTAGTTCAACCAGCCAAAGAGACCATGTAATACAGCAACTTTCTGCTGTTAAGGATAACACGAGTAAACAACAAATTTCTATTGAACTCATTGATTCTCAGTCCACTTTGTCCACGTCACAACCTATTGGAATGGTAAAATTGAAAATACAACTAATGAATAAGAGTGGCTGGGAAGTGAGGAAAATTTACTCTGGAGATGTTGAAACTTGTTCAAATGATGAACAAGCAATTGGAGCCTTGATTCTAGATGAATTGACCAAGGTATGTTATTACGGGTAATTGGTTATGGCCAAAGTATCTGAGTACAGTACAGTACAGTAAATGTAATTAGTTTTGTAGATTTTTGATGATGAATCAGATGTATACACACTGTACAGTATGTATGTCTTTCTATGCTAGTTGATGAATGTAAACATATGTTCTCTGTAGTGTATCCTAACCTGGTGTCTTTATTATAACAAGGTGACTACCTTAAGAAATGCCCAAAGGTTTTATATGATCTCTGTATTGTTAATTATGTAGTTTCTGTACTTCAATGTGGTCACTTTATTATAACATGGTGACTGTCGTAATGTGTGTCCAATGTATTTTACATAATAATTGTATCTAAACTAACGGTCACTTAATACATACTGTAGGTACTCTACTGTAGCTTAATACATAATCACTGTACATTAACACTTTTGGGGCCCCACGGGGTGCATTTCTTTTTTGTTTCCGACATTATTTTCCATCATATTTCATTTTTTAAATGTGTATTTCTTCACAAATGATTGCTCTACAATACTACATGTATTATACAAATGAAATTGAATCTAACACCAACATACTAAAATACGAGTGATTATCACTAAGAAGTGGGTAGCGTATGTGCACTGTAAATCCTTTGGACACACTGATGCTTGCAGCCCCAGAGGGCAGTTATCATGACACCCACATCCACCACAGTTATATGGCGAGAATGGGAATACAATGGCATGCATTTTGAGACTTTAACCATTAAAATCAAGCGATAAATAGCTTTCTGTTAAGTGTTTTAAGTCGATGACGATATTTTTGTCATTGGAACGCTAACAGGAGATTTTTGGATAATGAAATATCAGTCCACCAAAGTATTGAGACATGGTCCCTTTATCATAACTTGGTGACTGTAACTTAAAGAGAGTCAATAACACAGACCAGTCTTTTTAATTTAACATTAAACAATCAATATTAATCATATTGTAGAGTTTTCCTTCTAGTTCAGACAGAGCTTGGCAATAAGGTGTTCAATCATTTGGTGAAATATGTTGGGGTGCTTAACCTCTATGCCATCAAATTAATGAAACCAAATTGCATTTTGGATACTACATAAATTAAAAAAAGTTAATAAATACTTGCAAGATTGTTTCATATGTTATACTGTATACTGTAATATGGTAAGTGTTAGTGCCTTGTTGATTCACATCTCTAATCCATACAAATTTAAGGTAATACTTTCTGGACTCAAAATTATTTACAATGACAGACCATACCAAACCAACTTAACTGAAGACTAAACCAAGATTGTTAGGTTACTTTGGGTTACATCAGATTAATGTATAACACCTTGAGATTTACGCCTGTAGCCACACAGGCAGCCAGTCAGTAAGAATTAACGTACACTATTATAATTTTGTGACAATTGACAGTTACGAAGAAATCTCGGAGTTTCAAGAGAGTCACTACAAAATATGAGCAGGACAGAAGGTTGCAGGAACCAAGCCAAGTCAAATCCTAAGGCTTTCTGCTATTATGCAAATTTAATATTAAAGAAATGACTTATGGGTGTATCAGTCTGAGATTTGAAGATTGTAAATATGCAGACTCAGATCAGCACTAGTCATTAAATAAAATTTCCTCACTGTACAAGAGTGGAACCAAACAACTTACATACTTTTGAGGAAAAACAGTTTGACAGCATTTAAGTGACTAAATAATATACATTTGATTTAAATGTTGATAATTGAATCATTCATTAAATATACTTAAAATTAATGTTTAATTTTATGTGGTATGGTGACCTTGTATAATAAGTGATAAAATGTTGTGCTGAATGTTAATTGGGCCAACTGCCGTCTGTAATAGTATCACCTTCATGGTACATTTTCTGTTTTTACCTACACCATAGAATATGGAGTGGGTCTACTCCCATTTAGTGTGTGTTTTAGACGACACTAAATACCCGGTAATAACACGGATTAAAAACAGCATATAAGGGACCTGCAAAAATATGTAGAGTGAAAAGAAAAATTCAGATAAATGTAATGATGAGTGACGTGTGATTTTTACCACAACTATGACGACACTATACAGTTGTTATGCATAAGATGAGGACTTTAGTATTTTCTGCAACAGTAAGTGGAGGCATAAGTGTAGTAACTGTAAGTTCATATCGGCAGCAACATCCAATGCCATTACTGTTGCCAATGAGTTCCGGTTTGCTATGCGACATACACGAATGAAAAAACACAAACAGGAACAGTGAAATAGGTATTTATTCAGAATAATCATACAAGAGCATACTGACGACGAAAGTGTTGATACAGAAATTTCAATGCAGTACAAGTCCAGATTAGGTAACGCATGTGATTAACCGGCGCGTCCTAGACTAAATCGGGAAGCTTAGCAAGCACAAGTTCCTCTGTCCTGACAACTGCAAACTTCCGCCAAAATGACATGTTAAATTTGTGATGGTTGGTGAGCCCAGGATAAGGGGCGTGCATTAGGTTGACACAAGGCACATAGTTGTCTACCCAGGGGGGGAGGGATAAAGGGGGAATATGAGCGTTCTGCCCTTGAAGGTTAGCTGTTGCTGAGGGGGGTGGGTGAATGTTGATGTTTTCTTGAGTTTTATAGCTATCTTGATAACATAAATAATGACGTCTCTCGGGGAATTGTGTAACAGGATGCACATAACTAATTTAACTTGTTTAAGGGATATAGTATGAGATGCTAAAATATTCCATCACGATAAAAACACTTTGATAAATCTTATAAAAGTGGAGGTGACGGAGACTATAAGACTGGGTGGTCATAGCTCCGCCGTCTGCCTCATAAACAACAATGAAAATGTCTATCTTAATGTACTTACGTTTTTGTGCTGTAATATATATTTGGCCTTGTGCGAGCCTGCGGTACCAACCAACACAGTCACATGATGGACAAGCATACCTGGCCACACTTTTCCTTACCTGGACATGTTTATCCTTGCCCCGACACACCCCTATCTTGGCCACAATTGTTCTTGGTTGGCCACTGATCCGTCCCTTCTAAATAGCCTTGATTAAATACTTGTACACGCTTCTACTGGGTCTCACTATTACCGTAAACTTTCTCAACATTGTTTGTCTATCACTAACCTATTTGTAATCACAAAGTACAATAGTAGTTATTGTTAGTATTAGTTTGTAGCAACTCCTCAGAACGGTAAAGTTGAGACGTGAATTTTTTTTTATACTTTGTTCATTGAAACAACAATAGTATTGACAAATCTGTTACCCTTATTTCTTTTCACCCACTCGGCTGTTTCAAAGCTACTTAGGTCTTATGCCTCGAGATTAGTAAACCCCTTTGCTTAAATATGAGTTTAGATTTGTTAGGTTAGCTTTAGTGTACTTATTTGTACTCTGATCTTAACATTCTAAACGACCTGCATCCTTTACGAATCCTCTGGCACTGCTAAACTGTTTGACTCGGAATCAGAAGTTTCTCACTCCTTGGTCTGGTGAATACCGGGATAAATTACGTAAGTAATATCGTGGGCCGACAAGTGTGGAGTTTAATGGAGGGAGTCACTTGGCAGCGGGTTGGTATGTGAAGTTACAATCCGCCATCTGTTATCCGGTAGCTGACACTAATGACTGAAATTTCACCTGGAAAAAAAAATATATACAAATGTTGTATTGATAATAAATGTTAACAAACATGTGAAATATATATATATATATATATATATATATATATATATATATATATATATATATATATATATATATATATATATATATATATATATATATATATATATATATATATATATATATATATATAAATTTATTTATTTATTTTTAAACTTGCAATATATAATTTACAGTTGTAGTTATTAAATTAATTGCAGTAAAAAAAGTCGATGGTTCATACCTTACAATCTACAGTACGTTCGATCAGCGCATCAAAACATTTCAAACCATTTTCAAATTTTCAGTTACGTAGTAGCCACTTGGTTGTTTGCCGGCAGTAAGGACCCTCATTATATTGGACTGAATAGGGGAAAGTGCCAGTAGGAAAGCCCACAACTTGAGTTGCCTGATATTAAAGTAAGTTCCTTCTGTTTTGTCAATCAATCAAATAGCACTTTAGGTTTAGGGTCATCTCTGAGGATGGAAGTAGTGATGTTCCGAAACGTAAGCTAATTGGATTAAAAAACTCAACAATCAAGATATTTGTAATTTCCCTGGTGCTCCTCTTTATCATCAAAATACGTTTTCCATATTACAAAAATATTGCTTAAAATCCGGTACGAGTGTAGGCTACATATGCATTAGTGATTTGCCTTGTGGCATAAATACAGTCGCCTGAAAATTATCAAGATTTCATTTCATAACAGAATTTTAAAATGGCGTTTCAAGTATTACAGCAAGGTCAAACATGGCGGAGTGTGTGTGACGTACAGTATAACACTTGTATGTCAGTTAGGAATTTCTGCAGTATTTGTCCTTCCCATAAATACTGCTCCCACCCCCCTTGGTTTACACCCTCACTTCACAGGTTGTTTTTAACTCCTAGTTAACTTCCATGGTGAAGGAATTTGGAGAGGATGCGCGATGTTGGACTCCTCACAGTAGAATGACCCTTCAACCAGTTATTATCACCAAGGGCACAAGGCTAAGTGCTATTGTTAGGTCAAACTGTTCTGTAATTAAGGTTTCGTTTATAGAGCCACAGAATATATCCTGCTGTACATTGTTTATCTCCACTAGTAATCTATTTCATTATTGTTGAGGACGTAAACACCTAAACAACGAGCTTTCAAATATTACCATGTGCAAGCTAGGTTATGCCAGGTAAAGGCCTAGCGGGGTAAGTGCCGCCTGTTGATCAAAAATCGATATATGCAGACATGTTTTGACAAATATGGAATATATCAATAAGCGCAAAATATGACCTTAGGTCCAATGCCAACAACAGTAAGAAATTTACGGTGTTATAAGCAAACAGTGCTGCCACGTTATTGAAGTTCTTGGCGGGCTGTTACATAAGAACATAAGAAAATAAGGAGTCTGCAATAGGCCGGTTGGCCTGTGCATGGCAGCTCCTGTCGAGAGTTACTACCACTCTATCATCCATGAATCTATCTAGCCTACTTTTGAAACTTTCCAGCGTTCCAGCACTTACTACAAAGTTGCTAAGCTTGTTCCACCCGTCCACCACCCTATTTGTGAACCAGTTCCTTCCTATCTCCTTTTGAGGCTCTGCCTGTGCGGTCACTCAGTATAGTTTATTCTTATCATTTGGCTTGACCTAGTTTCTGAGTGTGGCATTTTAGTAATATGCACTTTCACACTACCTACCACTAACCCTTAACAGAGGCACTCCTGATCTTATTTTCTTGATGAAGCGTAATTTTGTTTCCTCTGAAATTGGTTTCATTTTACACCTCTGGGCAGCGTTATGTTGTGCCAGAAGTAATATGTTGATGTATTGTGTGTGGGGGAGGGGGGGGGGTGATGGGGTAACTGTGCTAGTCTTCCCTAAAAATATGTTGGTTGGGTATTACCCAAGATGATTTACGCTCTCACCTGACAATGTTGAGCAACAGTATTGTTATGTCATAATGCGGAGTGAGACAACAGGTATGTATTTGTTTAGTGTAGACCATTCAGAAATATTACTGTTTTAGTACACTTCATCTAATAAAATATGTTATTGGGAGAGTTTTGTCATGTTTGTATTCAAGTTGACTTGGCTCACTCTGAAGTATGTATAGTGACTGTTGGTTTATCGTGGCTCAGCCTACTGTGTCGCCTTTCTCATTTTTAAGGTTAAGTGTGTAATGTGACTGTAGAGTTAGTATCACTGTGAACCTATAATTGACATCAGACTTAACCCAACCTAGTCATTAAAGGAAGTAATTACACAGTGGGTTACAACAAATATAAGAACATAAGAATGGAGGAAACTGCAGCGGGCCTATTGGCCCATACTGGGCAGTCCCGTTTACACCCAACCCCTATTGCTCATATGAGCATCCAACCTATGTTTGAAGCAATTCAGCGTATTCGAGTTAATGATGATATTTGGTAACTTGTTCCATTCATCCACTTCTCTGTTTCCAAACCAGTGTTTACCTATTTCACGCCTAAATCTAAATTTGTCTAATTTAAAACCATTGTTACGAGTTCGCTCCTGGTTGGATAGTTTGAGTACCTTTGTAATGTCCCCTTTGTTTAGCCCTGCCTTCCACTTATACACCTCTATCAGGTCGCCCCTCGCTCTACGTCTCTCAAGGGAGTGCAAATTAAGATGCTTTAACCTGTCTCTATACTCAAGGTTCCTAATGCCCGGGATTAGTCTTGTAATTCTCCTCTGAATTCTTTCCAAGGATTCTATATCCATTCTGTAATACGGTGACCAGAACTGAACTGCGTAATCCAGGTGTGGTCTCACAAGAGCAAGATACAGTTTTAGGATGACCTCGCTAGTCTTGTAACTAACACTCCTTTGTATGAACCCAAGTGCTTTATTAGCCTTGTTACGAGCAAAAACACATTGTTTACTTGGCTTAAGGTTCCTACTTATCATTACTCCTAAATCTCTCTCGCAGTCGGATTTCTCTATGGCATCGTTGTTCATCTGGTATCTGGTTTCCCTGTTTACATCTCCTATACTGAGTACTTTACATTTGTCCACGTTGAATTTCATCTGCCATTTTTCAGACCATTCGAAAAATTTGTTTAGATCTTCCTGTAGTTTTGCCGAGTCCTCGTCAGATTTAATAACACGTCCTATTTTAGTGTCATCAGCAAATTTACTTATGTTGCTGTCAATGCCGATATCTATGTCGTTTATGTATATAATAAATAATAATGGTCCAAGTACTGAGCCTCGGGGAACTCCACTTGTGACGTTGTCCAATGGGACTTAGTGCCGTTAATGCTCACTCGCTGTTTCCTGTCCTGTAACCACGCCCTAATCCATTTAAGGATGTTACCTTTGATGCCATGTGCTTCTACCTTTCTAATTAGTCTTTCGTGGGGACTC